GTTCTTTCTCGTCATTCTTGGGCAAAAAAAAAAGATACACTGAAGAACATTATTGAATGCAACATGCTCTGTTAAAATTAATAGCATTTCCACAAATAAGGAACCGTTTAATCATTACTGAAAACTCAATAACTATTAAACTGTACATGTTTATAACAGAATATATACTGAACAAAATATTATATTTCTGAAGTTCAACGTACTGATCTAAATAAATTGTAAAAGGTTTGCGGTAATGAACAAACTATTATTTTTTTTTGCTGAAACACACACATGTTAAAATTGAGGTGCATTTCTTGTCGTCTAGACCCAGTCTGGCGGTCAGACAAGTAAATGTCGAATTTGGACGAGAATGGGTCTCGCCTTTCACGATAAATCTTAAAAGAAACAAAATATGAGCTATCAATATACCTTGTAATAAAACTATTCAGACCAATCGCGAGAGTTTGAGGAGAACATACACTGAGCGGACAGACAATGGAGTGACGAATCCTGCGAAGCATTCTAGAGAAACAAAAATATTCCTAAATTATGGTAACACACTCTCATTTAGGGTCCTCAAATAGTGTCAAATATGAATACTCCAATGCTGTTCATGAGAACCGTAAAGAAAAAGTGGCACGACAGTTAACACCCCTGCGATCCAATTACTGTTATATGGGAATTATGGCGAGGCCGAGTCGTATCTAATAGTTCCACTCCTGTTTCGTTATGAGGTCCATTTAAAGAACAAAACAATTATTGTATTCTACAGGAACATCCCAACATTACTCGGAGGCGATGGGAAGGAACAGGGGCAATTTGCACCATTTGTGACATCCCGCTTTCAATTTTCTTTTTAACCCTAAATACCTGAGCAATTTTTTATTCCAAAAGTAAGATTCAAACCCTCCCTGTACCTAAAATCTGGATTCACCACTGCGACAAAAATTCCATATTGTAATTGTTTGGTAAAAGCTGTTGATGCTTTTAATTATGATGAGGGTATGGAGGCGGTGGTGGTGGTGCTGGTGGCGGCAGAGGTGGTGAAACTGGAGAATGAGAGGCCTGTCCCCAGGGTTCACTTGAGACACTCACTGGTACATGTATCTCCTCATCGGAAGACATCGTAGGAAAGCCTGAGTCCGGATCGGAGAAACTCGAAGATATCTCCTGCTCTGCGACCACCGTAGGCCTATGCATTTCTACGTCTGTGACGATCTTGTGTATTTCCTTTTTATTAACCATCACAGGTCTTTCCTGATCGGAGACGATCGGAGACGATTCCTGATCCGTGGTGCCACGGCCCTGTGATTGCCTCGAACCCATAACCACACTGTACATCGGGATACTGCATGCGTCTGAGTCGGATTTGTTCTCGTCATCAGTGATCGCGTACGCGTAGTCCGTGACGCCCTCTTGTGTCGTGAATACCTCCAAGCTCATCGCGCGCCCGTCGCACGCGTTGGGTTCGGGATGAACGCGCGCAATGGCGGGAACTCGGGATCGTTTCTTCACTTTCTTGGATTGAAACAAGCCAGCAGGGGTGAACAACATGACACAAGCGATCATGAAAAGGACAATGAGTGCACCAAGGGAGATAGCCAGGGCAATCACGATGGTGGTCTGGGAATTCTGAGGCGATTCAGAGACTAGACTACCTGCAGTTGTCTCTTCTGAAGATGATTTTGTTCTTGGTGGAGTTTGTGAGGGTGCTATTGAGGTTTTTGTGGTGTCCAAGACGGTAAAAGGGCCGATCATGCACGTTTTCTGTAACTCTGGGAAGTAGCGCGGTGATGTAATAGAACACTTGTAGGACAATCTGTCATCTACAAGTCTCATCGTCAAATCCAAAGACCTGACGAGATTGCCGTTGGTTTCCTTGGCAACAAACATCTCAGTAACATCCCTTGTGTTGCGTTGTAAAGTTATCCTTACTGGCGGCCGTCCTGGCTCGCTCGTGCAACTCACTGGAATCACGTCACCGAGGGAAACAGTCTGCGCACCGCTCGGTGCACATACCGGAGTGCTGGCGGGAAAGTAAGTCTCCGTAACATTTAAGTAGACGCTGTCTGTGGCTTCAATGCGACTCCCTCCACCATCTTTGAGAGATCGAACATTGCAGATATAAGTCCCAGCATCACTGAGTTTGAGACGAGAGATATCCAAATGCTGTGTGATGACACCAGAGGTTTGATCAAGAGCCAGAGGGCTCACCCCGATATTATTGACGTAAGGTACTCCATGCCATACCAGTGTCTTGTTTGGTGTTCTCCATTCAACTATGGGGTTTTGGCTGAGACCGACACCAATGAAGCTACATCGTAGTTTGGCGTCACCCCCTCTCCTCACATCAGTAGCAGGTGTAATCAGTCTCAAGTCCACAGATACTGACTGTGCCAAGACGACAGAGTTACCGTTCAGCAAGGCGTATAAAATGAGGAGACTTAGCACCAACTTCATCTTTATCGAGTATTGCTTACAGGTCACTGTCAAGATAGAGCAAGACTATAGCTAATCAAGAAGTTCGGATACTTCTGGTTCCCTCAACCAGTCGTTGTTTGTAACATCTTTCCTCGGTATTTTGTCGTACGTCATTTCTTCTGTGCTTGAAATCGACGTTTTCAGAACAACTAATTTTTCCTCAGCAAATCTGGGTTAAAACTTCCGACTTGAAAGTGGCCTACAGATTTTCCCAAGGAGCAAAATGAACAGTGTCCATATGCATGTGCAGGGCAGCTAGCAGTGTCTGGTGAGAACTGAAGAGTTGATCACGATCTTCAAATTTATTATCTTCTCGTTCCTTTTTCACACAAACAGTTGGTGACATCGGCTGCTTGCCCTGTCACTTCGTCATCGATTTAGGTAACAACCAACCTTCATTTATTCTCAAAACAAGTTTGTTATTTTTGGGTTGTCAGTGGACAATGGGGTCTTTTTATTGGATCTACATCAAAAATGCCCCATTGTTCTGTACAATAGAATACCTTCACAGATAACAATTGTTGAACATATCTCTTTGTTATTAGTAATCACTGGTGCGTCTGCATTATGATAACAACATGTGGATAAACTAGTTGTGGGAAAAACAGTCGGGCAAAATTGTGGTTGCCCTTCAAGGATGGCCAATAGGTTGACGCTGGTCACGTATAATTCAGCAGTCGCAAGACAAGGGGCGGATCCAGCGTCCTTTTTGTTGGTGGTGGGGGAGGGGTTGGGGTTGGCATGGCCTCATTTCCCCCCTCCCAGATCTGCTTTTGAGACTGGGTTCCCATTTTATCATTCCCCTATTTCCAACCAGTCCCATGTCAGACAAACGTGGTTAAGTTGCAGCGGTGGTGGAGGCCTCTCAACAAGAGTCTTGGCAATGATGGCAGCGATACCCAGGAAATTCTGAGCAAACCTCACGCGCATTGAATAATACAGTACGCGTGGTTGTGCTTGGAATTTCCTGGATAGCGCTGCCAATATTGCTAAGACTGGATTGGATTCATCTTGTTGATAGCGACTTCGCTTGTCACGGACCGGCTGTATAAGGGGAATACAAAAAAATCCAGTCTTGAACTAAGACTATACAGCGCGCGATGGTTAATCCATGCAAGAGAAACAAAAAATATTAAACTTTTTTTTTCTTTTCCAACTTTGATAGACTGATCAGTAAAGTCATTGCAGTTTGCCCACTGACAGTTTCCCCAACGCCAACCCAGCCATGTGAATAACGTATGGAAATTATTTACAATTCCCAATTAGTTTAAGATTACACGGTAGAGTGCATGCATCGCGAAACAACAGCTGGCGGAAAAAAAAATACGTGTACAGCATAACACCAGTGTCGTAGATTGGGTTACACGATACCGATACTACATAATATTTCCTAATTTATTTATGTGGAAGTCGTAAAAGCAATACAGGAATATTATAATTGATATATGTTTACCGAAAAGTTTAGGCAAAAATATGCACATATGTATTTAAATGTCATTAAACAGAATATGTAGAAAATGTTTGTTTGTTTCGTATTCGTATTTTCTGTTCAATTTTTTTTTGGGGGGGGGGGGCGGGGTGGTTGTGATCAAGTGGTAATCTTAGCAGGCAGCGGTGTTTTTATCTGCAGCACGCATCGTCAATGAACCATGATTTATATTCAGCAATAATTCGATGCTTATTCATAAAATAACAATGACGTCATACCATTGCTATCACTCAGTCATGCATGTACTACCATAAGGCATTTCAAATAACGGCTTTCGTCGAGCTGCCACTGTGGCCTATACATGAGTCACCGTAAGATCGTGCGTGCCACTGAATGAAGGTGTATCAGTCATTGTCGTAAGCGACCCAGAATGCACTGCGTTTCCTTCACAATAGATTGCTACAGAGATTCGCTATATGGCCATTTTTTTGATAGTGTGTATGCGAGCGAAGTTATTAGCATTTAAGAGATATATGGAGAGAGTTAAAGTATTGTCGGCCAAGAGGGCCAAAATAAAAAAAAAATGCCAAAAGGATAAACAACAATAAAAACAATGGGTTCGTCTTTTTTGTTTTGATTGTTGTTTGTCCTTTTAGCATTTATTTAATTTTGGCGCTTTTGGCCGCCCATAGAAAAGCCTAGTACGTCATATCACACAAAAGGCTCAAAGACCGTTTCACGGACACCGCCATCTGTAATCACGTGGTAATCTTTGGGGCTTTTCAGTGAAAATAATGTCCCATGATCATGCTGAAGGTTCAGTGGTATGATAGGACCGCAATTCAATTTCAATGGAATGCCTCCAAGTGTATTTTTTGTGGCATACATCGTGTTTTAACCAATCACATCACCCACCCTAACATCAATATTTATCACGCTGTGTGGATGGAAGACACTTCGGTTCTCGTAGTGTTTTCCCTTCGATTAAACTTATCCTAACCAAAAAAAATATTCCATGGAAATGGACATGGTTTGAACCTTGCGATCCATATTCCATTCCACTATTGGCTTGATAAAAGGCTGGACCTTTTTCTTTAATCTCTCAAAAGACAGCGGAGGTCTCGGCTTCAGTGCCTCTGTACATGGAGCTATAAAATACATAGCTTCATGCTCTGTACAGCTAGCAGTTACTTTTACCCAAGGATCCATGCAAACCTGTATTTCCACACACAATGCCAGTGTAAAGTATCCAACTGTGTCACAACCCATTGAGAGTTTTGATTTCTGCGCTCTCCTCATTGATGTAATGGTAAATTGTGTTGTGGGTCAAACAAACCTTCCTCGCAGTCTGTCACGGAAGTCAGTCATCCAAAACTAGCTTACGCAACCCTTTTTTAAATAACGGGCACAGTTAACTGACACTCGGACTCTAAACCCAGTCAGTTACTGCACTCCGTTATTTGCAGGGTACACGACCTACCAGCTTGTTCAACAACACCCTTTTGATTGAATTTCTCACATGATAGCTGCATCAGATAGGCGGGGAGATACAATAACTTGAAGGTCGGTTGTTCAAAGCGGACAATAACTGAATGTGTGATGGTTTTTCCAGGAGGCCGCATTTCTAATGCAGTGTACTTTGGTCACTGGTATTCATAGGTAAATTCTGTGCACGATACATTGGGTGATCGTTAGGCATGCTGCACTAATAATGGACTACGTGGCAACTCGTATAGGATTGGCTCAGTAGTCGGAATATTGCAGAGAATTGACTAATGGTGGTTCACCTTGCACGCCGGTGGAGCCATGATGAAGGTAGGAACCAACAGTTTAAGGGTTTAGTTTAGTACTGTAATTGGTGGTGGTACTTAATTCATGTTTCTTGTACACCAACTAAATTCAGCTGGACAAGTAAGGAAGTGTAATTCGTCACGTCAGTGCAAAAACTTCGTAACTCAGTTTTGAGGAAACGCATAAGTACAGGGTATCTCACAAAAAACGACCCTTCAAATCCTCCTCTTTTTCACAGCTTACACATTTGCAAGTATCGATACACATTTAGAGAGTAGGCCTATATTTCATTAGCTTTTCAACACCGCAAATCGGCTAAACATTTATTGAGTTATGACCAATTCAATAAGTGCCAGTAGACGAGTGCCGATTAATCTGTCCAAGTAAACCTGATGACAATCTGAATTGTCATTTGTCAGGGATGTGTGGTCAGGGTAGTTTTGCAGTCTTTATTGTTTAATCTTTCTTTCTTTATTTTGTTCTTTTTATTTTGTTACTTTTTAAACAATGATCATTAGGCCTATTATCCTTTTGGAAGTAACGGAAGTCCTGACAGGACTGTTTGTTTACAAGCCCGTGGGAACGGGGGGTGCTGTGGGCGCTGCAGCACCCCCAATTTTTTTGATTGGGGTGCTGGAATATGCTTTAGCACCCCTACTGCAGGGCAAAAATGTGTTCCAGCCAGCAGTGTTCTACGACGATGAAATTGCGCCGCTACGCTAAACATTATGCTTGTTCTATAACTATCTCCTTCGTTTTGTTCGTTTCTAGTTTTGCCGCGGCCAAGCGCGGCGCTTCGAAAGTCTAGCACAAACACTGTAAAATATCAAAAGGAGGTATTTTCTAAATCTTCAGACTGTGCAGAATCGATATTTCTCTCAAGGTATCTCAAATCATGACATGTCTATGATATTTCCGACATGAAAGCCCATGATGGAAACTTTGACCGGAAAGCAATAACCTCGGCCATGATAATGGTAGCAAAGTTGTTTCTGCTTGCCAGGATTTTTTTCATTCGATCTTTCAATAGGGGCAAAGTTCATACCTTTCCCCTGAAGGTTTTTCTTTTCATTTAAAAGTTTCACTGAAGTTGCTAGCAATCTGTAGGCCTATTCAAACATTAACAAATAGCAGGGTTCACACACATCCCCAACCTAATAGGAGTGGGACGGGCCGGCTTTCATTGAAACTAGTCAATTCCAGTGAAGTTTCGTTTTAATAAAAAAGCTACATGTATTCATGGTATTCAAAGTTTTCCTCATAAAAACTCAGTAGACCGATAAATCCTTGTCTAATCCCAAACGTTTAGTCTTTTATATTTGCCATTCCCTGTACAAACAAATAACACTGCAAATTTAACGAGAGCTACATCGTTTGGGGAGTTAGAACTATGTGAATATTTTTATGAAAAGAAATTCATCCGCTTCCAGTGGAACCATTTGTTTTAACTTGAACCAAAAAAACATCCTTTCAGGTTTTATAAGTTTCAGTGTACTTCAGTATATTTCATCACAGTGCATCCAGAAACCAACATTTTCCGGGGCATTAAAGCGGGGCCCCTGGCCCTGTGGCCCACGCCGTAAGGGCTCGGAAAATAAAACAAAACATACACGAAGGAATTTACTAAATGTAAGAAAGCAGCCTTGCAACAATAATATTTACATGCGATGTCATGCATACTGATACAATTCTTTTTCCAGAATTAAATGGAATCAAAAATGGAGATAAAAATAAAAGGGTTCTCCACTTTTCAGTACAGTTAAACGTTTTAAGAGCAACAGTATATTTTAAACAAAATGAGGAAATAAATTGTCTTTATAATCTCAAAAAACTTTTGCTAAAAAAGTCAAATGAAGTGGCCATGAATCGCCTCAGATTGCACCACAGAGCATCCATACTCCAAATTAAGCCACGACGTATAAGGGCTTTGCGCTCCGCTATGGCATTAATTTTGTCCGTCCTTTAGGAATTCCAGCATCCCCTGGCAAAAGTTTGTTCTAGCGGCAGTGTTTGTTTAACTTATAGATGTTTATTATATTGCTCTGGCTCTGCCTTTATTGGTAGTTTTTTTTAATGCAAGTTTCTGACCGTGTTCTTATTGTGGCAGTCAAAATATCAGCCTCCCCACCATGGACGAAACGAAACAGTGGTTCTTGTATTCGGTTGGCCATAACTCAATAAATATAGTTAGCCGATTGGAAAGATTTTTTCGGTGTTGAAAAGCTAATAACGTGTATCGATATTTGCGATGTATTTCTTTTAAAAGCTGAGAAAAAGAGGGGATTTAAGGTTTCGGCTTTTATTGAGACACCCTGTGTGTATCCCATGGCCCGTTAACTTCACATTGTGTTTCATTAATTGAAAAGATAAGGTACAACCTCAAGCAGACACATTAGTCAGAAACATGTTTGGTGTGTTCAATACATACCCTATGTGATTTTGGATAGAATAACTCTTAAATGAATGAAATTACTTGAAAAGAACTTGAGTGATTTGAAGTATTCTTGTACTATATATATATAAAGAAAGCTTATATATGGGCTTAACAGGCTGCATCGAGCTGTATACTCCCCAGGGAGCTGAGATGGTATTTGAAATGTTTCATTGGCCCAATGAGCAAGGGGTAATAATGATGTAGCACCAGTCCTGGTGGATACGTGCGCTTTATAAATATCCACTATTATTATTATTATCCTTGATTTTAAAAGTGCTACATGCAGAACTTCACAAAACAATAGTCCCGACATTAAGGTTTTAGTTTTTGTACTCACCCTGTATATTATGCCCTGATTGTATGGCAACAGAATTCATAAACAGCCATGTGTTTGTCCACAAACAACAAGTTGTTCATTGCATATATTTTAATTGAATTTTTCCCTCACCCCCTTAGAACCGCGCCTGAGTAACACATGTTGGAATAGTAATAATAATTAGCCATGCATCATGTCTTCATTTGTTGAATACTAATGCTGATCGAATATTGAATTTCAGTAACGACGTAATTCAAATAGAAAACAGCATACTCGGTGTTGTGCCGTCGAGTTATTGAGAGAATAAATACGTCGGTCGGAAGGACGACCCGATATTGAATTCACATCACCCGACACCAATTTTATCTTTTAATTTGTAAGTAATAATCAAACAGCTGTCGCTGTATTAGATCGATTAGAATTATAATTAATTTGTAGGACTTGCAGGCTAGTAAGGTCTTCTCTTTAATACGCATGCTTGAAACACATCGCGTGGGTGAATTTTCGTTCTTAAATTGTGTTTAATCAAGTCCTGTATACTCATCGATGAAATAAGTTTCACCCGAGTTTATATTACCCCGATTCATGGCTCTGGAGTATTTTTTTTGTCAAAATGACGTTATTACCAGTCACTATTTGTATATTGAATATAAAAGGGTTGTACACAAAATTCATGGATTTTCTTGGTATTTATATGGTTGAACTGAGACTGAGACCTCGTAAACACAGGATGTTTTGTGGAACTTCACGCTGGCTGCCCCTGCCTCTGCCTGGCAGGAAGTTCCTTTGGTCTGTTACACTTTTGTCTAGGCCCTACCCTTCTCCGGTTCTGTAGTGCTAAAGGCTGATAAGCGACACTGCCGAATGTGTGCATGTCATTGTTATACAGCGTGTGTTAACTCAATGGGCCTCATTCACGAGTCGGCCATATTGAATTATGTTTAAAAGCTAGTTTAAAAAAAGCAGAAAAACAAGGCTGCATTGTGCCTGCATAAATAGTCTGGGGCTATCCCTGTTATTCACTTAATGTCATGCATGCGTTCAGGGAGCTCGACAAAAATGGCCAACTTGTGAATAAGGCCCTTGATAGGCCATCGGCCTCGGTCCAAAATTTTGGCCATCGGTATCAAATGATCTGAGGGGAATAATCGTCATAGCTATTTTTTGGCAAGGTGTACACCTCCAGAGTTGGAAAATATGTGAGATAGCATTGCAGCGGTGGCTAATTTTTGGGTGCTATCACCCTTTTTTTCAAAATGTCCATCAAAATGCACTCTAGGGGCGGTATACCTTGCTCATGCGCACTATAATCATTTATGCCCTGATTAGATACTGGCCAAACCCCCAGGCTGATGGCCTATGATGACAATATATTATTCACGAAGCCGAACAGATTTGCAGCAATCTTCTACTTTGTTATTGACATTTTCTACGTTACGAGGTTGGATTATCTTATTTGATTGTCACAAATAGGTTGATTAATTTTCGGAGTCAATTATTGTCAGTTTAGCCTTAACCATCCCAGACCATCATAATCCAATAAGAGGTTTGGACGGATTTTGCAAACGTGCAGTGCGTATAAAAAACGCCGCAACCGACAGATGATTTCTAATTTTGTTACGATTGTGTAAGTTACAGTGTGCCTAGTAGTAGCATCTTACAGCCATAAATCTTCTCTTTTCAATGGCATATCAGGTTTTTTACATCAGGTTATGGTTAACTGAATAATTATTGTTTTTGCACAATGGGTCAACTTAAGCAGCTCGAGACCATGTTTTGGACACTGCCGTAATCATTGGTTAAGTAGCCAACATTAAAAAGTAAAAATGCCCGTCATTGCAAACAGACAGAGACGTGTTGCATGATGCATGATGCGATAAAAGACAATCTTTAATCTGTTATGTCTTAACTGGTAGGTGCATTCTTGCAATAGTACTGCATGCAATGATTTACTGGGCCAAATTCCATGTGCCAAATTAGGCTCGGGACCAAATCAATGCATGCGGCCGGGGCAGGCAGTTGCTGTATAAGGCCAAAAAAAAAAGTCTCCGGTTTCTGGTATGCGCGCGCGTCGCCGTAGCCATGCGCGTCGGCAAAATGAAACAGTTTTTTTTTCAATGAAAGATGATGTCTCAAAACCGCCAAACTCACTGGTTTGACTGGAATCATGCTGCTGCACAATTTTAACGTGTTTTTAGATTGGGCTATGGTCGAGAATAAGCTTTATGTGGCCTCTCTGGACTCCCATATATTTGCACTAAGTTTAGTCGGGCACCATTTGCAGTCATCAGCCGACATTTGAAGCAAAAAAATCAGGTAAAAAAAAAAAAAAAAAGCCGCGTCGCCGCACCACTTTTTGGGCAAGCTCCATACCAGAAACCGGAGACTTTTTTTGGCCTTAGAAGACAAACGAAGGACGCTCACAGGGGGAACGGAATGATAGAAACGCGTTAAAGGGAATGAAACGAACTCCAGTGATGTGCACTGAATGAGACACAATAGCATGAATCTGGCAAAGGGACAGAGACAATGAGCATACAGAATGGAATAATACTTTATTTATTCAGATTAATTGGTAAAAACACCTGTCTCCCAAAAATACAACTATCCAATTAAAAGTAGTATACCAAATTTGATTAAAAACCGTCCAACAGAGTAAAAATACATTAACAACAATAATTCCCTTAATTACAATAATTCCAGGCCTGAATAATATGAAAAATATGTGCGACAATTACATGTAGTCGTGTATATTATAATTATTTTGAGTTGCATTATAACAGTGTGTTAATTATCTAAAATATCTGAAAGATTAACGAAATACAAAGTCAATTGCAAGACTGAGCAGGAAAATATATACTAGAAAAACTGCATAGTTATATTTCTACAGAAATTCTATTGATAGAGGATAGTCGTTGTGTTTTCCAAGCTTTTGATAGCATTTTTGAATACAACCGTTGAATGTCAAAGAATCGAAAAATAAAAGTTTTGAATTTATGGGACGGAGCAGCGTTTTGTGCATTTTCACTTTGACGTAGGCCATGATGACATTTCATGCCAGATTGACTTATTCCTTAAACTTGAGCACCCTTCGTATTTCTTAGACCTCATGGGTAGACTTTATGCGTATAGCGGCCGTCTTATAGGGCATCCTTTGTTATTTTAGTTCAGTAACAATGAGTGCTTAAAAGGTTTATTTCTGGTATTTCACAGCAAGACAAATGTATTGCCTTGATGACTGCTACCTATAAGGTCCATATACGCCTTTTTTGAAATATTGTGGGCAAGAGAGAGCGCTTTTTTTCAGTGGGTGACCTCTCTTGTATATTCACCCCGTAAATGTATTATATTATGTTCAATAAAACATGACAAAAATAAAAAGCCCCGCTTCCTCCTTTTTTTCAAACACCCGGACGAGAAACATGTTTTTTTTTATTCGGCCTAAGGAGCCAGCCGACAGGTTGCTTGTATGAGGCTGCATCCTAAGACCAAAAAAAAGTCTCCGGTTTCTGGTATGCGCGCGCGTCGCCGTTGCCATGCGCGTCGGCAAAATGAAAAAGTTTTTTTTTCAATGAAAGATGATGTCTCAAAACCGCCAAACTCACTGGTTTGACTGGAATCATGCTGCTGCACAATTTTAACGTGTTTTTAGATTGGGTTGTGGTCGAGAATAAGCTTTATGTGGCCTCTCTGGACTCCCATATATTTGCACTAAGTTTAGTCGGGCACCATTTGCAGTCATCAGCCGACATTTGAAGCAAAAAAATCAGGTAAAAAAAAAAAAAAAAGCCGCGTCGCCGCACCGCTTTTTGGGCAAGCTCCATACCAGAAACCGAAGACTAATGGTGGGTTTTTGAGGATTCGGGAGGTTTACTAGCTACAATGCTTATAGAAATTATATAATTTTTGTAACGGATATTGAGATTCATCTTCCGTATTTTTTCTTTCCAATCTTTGCACTCAGGTAGAATGCCTTTCTCGTGTCACGGGACTGAACTCAGTCTGGAGGGGAAAAAATAACACTTTGCTCAAAATTATTGACTGCTTTATAAGTTTGTGATTCGCATCGGATTTAGGGTTAGAAACTTCGTAGGGAGTTTCTTTAATGCGTCAACGATGGGCTTCCTGAGGAATTTAGTCCGTCTTAAGACGGTTGATTTGAATCCGGAATACGCGCCACTTCGACGATGCCTGAACACTCTGGATCTGACCCTACTTGGTATAGCATCAATGATGGGTGTGACCTTATACATCTTAACAGGTGTAATCGCTAGTGATGCTGGACCATCGGTCGCGCTGTCCTTCCTCATCGCCAGCATCGCCGCTATGTTTGCCGCAGTGTGTTACGCAGAGCTCGGCAGCATCTTCACCCGGACTGGCTCGGCGTACCTCTTCACTTACTCCACCATCGGTGAGCTACCTGCGTTCATCGCCGGATGGAGTATCATCCTGGAATACTTGTTGAGTTCTTCCGTCGTCGCCCGAGGATGGTCTGGTTACCTGGATTCAATGCTTGACAATCGAATACAGAATTTCACACGGGTGTGGGTCATGGGAGGAGAGCTGTGGGACACGCCTGTAGTGGCGTCCTATCCTGATCTAGTCGCTGGGATTTTTATGTTTTGCTTCTTTGTGATTATAGCACTCGGCGCCAAAATCAGTGCCAATTTCAACAAGGCCTTAGTGGCTATCAATTTGACCATTGTTACTCTGATAACAATCGGTGGTTTTATGTTCGCTGACGGGAGGAACTGGTCCGACCACGGCTTCTTCCCGAACGGTTTCCAGGCGACGCTATCAGGCGCTTCCATCGTTTTTATTGGCTTTGTAGGATTCGACATCATCGTCGTTTCGTCCGAGGAGGCCATTGATAGCCAAAAAGGAGTCCCCCGTGCTGTGATAACCTCGATCGCTGTCGTCACACTCGTTTACACATTGGTGTCTGTGAGTTTAACCCTGGCTGTGCCATATTCTGAGATCGATCTGCGAGCGGTCCTGGCCACACCATTCGTATATCACGGCTTGTCTTGGGCTAAGAATGTCGTCGATGCGGGCGCTCTTTGCGCCATGAGCGGATGTATACTATGCTCCATCTTTGCTCTGCCAAGAATGGCTTACGCCATGTCTACAGATGGTGTCTTCTTCAAAGTCTTCGGTCGCGTTAATCCTACCACCCACACGCCACTAATAGCCACTATTTTCTTCGGAATCATAGCTATACTCATGACAGTATTCATTGATATCAAAACGTTGTCCAGTGTGCTATCCATCGGTACCCTTACGGCCTTCACTTTGGTCGCGGCCTCTGTCATGGTCATAAGGTATAAACCGTCGCAACTTACCCATCAGATCCAGAAGATAGCCTTAGTGACATCACAAAAGGGCGACAGTGACCACGACACTGACACTATCTCGGACAAATCCAGTTTCTTAGACCCTAGGGAGGATAAGCCAATCCAGGGGGGTACTCTGAAGCCGAAATTCCGCTTCCTGACTGTTATGGCGCGCTATGAGCCAGGCGTGGTCCCGATGATCTGCTTCTTCGCTACAACTTGTCTCCAGTTTGCAACCATTTTTGTGATCGTCGTCTTCATGGACAACATCCAATCTGGAGACTGGTGGGCTATTCTGCTCGTCATAGTATTCGGCAGCTCGGCTATTCTATTGATTGTACCCATCCCTCTGCACGAACAGGTGGACACCAAATCGAATTTCAAGGTAGGTGAATTAAATCGATTCCGTTAGTAGTTTCACAAACTCGGAGAGGATGAAAAGAAGCATTTGACAATAAAGCCTGTCAAAAGTTCATCTTTACGAATGAGGACCGTTGGACAAAATGGTTATCAAAAGTAACAATAATCCCAGAACTCAAGGTTGTGCGCAAATGCATTGATAGTTTTCCAAGGGCGGATCCAGAACACAATTTTGGGGGAGGGCGAAAAATTGTTTTGGCAGTCCCCCGAAAAGTGGGTCCAAAAAATTACGGCGTGGGGTCGGGGTCCGCTTAAGGGCCCCTCAAAAAGTTTGGATTCTAGATGCTCTGTGGTGCGATCTGAGGCAATTTCTGACCACTTAACCATTTTTTTAAAGGAAAAGATGGTGGTGTACGCAGTGCCTGCCTTTATTGCGACGTCACTTATAAAAAAAAGAATTGGGTCCGTTGGGTTTTTTTGGGGGGGGGGAGGCATGGATCCCGTTGCCCCCCCCCCCCCCCGGATCCGCCTTTGTAGGTTTCTTGTTTATGTAAATCTTACGGGACAAATAAAAAAAAAAAGCTGGTCCAAACTCAAAATCATTTATTACTGGTCCTCGGTAGTAAAGTGTAAAACCAGACTGTGGTATGTTTGTGCGTGCGTTTGTTGGGGTGTTGGGGATGGGGTGTTTGTGTTTGTGTTTTGTTTGTTTGGGGGGAAGGGGGGGCTGGTGTGCGCTTAAGACCACTATTCGAGATTTTAATACGGCATACCCCAGCACTCATAGCGGTCGTCAGTATCAAAACACTGGCAGCTCACTGTGATTACGCTTATATAACAGAGATGGTTTGCATGCTGAAGTCAACAATATCAGTATGTATGTTGCAGTTAGTCTGTGTCTGAGACGAATCGATGGAAACCCAACATGTTGTACTGTATGCACTCATGACCACGTGCAGAGCAATCTTTGGTGGAGTGTATACAGGGCGAGTGGAAAAAATGGAAACCCAAATGGTGCCCTCTATTTTTTAAAGAATTTCTCACGTAGCGTGTTCCAAATCTAAGATATAACAGCCCAATTAATGTCTTCTTTCAGTGAAAGAATCGTTCAAGTCGCTCATGCACTTTTCCGGTTAGGTCATTTTGAACACAAAAACCGTTTTTAACAACGTCCACGGATCTCATTTTAAGGTACGTGATGTTTCAGTAAAAATTAAACCATGTCGTATCCTGAAAATGATATCAGAATAATCCCATAAGTCTCCGGGTAGCCAAGTAGAAGGTAGGGCAAGACTATAAACTCTTGACATTGTGAAAGCGTGATATTTTAACATTGAAGGCAGAGAACACTGTCATGGTTATGCGAGTGTTCTGATGTGGTTTTTGTTTTTGCTAAAATATCACTTGCCTTTATTGTGATCCGTGGACAAGGTTACAAAACGGTGTTTGTGTTAAAAATGCCATAACTGGAAAAGTACATGAGCGATTTGAATGATTCTGCCACTAAAAGAAAGCTTATTAATTGGGCTTTCATATCCTAGATCTGAAAAGCGCTACATGCAGAATTTCTTTTAAAACAGCTAGGGGCACTATTTGGGTTTGCTTTATATTTTTGACTCGCCCTGTACACCCACTTTCACTATCACTCGGTAGGATTGAATGGGCTAAACCTTTTCAATATTCTCGTTTTGTTGCCAGACGCCATTCGTTCCTTTGACGCCCATGTTGAGTATTCTATGTAACATTATCCTCATCATGTTACTCAGCCCAGCAACGTGGCTTCGCTTCGCCATATGGATCGTCATGGGTGCGTATCAACTTATCCACTTGCGGAGAAAAAATACATATTCAATGTGAATATAGAATCTCGCTAATTAAATTGTAAGCATTGTTGACACAAATTAAACTTGAAAACATGGCATGGTCTCAAGCTGTCACGATACACACGCCATCTGTGTTGCTGATAACCCTGGCAAAATGTTGACAGCGCGACTGACTTCTGTGATATCATTATTTTGTATTCATGTTTAAACCGTCAAGTAAATTCTGCTGGTCCCAGAGGGCCAGCCTAGTGCCCTCTTTACGCCTATCTGACTGACTGACTGACGCGTGAGCTATCGCATGGGCTCTGTGCGCAAGTACCCCTCATGGTGACCGTAAGGTCATGGCCAAATTCTGTTAAATGCACTTCAAAAATCTGCCTAATTCCACAGATACACTACAAATACTTAAAACACATGCAGGTGTTTGTAGTATTGCCTTAATTAAGGTTCAAATTACATTATAAACAATCTATAGTCACATAAAGACGTTATGAAATGGCGTAAGTTTCAGGCAAAACGCGGTTGCGTCACGACGAAGTCCGTTTCCCAGTGAACCTCAGCGTTTTTACCACTTTTAAGAGCCCCTTGCCCATAGACATTATAATACGCGTAGCATTTTTCTCACAGGCGCAATAGCAAATGCCTTATCTAAGTTTTACTATAATGTCTATGGGCAAGGGGCTCTCAAAAGTGATAAAAACGCGCCCTCTTTGTTGGCGCACGGAGCCCATAGGATCACCCCGTAACGCCAATGTAATTAAACCAGAAACAAGTAAAGGCTTCCAGTGAATAGCCATTCAATCGACACCAGCTTTTAATACCAGGCTTGGTCTTTTTATAATTTCAAGGTTGGACTCCAGCTGATTCCGACGATGTTTTCATTGTTTCGAAATGATTATTTCTTTCATTGTTTCGACCCAACAGGTATTGCCATCTACTTCTTGTACGGCTACTGGCACAGCGCCGAAAGCTTCGCTGTAAAAACCGTCTCGTTCTCATCCAAAGCAGAGTACACTAGACTGAAGACTGACGATGAGGGCGCTGAACAACAGTGCGTCATGGAAGGATCGCTAAACATGCCACAACCACACAAAAAGGAAAAGGAAGAATATCTCGATTAAATCGCGCACCATTAAAAACATCAGTGGCATATACACACAGGCGAATCTTTGGGTGGGATGAATGGACAGATAATTGTGCCATTTCTTATTTTATTTACATGTACTTCACGTTTGAAATAATTGCTTTGGCACTAGGCTGTTAACATCATTGAACGTGAATAGATCTTTTTACACAAAAATGACATCAAAGATGTTGCATTTATCAACTTCGGTAGATATGGAAGATCGACTTGTTATAGCGGTGGTCAGTTTGGTTGGGTTCGTTTGTTGGAGAATTATTGGAAGGTGCACAATAATACAGTAGCACCAATCCTTTAAAAAAAGTGAAGAAAGGCTGCCTAAATGCGCGCACATCTCAATTACTTATTTCTTATCGAAATATGTATCGTCTTAAAACCTTATCAGTAAACACTAGTATAAGGATCATAACACTGATAGATTGTTTTTAGCGATTGCTTAAATTAGTAGTTCCTTTTCCTGATTTGTTCTTTTTTCTTCGAACGAGTTTTCCGTTTATTTCAACAAGAAAGAAAAAGAGCTTTTTCTACATTGGCGTCTGCAAGCGCATGAAATACAAGGTTTTTTTCTGGAGTTGCTTTTGCACCTCCATCGTCGGAATCATCGTGGGGCCGAAAATAATTTGAAATTGGTAAAGGAATCATTCCAGTCACCGTGGCAGATTGTGTTATCGTTCGATGTCTCATTAAAGAAAAAACACAACTTCTGCGTTTAGAACATCGCATGGCTTCTGCAATTTAATAGAAGTACATTTTGTAATTGGACAGTTCAATTGAACACTTTACTGCCATTGTATGTAGTTTAATCATTATATTCACGGAATTTTTTTTTTTATACAAGTAAACACTTCAGGAGCACATTTATTCCATTCTCCTTTTGGAAATACATCGATAATTAGAACAAATTAGTACATAGGAAAATAAAAAAAATCACTATATATCGAATATTTATTAAACAAAATAATGCACGCTTAATTGGAACTAATCATAAAATAAGACAAGACAGACAAGACAGAAAGACATGACTTAAGCCGACAGCAAAATAATACAAAGAAGGAATGTAATATCTGATGACTAAAGACTTAAATAAATTGAGACAATTGTGACTAAAGGCTACACCTAGCTGTTCATTGTTATCAGTTGTTGATTGATAATCGATCAGGCCTTGTATTTGTGGTACACAGATGTGTGTTTTTAATTTCGTTCCATTTTGTTTATTCACAAACTTGTCAACCCCTTTACGAATACAAATACGGTGTCCCAACTGGAACAAATATAAATTTGAGGAGTGACAAACATGGCCAAAGGTGGCCAGACTCTGCCTGTATGATGCCAATTTCAGAAATTTAAGTTTTTTTAATACACAAAAACTTAAACACATATACATGTACACTGTATACCTCTTTCTATGTAAAAAAAAAAATTAACATTATATTTAAACATACAAGTATAAAGTACATTTCTTTTTCATGAGATAAATATTCTTTTGCACAATTATTTGTATTAATGATATCAAAAATTCAGTCTTATCAAGGGACTTGCAGCTGACCAATCAGAGATTGCCTTCTGAGAGCATCAGGATAGGGTTATCCTACATCACACGTGATTGGTTGGATGTTTGTGACATCATCCACAGGATGGGAGCAGAGTGGACAGGTGTAGGAGGGATCTGCTAGAAAATTACTCTGGAGAAAAAAAAAATGGGAATAAGAAACTAAAATTGTTGCATGTTCCATTTTAATTTTACATTCCCCTGAATATAAAAATTATCCTAGACGACAAATAATTACTAATACTAAAGGAAACTGTTTGTGGTAAATTTAATCATGCTGTCATTCATATAAACATTCTTTGTTATTCATACAAGCGTTCGTCCTGTTCTGTTTTTAGCCCATATAGTAATTATTAAGTCTTGATAGTGTCAATATTGATAATTCAACGTTGAATAATATTGATATGCAATACATGTAACTCACCTGTACACAATAATAACAGAAGACATGATGGCAGCCTATATGTCTAGGTATGGTCGGCCATTCACCACACACTGCACACTCCTTATACAAACTCCGATCTCTTTTTACTATCGCTCCGGTCTCGGCCCTTTGGGAGGGTGACGGACGGAAGAGTTTCTGTTGCAGGAAATTACGGATGCGTCTGAAGTTGACAAAGGGCAGAAGGAAGAAAAGGAATTCTGCAAATCCGTGCCACAGGAGTTCCCTGGTCATGAACTCAAAACTCACCTAAAAGGTAAATAAATAAAAATAATAAAGTTTTAGTTTTGTAGTTTCCTGCCATAGGAATTACTGAAAATCAGTGAAATTATAGAAATTATGGATTGCAATCATCATACATGTACCTGTCTAATTGACTGTTTTTCAGCGAATTGAGCTCTAATCCCTAGAAGTCGCTCATGAAGGAACTGGTAGCGGCCATCTTGTAAGAACACCAAGAAGTTCACTAGCGATGCCACACTTAAAAGCTTTTCAAAGAAGTAAAGTGCCTTCCATATCTGTTGGGGAAAAAAAGATGAAATAGAAATTCTCTTCACTTATTTATTTGAATTATTTGTCGTCGTTTTTCTTTCAAAAAGATTTGACATTTGATAGTGAATTTATATCTATTCACAAAACCGTACTCTTACTCTTGAAATCAACAACTAAATGATTTATACATGAACATGTACTTACTTTTCTAAAAGCTTCAATGTGATTGGTCGAACTGGAGAGGTCAGCTGATCTTTCCTGCAGCCACTTTGCACCAATCAGGATGCAGGCATACAGTAATCGTTGTCGATGACCTAGGTCAGGGGTCATTGAGGCCTCGCTTCCATATTTCAGATTCATTATACGCTGACCCAGTGTAGCCCCAATTGTGTTGATCGAAAACTGTGATACAGAAATATAGCAAATTAAGTAATGCCTGATATTGAACAATGCTTACCATCTTATTGTTACATTAGTATCTTCAGTCACTCGATTTTTTTCAAAGGCCCAAGCAGGCAGTTTATATAAAATTAACTTTGTTGATACATTTTTTGTGTCATTACCTGCCATGTTAATAGTCTCAAAGCAGCATTCAGTTCCGGCTCAATATATGCAAGCACACCAGGCTGAAAATAACCAAAGGACAGAAACTTGATAGGCCTAATTCAATCTTCAAATGGAATTATGCTGCTGCAGTGGTGGGGTTACTGAAGTTTACTTTCAAACACATTTTACAAGATTAGTCATCTCATGCAAAAACGTCATTACATACTTCATATTACTTATATATTAGTATTATTACCACCAAAAAAGGTTCCAACTTCTGAGGGAAACCCAAAATAATCTTTAAATTCCAAAATCATTTAATAAATCTGTACTTCACCTTGAAGAACTGAAAGATCCTTTGGAACTGGGATTTCAGAAGTTGATGAAGTTCACTGTCCAACTGACTTGAATCCAACTGAAAATTGAAATCAAAAGAAATGACATGATTTATAAATTTATTTATACTTACTGCAAGTGCAAGCATAGCATGCGGTCAAAAGACCCTCTGTATGCAAAAATCCATCAAATAATATAACTTTATTAGTACCTGACTGACTCGAAGTACAACCTGATTTCTACTTCCGGTTCCAGTTTCTTTATTTTCAGACGAACCCTTGGTGGCTGCCATTTTGTTTATTGACGATCGTTGCTTATTAACAGCGCCCTCAAGTGATAACAATTTTATCATAAACAGCCGTCGGGTCTTAACCAAAAACGGAAATTGACCAATGAACGAGTTCGTTTCATGCATTGATTACACACACAATGCAAATTGGTTTGAATTTAAGCGCTTTGACCGGGCTGAATAAGTGGACGATTCGGCTCTTTTTGTGACCTGTTTACCTTGTTTACTGAACGTGAGTATTAGCGACTTGTTGTTTACTTTGAGCTGCTAATTCTTACCCGAGGGAATGAATTGAAGTATTTTAAAAGTGAATGGACACTGAGTAGTGTGTACGGTACGAAGTGCCGGTGGTCGAGTTGACGGTGCATGTATGCAGACACGGTTGTCAGAATTGAAGGCTGATGCTGATCATGATGATCGTTTAGTGACGGGCTAATTTACGTTCGGATTTTGGTAAGCCGTTTGACATATGTCAACTAAAACATCATTTAGAATGTTATTTATTCATGTGATTTTTCCTATATTCCTGTTCTCCAGGTTCTTTAAAGCAGTGTTTGGCCAATAAAAATGGAAGTTATGGAAGTGTTAACTTTCAAGTGTGTGATTGTGAAGTGATTTGAATATGCACAAATTGACAATATTGTCTTACTGACATAAATTTTAATTTGACCCAAAAAAATTGGAAAAGTGTTCTTGCCAAAAACTTGTGTATTTTTGCTGGACTTCCTGTTTGTTTCGTTTCCCCATCCCCCCCCCCTTTTTTTGGTTGCAATATATCACATCAAGCCTTCTTAAATTATATTTTATATTAATTTATTAATAACAACTACTTATCATGCGTAGTTGTAAAGCACAGGGAATGCCTCTGGCTTTAATTTAGTTCAGTTCAGTTATGTTCAACTATGAGCTTTAAAAAGGATAGCTCCATGGACCATGGTTCAACCATGGAGAAATAAAAAAAAATACATCATTTCTACATATTTCTATTCCTCCACACACCACAGAAAGGTATGGAGTTGGAGGTTTTTTTTTTAGTATTTTGAAATATTACAGATGGTCATATTTTTTTTGTTTCTTAGCATTGCTGTCTTGTTTTCTTATCCTTTTATTTAATGGACAGAATTTATAAAATACCAAGTAAAAGTTTTTGACCTAAAAAATGACATAGGCCTACTTTACCTTTAAACTTTTAACTAAATTTAAGGAGGCAAAACAATGTTAAAATTGTAGACTACTTTTTTTGTCCCACTTTTTAGCCAAAACTATGAGAATTTTTCAGCTTATTTTGAACCCAAACAGGAACTAAATGTGATCAAGCTAACAAATTTGTAGGTGTTATCTATGCAACTTATTGAAGTTTGTTACAAATAAAGTTTCATTAACTTTAATACATTTCCTATTTAGTTAAACAAAAATGACATTATTTCCTATTGGATCCTAATTTATAGAATGAACCCTGTACAATGTACTGTTTACTTGAAAATGGAACTACCCCCTCTTGTGACAAGATTTTGACGAGCGTGTTTCTTTTGACACTATGAATGAAACTCTAAGATACATACAGTGTATGTAATGCAAGAATCTTACTCATCCAATATTATAATTACCATTTATAGGATACAAAAGATATCAGTTAGCAAGGAGATTAATCAAATAAACATGTGCTTATGTGGCAGGTTTTCAAACTTTCATTTATGGAACATGTACAAAATGTTTGTCTTGCTAATTGATGAAATGAGTAACCACCATAACTTTACTTTCATTTCTCCATTTGAAAATAAGTGCTAAGAACTCACAATAATAGGAATGATTTTCATAAGAAAAACCTGTATTTGCAGGTTACACATAAAGTTGTTTAGCAATTCAAAAAATTCAACCATGGTTAGCCAGTAAAATTGTATTCAATATATCCAACAATAAATGTAACTGATAAGGAAATTACAGCGACATCTCATTTTACACTGAGTAAATATGCACCTTTGAACTTTCCCAAATGGTCTCCCTGATGCACGCCCACCTGCAGAGCTTTTGTGGCTCCCATTATATTGGTAATAAACACAAGTGTTATGAACAAAGTTTTAACTTGGTCATGTATTCTTCTGGACCCCCTTCATTGTCTAGCGTAGGTAATTCCACACATCTGTAGTTTATCTTTTTTGTAATCAATCAGAGATCAGAAGTTCAAATTTCCAACAAGCACGGTCTCCTTCCTAATCAAGTTTCTTTAGAATGTACAGGTTGCTCTTGAGTAGTTTGGAGTAGGTCATTGTGGCTATTAGTGCGACTAAAATACTCAAAATTTAAATGGATTCACCCAGTTTGGACGATGAAAAATTGGCCGCGGAGGCCGAAGATAATAGTGACCACGACGTTGTTGAACTTGAAAGTGACCCCAGTGATGTCGGCAGTAACGGTGTCGTTGAAACAGGCAGTGATGTAAGTCAGTCTTTAAATCATTTGATGTGAGAGAAAGCTCTTGAAATACTTGACAAGTTGGATTTGATTGGAGTTGAACCTGAGCAGCATTTATTGGATATTACATTCATGTTGTGCATGCTATGTATGCTGTTGCACTTGAAGAACAGTTGAGGAGTGTTGTTTCTCTACTCAAGATACTGCTATTCATGCTGGACATCTTCCTGTATCTATGATATCTACTGTGCGTGATCCTTTCAAAGGACCAATATTGCTGCATTGTGAGACTTTTCTCTAGCATTTGATCAAGGTCTTACTCTTACGTGCTTTACACACAATGTGAATCTGCTTAGCTCTCTTTTAGTTGGATGGATTATATTATTAAATCACCCTTCTTTATCCTATCTGTGTTGCATAACTTTTCCAGCTTACTGCAAACAAGCTGTGTCTCTTATGAAAAGAACTTGTGTGTAGGCTCAACATCTTAACTGACGAAGCTGTGGCGTTTGTTTGCATGGATGCACCATCCATTTAATTTTTCGAAAGTGTACAGTAAATTGACTCAAGAAAAAGCTTGGCAAAAGGAGAGCCTTCACTTCTAACAGATTCCGAAGTGTTACACTACTTTTAGCTGTGCGGAATTGGCATTGGATCTGATGACGAGTCTTGAAACTTGAGACGGTTACCATGGAAATGGAGACATCTATCGATGATGCCTGTGTTGTGAAGTGATGGGCTCCAGAAAACAAACCTTTATCATTGAAATTGTGATGATAGTAAGTAGAATAAATGCTTGCACATGTCTTTATCTGATTTGAAATCTTACTCTAAACATCTTACATTAAAAAACATACTTTTTTGGCAGAATTATACAATTTTACTAAGGCCAGAAAAAAAATATTCGGTCTCTGGTCAGACCAAAGTTCCGGAATTGACACGGCCGCGCGGCTTTTTTTTTTTTGTACAGACAAGGTGGGGTACTATTTTGCTTTCTTGGTGTCCTCATGTACATTGGTGTCCTCCATAATTTGCCTTGGTGCTTTCGATCATTTGCCTTGGTGCAATTTCCCATTCCTTGGTGCTCTTTGGTAAAAAATAAATTGAGGAGGTGAGGAAATAGAGGGTGCTGTTGGAGCTACCGTGGAACATTTTGGGAAAAAAAAAGATCGACGCGCATGATTAAAATCGATGCGCGCGCTGACTAGAGACCGACTTTTTTGGGGGGGGGGGGGGCCTAATTAAGAATTTTTAAATCCAGTGTAAAAACGACCTGGTGTTTATACGGTTAGATGTGATTTACTACATTTTTGCACCATTTATTTACCAATTAAATTAAAGATTTTGGAAGATTTGCATCACTTGACAGAGTAAAGACAAATAAAAGATAAATGTAAAAGCTAATAAACCAGTTGACAGTTAAATCAAAAGGAGATTATTGGATTGCATCAGGCCGCCAGGGGTGCACACCCTGATTTTAAACCTTTGAAGAATGCAAATAGAAGTAAGATAGTGCAGTGATTATCATGATAATGTATTAACACTGTTGGTGTTTTCCCAGGGTTAAATGGTTTTGAAGAGTTTATCTTGCAGCATTGGCAGTTCATCTATTGTTTCTTAAATATTTAGAGAACTTGGCATGGAAAAAAATAATTATACGCAACATTTGGTAACAAACATGACAAGTCTACTTTTTGTTTGTCCTTCCGTAGTGTTAGTTCTAGCAGAGTAGTCTTGTACATTTCAACAAGATGTCAATGTTATTTGGTTACAAGTTGGTCAAAATTGCTTTGGCGAAACGTTTGGAAAGTTGTGTTCATTTGAAACTTTACTTTTAGCATTAACAGTAGTTTGTTGATAAAACAGATCGTTAAGAGCAGAAACAAATAACTGCAGCCTGTATGGGAGTGATGCTCTCTTTCCAAAGTTTTGGCATGCCAGTTACATTTGCAGTTGCTAAGATTTTAACTTCCAGAGTTATCAGAATGTTCCGGAGTAAAGCTTTGTTGACTTAAAATCTTTAAAGACCAAGCATGATGCTACCACGCTGGGGACGCGCAGCGTGTGTGCATAACGGGCAAATGCACACTCAATTCTAAGCCTGTTTGCCTAATTCTTTTGGCAGTTTACTAGCACGCCTTTTGTGTCAGAAAAGAAGCAAGGTTGCCAATAAAACGATATTGATTATTGTACTTTTTATGCCTGGTGGTGGACAACAAAACAATTTTTAAGGGCAGACAAATTCACGTAGTGCAAAAGTGTGTCGATATCTAATAACGTATGCGTGACGAACTTCAAATCTTGGCCTGCAGACAAATTCATGTAGTGCAAAAGTGTGTCTATATCTAATAACGTACGCGTGACGAACTTCAAATCTTGGTTTGCAGACAAATTCATGTAGTGCAAAAGTGTGTCGATATCTACATGTAATAACGTACGCGTGACGAACTTCAAATCTTGGCCTGCAGACAAATTCATGTAGTGCAAAAGTGTGTCGATATCTACATGTAATAACGTACGCGTGACGAACTTCAAATCTTGGCCTGCAGACAAATTCATGTAGTGCAAAAGTGTGTCGATATCTAATAACGTACGCGTGACGAACTTCAAATCTTGGCCTCTGATAAACCGACTGATCGGACTTTTATCACAATCGGGCAAAACTTCAACACCTTGAAGTTTTCTTCTTCTGTTGTATTCTAGACAGTAATCTTATGTCACGGTAGTCTTGTGAGTTGTGACCGTAGTAAATTTATTCTTGTAGAAGTTGTGAAGCGACGTGATTTGCAAAACGGATTTTTCAAATGACGATTTGTAGACCGTAGAAGATACACAAAATTGCAGAACTTAGTTTTTACATTAGATGAAAGTAAAACTCCTGAATGTTATTTCAAAGAAATGTGTGATCGATTACATTTAAATTTGAACTTTTAACCCTGTAAAGTTTTTAAAAACGAATTCGACAGTTTATTCCTGTGTATTGTTATCGCTTTTGTGGCGCTCCATTTGTGATCGTACAAATATTCTTGCGAAGTTCCACTTTGCTGTTAAATCTCAGCTGTACGCTTGACCAAACCCCAAAACCCCTTGGGCAAATCTGGCCCGTCACTAAGCAACGGACGCTATCAAGTAGCGTCCCCTCTGCTCGCGTGGGGTCGTTCGGCGTGGGTAAACGCCCACCCTGGAACTCACGGTCTTATCAAAGGTGCACTTTAACCCCCCTCAGCCGACAGGTGAACTCAACCACTTGATTGATTGGTTAACTTCGTTCATTCAGGATCACATCATGCGTGTGTGCAGGATGCCAACAATTACACTGGTACTCTGACAATTGTATATACATGTAATTACATAGCAGACGTGTGGGACCAGTGACGTAGTATACACGTTGGATATGGTGAATGAGTGAACGGCTGCAGTGCAAGTGTGTGTACATCGTATTTTGGAAAGGAAAGAGGCGGATTTCTCGCACTAGCTTTCCGCTGGGATTTCTGTTGTTCAATGGACTTCCGCATGAAGTGAACCGCTTCCTTCGGTGGCAGTTATCGGCAGGACCTCTGTATTGCTCTCGCGACTTTTTTAGATCGTTTTCGCTGGATCCGGATTTCGGAACAGGTTGTCGCGTTCCCCGACTCAATGTGCCGCTTCAGCAAAGGACCCCTGTAGAGTTGTCAGTCTATCTTCAGTCTAGATCTGCCGGCTTTTCATCTTTGGAATTGTTGAGATTTGAGAGTCAGTCGATTAACTTGGATTTTAAGCTGCTTAAATATCAGCAGTCATGTCTATGAATGGAGACGAACGTCTGGAGCGAGTCATCCAGGTGAGAATAATTTATGTAAAAATAAATTGTAAAAACTAAAATATATGTAAATAAACTTAACTTATTTTCTAAAATACAATTCAATTTAAATTCTGTCATGTCTGTGGGAGTTGAGGGAATTTATTTTGACAAAAATATTCTTTATTTGGAAAGAATGTTGCAACCTAATGCCACTTACTGATGACTTAGGTCAGTCATTGCAAAACTGTTGAAAAGACATGAATCTGGGACTGAGAATCATTTCCAATTTTTTAGGTAGGCCTAATACTAATACTTAATAGTTAAAAATAATTCTTGACTCTCCACAAACGTTAAATACACAACAGCCAAAGTTACATGCATATTTGAAACATCTGTTCATTTGTTAAACATAAAGAGGTCAAACGTGTTTTTTGTTTTTGTTTTTTTCATTTTCTTTGCCTCACCAAAATTATTCTGCACGGAAAAGAAAATTGATCTTGATTTAACTGACATTTTCTTTTTCTTTTCATTCAGAGATTTGAAAGATGCGCATTTTATTTGAACAATTTGAAAACTGATACTGTTAAAACCCATTGATAATTTGCAGTGATTGGTTGATACTACATTTCAAATATTGCCCCTCCACAATTGCCGTGATTTTGACCCAAATACAACTCTTGATAATCTCTGACCACAGATCCTATTGATAAAACAGTCGTTAATAATTCCCCGACATGTCTAACATCTGTCCGACACCTAGCCTGCATGGGCCATGGTTGCAACCAGGTTGTACCGTTGCCATGGTTTCATTTGACGGCCCTTCAGATGGGACGCCTTTGTCGAAAAATTGGACTCTGCATTGGAGGATGCTGTTCACTTGTCATTCATCAAATTGCTTGATTGACACTAGGACTGCAGAGTACCTAGAAACTCCTTGTCCACTTAAACAGTAGTCATCCGTTTAATTACGTACAGTGTTGTACAAGCCAGCATCAATTTCTTTTAACAATAGAATTAGCCATATACTTGTTAATGCACATAAGTCCCACTGGATTTCAATGCCAGCATCCTTGCTTGCCTAACTGCTTCCTACAGTCATAATGCTAGGTAGACAAAGGCCTGCATTTCAGATGCATGTCCTTTGTACTTGACTCTAGGCTAGTGCTTTGAATTACCCTTGCAGGCAGCATCGTTGTTAAAATATTCGGGAGTGCATTTCCTACAGATATTGGCAGTTAATTGTGCAGTGTTTCATAAAGGCTTTTATGCCTGTTAATGCTGCATTTCTACCACTTTGAAATGAAACCTGATGATGCACATTCATGGCTTTCCTTTACTCTCCAGTAAATTGTTGACAAAATTATAAAATACAACAAATCAGCATGGACTCTACTTCAATATGCACAGAGAAATTGTGTCTGAAAAAAAACTACCACTTTTTTAATGGGAATATAAAGGGAGGTTATTATTTTGTCACAAGTGGTAAACACTGCAGTTTACATTCTCATAAATATTATATGCAGCTGTATACAAATGAAATATTCAAGAAGACTTGTAATAAGCTTGATTGGGTAAATGCAATGTTTTTGATTGTCCACAAGAAACCACTTAGAGGTACACACAACCTGCACTCTGTATAAAATAACTGGCCTTGTGTTTATTAGCTGTGCATAGAACCATGACGACCTAATGGCTAGGGGGGGGGGGGGCATCTGTCCAATTTTGTGTGGGTTTATAAATGCTGGATTTTCTGCTTCAGTAAAAATTGCCAACCACTTGCACACGCAGTGTATTCTTTGTGTACGTTTCTACTCATTTGTGTATGTTATATGAAGGCCTTGGACTTCAACTTGTGTTTATGTAGAAATATTGGTTTAATTTTTGTGATATACTTCCTGTCTGTGGTTGTGGTCTTCCTGCTTGGAGTCTGTTGTATTTTATTTCTGGGTAAGTGTGGCATAGACTGATAAACATGACAGGAAATGTACCATGTGGTTATTTTATCAAACCTAAACACATTGGAAGGGAACATGGTTTGTTTCTCGTTTGAACAATTTGTAAGCAGATGTGCATCATGAAGTTCTCTGAAGAGAAAGTGGGATTTGATACTGTCTGTGTACTGTGTAGTGCATCTGTTACAAAGACTCTTTCATGCATTAATGATGTTATTTATACTGGATGACTTGTCATTGCAATAACAATGCAGAGTAGCATTTAGCATTGAGTATAAGTACCTGCTTGTTGTACTGTTGTGTTGCAAGTTCAGCTTTTGTTACGAAAAATTCCACCGATAAAAAATTGCATTGCTTTTTTAAGAGTTGCCTTTCGGTTAGTAAACCTAAATCTATCCACATTTTGGAGTTAGTGACTTGGTAGTCACACCAGATTTTTCTTAATTCTAACTGTGATATATATTTGTTATTCCTCTGTGTTTCTTTTAGTTAATACAAAATATCATTTTCAAAGCTATAGTACTGATTACCTACATACATGTATGTGTTCCACCAGTTTTACTTGAAAGATACTGAACTGAACTTGTGAGTTCTTGGACAAATACTCCATACATCTTCACCCGTCTGCAGACAAACTAGAAAAATCCGTTTCGGAGGATGGAATTATTCCCAGGCACCCGACTGATGTGCGTTGTTGAAGATGATCAAGTGTACTCTGCCACTTAAGTTGAAGCCCAAAATCATTTGATACTTAAATGCTTTGTCAAATTGCCATTCCATATTTCCCATTTTAAATAATTTGTTTGCGCTGATTTCTTATAGAAATTAGAAGACACTGTTCTCTCTAAGGAGGACCAAGAAGCCGACTCGGTTCCGTCCGTCCGAGGCGACGGAGACAGCAACACCAAAGTCCCTGCCCGCATCCGTGAGATCATCACCAAGAACCTGTCTGCTGATGACCTACCACGTCTTGAGGAGTCTGGCCTGAGTCCTTCCGTCATGTCGCTACAGGAGGAGAATCGTATGCTGACCAATGAGTTGAGCAGGGTGGAGGATTTGCTATCTGCGAGTCGGGCTGAGAGAGATGAGATAGCGATCAAGTATCAGGCCCTCTCTGATCGGGTAAGAACCACAACGCAACATCAATACTTATCTTTCCTTTCTCATCCTTTAGCCCTTATCTCAATTTGCTCGTTTCAAGGGTCTCATCAACGTAGTCTTTCACAAAATGAAAGTTAATATGAGTAACCCAAAATTGCTTTAGTGTTGCATACATAAAGGTCCTTGATTTTTGTTGAAATTCAAATAGTTTTGATTGAGACAAAACAACCATAGATAAATGAAATTTGAGTTCAACTGAAAACTGCAGTCTTCACAGAATTCATGAGTAGAAGTAATTGGTATTCAACACTGAATGAATGCTTAAATAATCCAATATTATTTTTCATTTGGTTTTTCTCCTAAGGGGACATTGTTTTTAAGCTGATGAGTTACTTTTTGTGCTCAGGGAGAAATTAATAAATTAACGAAATACTTTGTTCAGTTTCCATTTTAGTTCTTGTCAGTGTATGCATGCCCTTGTTTTTTTTGTCTAATCTTTATTGGAAAGCAATAAACATCTTCACAACATACATGTACTGTTTACTATACAGGAACGTGTTTCGCAGCTGTTATGTTTACTTTTTTTCTGGGAACCTCCAAATACTCACATCAGAAATCTTCAGATAAATTGTTTCCATTTTGTCAGGTGAAAAATACTTTTGTGCACCAAATAATGCATTAGTCAGCAACTAACATTATTTCCAATCATTTCAAATAAATTCATTTCTCAACTGTTTCAGACAAAGGAACAACAATTCATTGCTTGCATGAACAGCTTTTATGGTACAATTGCCACGTTGGCTGTATGGGTAAAATATAACCCACGCTTACATGTATACATGTGTGGGTTGACAACTAGCATTGGTTGATCCATTGTTATACATTGTGTTGATGGTTCGTGCCATCTCCTGTGCATGTGGAAATGCAAACAGTACTTGTGAATTAAAATCAATGACAGCTGTACTGCCTGGTAAACAAAATACATTGTATGGCCATACAGTTTGTACATGTACTGTACCTCATACTTGTGAATGGAACTGAAATTTCTATTTTACAAGAAAAATTTGAAGTGAAAACATACAATGAACCTCACACTCAGACGCTAGTCGGCACAAAAAAATACAACCTTGTTCCATTTCAAATTCGAGACAACTTATTTTGAAGTACCGGTACAAACAATGTACATTGTATGACACAAAGGCAACAATAAATTGCAATTGAAGATTTTAATTTCCTCATGGGGATAATAACAAATTTAACCACATTTTTATCTATACAAAAAATATAATGTGCATAGGTTGTCACAGTGGGTGATATTAGACAGTGCATTTAACCCATATTGACATGAAAATACAGTAAACATGAATGTGAAATGCACTGCACATTAGAATTGATTTAATTAATTACAAATGTATCCATGTGTATAAAATATTGCAACAATTGATGCATTGGTAACACTGATTAATATGCGGATAGATTGGAGATTTGATCAGAAGGTCAGATCTACAAATGTATATTTTGCTGAGATGGAGAAAATGGGAGCTGCAAGTCTCTATTACTCATGGAACAATGTCCTTGGTTTGTTTCCAGCAGTTTGCTGGAATTAAATTAAATCAGTCCTTTGGGAAATGGTATCCAATCCAATGGATTCCAAATATTTAATTAAATGTTGTGCGTACATTCATTGGAGATATACCGTTGCACTGTGTACAAGTTTCATTAGGAATTAACCTGATCCTTACAGTAAGCAATAGGCATACGTCCATATTGTACATACTGTAGTACAATGTACCAGTAGTGCGACTGATTACAGTGTTTCAGTCACTCTAAACAAAATAAGCTTTATAAATCCGTTAATGTATATATATTGAGACCAAAACTTGAGCTCAGCAGGGAAAGGATAATTGATTGAGTGAAAAATTTCTGACTTTAAAATGAACAAACTTGATGAATTTTGAATTTGAAAAGTAAAACAAAATACGGTATTTTAAACTAATTAGAATATTATAAAAAAAAAAAGACAGGTTTGAATAGAGGTTTCCCGAATGATGTAAAATTAAATAATAAATGATAATAATAAAAATGGTATTTATTTTGTGCATATGCCATAAAAATGTTCTAATGCACATTACAAGTTCCGAACAATTGTTAAAAATATTATTTTATACAAAACAACAGTTGGGCAATAGAATGTTTTCCTAATTATTCCAAATGTTCAATGCTGTTGCTTGCACCGACCATCTGGCCCCTTACCAAAGATTAATGCTTCATACCTCATGCACTCACCTCCATCCCGCTCCTGGTAGACTACAGAATGGTTTATGGTTACCATGGCAACACTTGGACTTTGTTCCACGTCTCCCCCTGCAGTTTCTGTAATTAAAGCTATCTGCACTTTATATCGTGCCTTACCGCACGGTGGTAATAATATCATTCATCATCAGAGGTTATCGTTAATTCAGTACGTTGCACTCCAAACTCAAACAGGTTGAAATAATTATAATTGTCTATGGACCTGCTATACAGTGTACGCTAAAGTGCAAAATCTAGTAACTACGTGAAATTTACCAACAAATTTGCAGAATATTTAATAATAATCATGCTCAGCTTACTCATAACACTGATAGAGTAAAGTATTTTAAAAATATATCAAAACAGCTTTTTAAAATTGAACAGAATTTTATACAAACTATAAATGTTTAAAACATTTTTTTTTTTTACAACGACGTACTACGTATGACCAATTAACAAGTGCAACACTTGTTCCCTACACCTGCATATCCATGGTTATCATCGACCTTATAAGTTTGAGTTTATCGCACCTTTTGACCTTTGCACTTGGCCGAGCTCCGCATGTTTGCTTTAATTTGCACATTGACCAATCAGGGCTCTGCGTGATACTCATTTACATATGAATGAGCGTGTACTCGCTTGTCTCATTGTGAGAATGAATTGTTTATATACTGGAAGGCTGAAGTGGGCCGGTGTGTAACGAGCAAACATCATTTATATCAACGGTCAAATTTGATTTCAAAAATTCATTTCCAGTGTAGAGTTTTGCAGCCAGACTGTTAGTTTGATTCTGGGTGTATCATCATCTTTAGCACAAGTGTCTGCTCATATGTTGAGCTTGGTGAAGAGGATTTAAAACAAAAGAAACAAATTGGCAAGAAGCCAACGTTGGATTACACTTTTCACCATTGATGATAGAAGACCTGGGATTGCAATACACTCATGAGTCTGTCTAGTCTGGGCAGGCATTCCTTGCCTGCGTTTGATGATGTTTTGTCAGAAAATTCAGATGATATGTCGTTCAAGGTAAGCTCAGTATTTTGAAAATCCATTTAATTCCTGAAACTATAATGAAAATCTGGATATCAAGTACCGGTAGATCTAAATCTTGGATTCCTTGTTAGATTTTGCTATGGAATGGCAGGGAATTATTTTTGGCTTTTTGTGTGGATGTACGGTACCTTATTCGAATTTGGAAAAACAAGCTAGCAGCCAAAACTACATTACATGTACATGTACCTCCATTACATGTACCTACATTACAGTCTCCTGACGATGACTAGAGCAGGCTAGTCGAAACGTTGAGACCAAAGACAAGTTCGGTTAGAACTTACAGCAGGACTGTTCTTATCAGAACAAACAAACAAAAAACAAAAAAACTACTTAGCAAAGTTGATAATAAGCAGGACAAGTTCTTTTCAGAACTAATATCTTCTAAGCAGTAGTTATTACCACATGGTGTTACCGCAAACGATACATGTACCTCCATACACATTTAAGCAGAAAAATAGATTGTGGAAATTGAGTGAATGTAATTATTGAAGCTTCGAGAGAATTCAAAACCTCCAATGCCCCATTAAAAAAATTAAAAAATGAAGAAGTGAAAGAAAATCCAGGCAGAAGTATGAATATTGCAGGATACAGGTGTGTACATGTACTTGAGAAGTTGTAAGATCCCATTCAGTCTTTGTGAATGCTCATTGATCCCTCACACCACCCACCCAGTGGGACATCCATGACCCTATTCACCCCCATCATGTACCTGTCACACCCCTGTACAATCACCCAGCTTGGCCCCACAATAGCACCAGGGCTAGGGAGTCTCTGACTGGCTAGCCAACGCTCCAATGTTCTCAGATCATGTTCCTTGGCATCCTGCCTCTACCATGACAACTTCTCTGTTCTGTTGTTTGGTGTTGTGAAACCTTGTCCGGTTTGGAGAAAACCAACAATTAATCTTGGTACACCTGATACTGGTGGCCGGATGTAGTATTACCTTGGGAAATGACTACTGAAGTTAACACAAAGAGATTACTTGAGTCAATTAAATTTAACAATGTTTTGTGTGTGTGGGGTGGGGGGGGGTGTCTTCAAGAATCTATTTGGGGGATGGTTGAGTTCACCCAAATATTGTGTTCATGCTTTTTTACCCCTTTGAAAGTAAAAATAATCACAAAGTTATTACTGGGTTGGAATTTAAAAAAAAAAAAACAGTCAAAATTCAGATGTCTTATTATCCAGTGCTCTGCTAGAAGATTGGTAATGGTACCATATTAAATTGTTCACTTTGCTGTGGCAGCAGTGCAACAATAAATGGTGGTTATTATGATGATCGGCCCAACATATTGAAAGTTTGGAAAAGAGAAGCCTGAAATATTGGCTATTAAATTGTTCTTGTGACTGAGCAGTAGCTAAAGTCATTTAAACTTTCCAGATTACAGCTTTACTTAAGTTGTTTTTAGGATCAAGGGATTTCATCAAGGCAACAATACAGCTCATCCTAGAAATCCCATCAAAGCGTCTTCAAATCTTCACAGATGAGTCGTCTCATTGAAACTTAATTGCCCTGTGCCTCAGGTGTAGCTACACCTGCCCAGCTTACGCAAAGTCCTCATAGTAGGCCTAAACGAGTAAGCACGATTTACATATGAATAGGGGACGCTATCTGTGAATGGGACCGTGTGTGAGATCCTGGCCCCTGCCTGCCAGCTATTGTCACAATGACCTGAATGTTTACCTGCTCTACTATACAAATCCAGGCACTCGTGGATATATTTTCATCCTTTACTAAAATCTTGTTGGGTCATGTTTCTTGATGATGCAACTATCTTGCTGTTTAAAAATGTGTCAGGTGTAGGCTAATTAATTGAATGTTGTTGATCCCATGTCATTCGGTCTATCTGTTACATCTGTCTCCCATTGTCGTGACTTTTGTAAGGGTTGAACGTGACAAATTGTTCCGTTATCTGCAGCCTCATTACCATAATCAATAATATTGAGTTTTCATTGATACCGGAGACGCTGTGTTGGTCCGAGTTTCTTCGGAATGTAACTTCTACGTTTTCTTCATCTATGTGTTGGTTCTGTGGTCCGTGTAATGTCTCGAGGAGTTACGGTGTCTTTCCTTGGTTGGAAGATTTTGACAATTGCATTGAGATGAGGATTTGATGTCGGCTCTTGAGGATGTCTAACGGTGATCTCAAGTCAGGGTCATATGTGAAGAGCCGCGTAGATCAAGCAAGTAGCATAGCATCAGATTACGATCAGCACATTGCGTAGGGCAGTCAATAGGGACTTGTCTAGAGAGTTGCCTAAGGGGTCTTGTTTACTCTTGTACATGTAGTATTTAATTGTCAATGAAGTGCTTGTACATAGTTATGTTTGGCTTTGGTATGGCAACAGTGCCTTTCAAAAGGAAAAGTGTACTTCTACAGGTACACTATTCATAGCACTAGAAATAATGCAGGGTAATGAACATGTATCATGTAGGGTAATGAACATGTATCATGTAGGGTAGCAAGTGTACAATGTAGTTTAACCCTGGCCCCTTGGGTATTTTTACTAGGAAGTATCCTGAATCCGTCAAAATCCATCCATTTTGCCATGCAAAAAAATGTTGAACAGTGAGTCCATCAGGATCCACCAGTTAGGCGGGAGTAAATCTGTTGAGATCCTGAATCCATCAAAAGTCCCCCCAACTGCTCAATATGGTAGTATCCTGAATCCATCAACATCCTGCAGTACCGCTAGGCTTACTGTCCTGAATCCATCAAAATCCCCCAACTTTTTTTCAACATGGAGGTATCCTGAATCCGCCGAAATCCTCCAAAACAGGAGTGTGGATTTTGATGGATTCAGGTACGTTAGGGTTAAACTTTACCGAAATCTCCTGGGTGGAGACGGACAATTTAAGCAAAGCTTTCCTGCTCAAGGACATCAGGACCATAATTCTCCAACTGATCTGGAGGTAGGACCACAACATGGACATTATCTAAGATAACTAACAAATTAAATGCACTTCAGGGTGATTAACGTTTCCTTTTTCAAAGTGTTACCCATGGGTGTCAGGGTAAAAAAAAAATGGGAATGTAACAAAGGGGGGGGGGGGGGGAGCAGCCCTATAATTATACAAACACTCATAGTACCGAGAAGTTGTACCGGGGTTATTCAAGTGAGCATACACATAATGAAAAGATTTAGGATATAATTGATTCTGTACACCTAGGTTGACGTAGGCCTGCTATTGTGAATGTATGTGATCACATTTATGGCTGAGCAGGTTAGAAAAATGTACTTCAGGATAGTTTCAGGTTATCAAGGCTTTTAAGCAAGTTGTTGTTAGAGAAATGATGTACATGTATTGTAGTTGTAAAATGGCCATATTTTCCCCTCTATCTGTTGGGTAACTGCAAACTGTCCGTCATGCCAATACAGTGGGAAGATGCCATCAAATCCAGTGATAAAATTGATCAAGGCAGTACAGAAACCATCGACAATGAACTTGCATCGCTTCTCATAAAATACGGACAGTCACATGGTCGCCGAAGACGACGGCATTCGTCCCCGGTCCGACGACTTAGCTACATTGCAAATTCCAGAAGACCCTCCGATTTCCAGGGAATCCGTAATTTGTTTGAGGGCGGGTTTGATGTTCTTTTGGAAGAGGATGAGACTGGGACCGGTGATGAGGAGGGTACAACTACAAGTGAGGGAGCTAAGATGGCAGACAAGAGCTGTGATACGGATGAGGTGATTGGTTGATTGAGGCGTGCATGATTTGCTGTGATGTTACGTTTCTTTGCTGATGATCATGTATTGTTAAAAAAAAATAATGAATGTGTTGTTTGTCATCTACAGTAACAATTTCACATTATTAAATTTTGAATTCCACCTCATAAACTCTAATTTTGTTTCTTTTGTCTTAAACCCCTTTTCAAACAACAATAGTCGAGGCAGTCTGAGGCAGATCACAATTACCAACACAAGCTCTAACAGCCTAAAATTATCTGCCAAGCAGCTGAACTGTGCAAGAATGAATTGTTGTCTATTAGATCTTCTTCCAACCATTTTCTGTTGACAGGTTCATAATCAGCATCTCCATGTGAGTGGCACACCTCTCCACAGCTAAGAAGATTCCCTCTCATCCCATGTCTTAATTCAATTAAATGCCCCTTGCTTAATCCCCTCAGTCCCTCCCTCCTTGGTTGACCCAAAGGATTATCCCCATTTAAGTACTCAGTGTTGCCCCAACATAGGATTAGTGTTTCTACCATGTCTGCCATAGAAATTAAGTTGTTTCTTTAAGCTTCCAGGCTGTACATAGCAACATCATGCAACTGCCTGCTCCATGGCTACATGCCTGTATTGATGTTTTTGCCGCCAATCATTTTGCCAATTTTCACACTGATATTCTTTTGAAAAATGTAGCCTGAGGAAAGAAAAGTGCCAGATTCTGACTTGGTAATGAATTCAGAGGCATACTTAACTGTCAAAACTAAGTTAGTATTGTTGTATTTATATAAACACTGCATCAAATTTGTTACATGTACAGACAGTACAGTGTACTTCTAAACATTTATATGCCACATGTTCACACAAAAGTGTAGATAATACCAAACATATACATTGTATGCATGACAACAGTTTGTCCGACACAAAATATCACTCAAATGTACATACACACTCATGACAATACACTGCAAAGTATTGATCATCATTTACCATTTTTACATGCATACATTTTATTCATTCCTAATTTCTGGGTTTTTTAACTTTTTTAATTTCAGTATTTTTTTTGTGATTCCAGAAATACCCGGCTTCCAGACACAACGACAGAGCGAATGTTTATGAAAAACAGTTAGTTACTTGAAAAAATTCATTTTGTACCTTTTTTATTTGATTCTGCTTGATTTTGCAGCTGGAGTCATCTTACAAGACAGATATTGGCATCGAGCGTGAACGCGAAGAGCAGAATAGATCCTTGGTCTCGCAGAACGTAGAGCTAAGACGTAAGCTGGAGGATGAACATTCCAACTACAAACGCAAGCTGCAGGCATATCAAGATGGGCAACAGAGACAAGCTCAGCTGGTGCAGAAGCTGCAAGCTAAGGTAAGGGATAGCAAGGTTGAAATCAGACAAAAAGGGATCGGACAAAATGAACTAGACAAATTAGTTTGAGCTGTATGTTCAGAGTGTCGAATTTCTTCACTTAAAATTCATGCACTTAACAGCACAAAATTTGATTGAGCTTATATGTTTATTTTGGAGAATGATCATGGCTACTGTCCATAAAATGTCTGATGCTAAATTGGGAGGAGTTAAGAGAACTCTTCAAAGGAGTACTTGACTTTGTTGCTGTGGTACATGGGTTTGAATCCTGACAGGGAACATGGTGCTTGTGTTCTTGGGCAAGGCACTTTACTACGATTGCCTCTCTCCACCCAGGTGTAGCAAATAGGTTCCTGGTAGGAGGAAATATCTTCAATGCTGGAGCATCGTAATGGCAGCCGTGCTAAAGCCAGGGTAATATTGGAGCACCAGGAGCATCACAGTATATTGTAAAATTGTCTGAATAGTCCGGTTGACTTCAAGCATAAATAACTCTCAGTGGTAGAAATGTAAGACATTGCTGTGAATGTAAGGTCATTTCCTGGTATACAGTGAATAGTGAAATCAAACAAGCAAGGTTGGAACTCTTACACACTTTTGTGGAACGCTTCATGTTATGCTTATTGCGGAGGATAATGCACACACTGATACATGCTTCTGCAGATTGTCTGACTAGTCAATTTGTCTTACTACAGGTGTTGCAGTACAAGAGGAAATGTGGTGAACTGGAGGCTCATCTGCAGGACAGGGTGGCCGAAAATGAACATCATCAATACTCGGTACGTAATGTTGCTAACGCCAAATAGGGTTTTTCCACTAAAAGATCCTTAATTTCTCTAGAGAAAAATAACAAAATCTAAACTTGTCCCAGAAGGATTGTAAGTTCACTCTCTTGCAACTCCTTGCATCTTGTAGTCCGCGTGGTTAAATTGTTTGTTTTTTTTAATTGATTGGGGTTTTTTTTCTTCAAAATTCATCCTATTAGTTGCGGAGTACGACAGACTCTCTACAGAGCCAGCTGGAGACGGCCGAGGCCCAACTCAAGCTGAGAGAGGAGGAACATTCCTCAGATCTGGAGAACGCTCTCTTGAAACTTGAAGAAGAACAACAGAGGTGAGGTCAATACTTTGGCAACAATATTACTGGGTGCATCAGAGGTTGCTTGTGTACTAACCAAACACGAGGAAATTGCTAATACATTTGTACACTACCAGAAAAAGTTGTTTCAGATACAGAGGAACGCCACTATAACGAACACCGCGGAATCCACAGAAATTGTTCATAATATTAGCGATCGTTCGGTATAGCGATTTTAAGCTGCCGGTGCTCAGGTACTCACTTTTCAATAAATAGCGCCCTTCATAACTTCACCCTACACGCCCTGGTAGTTACTGAAAGACGACTTTGAACACGTGCCGACTATTGAATTATGTAATTACACAGTTTTTGAGCTTACTACCTACAGCAATGGGTAGCTTTCCCCTTCTTTTCCTTGAGGAAATAATAGTCACTTGTCGCTTTTCCGTTGACATTTTTCAACAACAATGTTCAGTACGTTTAGTACACAAAAATCGGGAGCCAAAGACAATGTTCGGTATAGCCAAATGTTCGGTATAGTGGTGTTCGGTATAGCGACGTTCCACTTTAGTGGCAAAGACATTAACGAATACCAATCCTTCCAAATCATCTGTTCTTGAATGTCTTCCTTTTATGACTTTATTTTCCAGGAGTTCCAGCCTAGCCCACGTGAATTCCATCCTTCGTGAACAGCTGGACCAATCCACTACGGCCAATCAACACCTGACTGCCGACATCTCCAGAATGACCTCTGATCTGTCCAAGTCACGTGATGAGCTGGAGTCTAGGGAGAGAGAATGGCGTGACGAAGAGAAGGTGAAAAAAAAACACACAGTCATGACACTGATAAAGAAGAGCTGCATTCTATTTGATTTGAGCAGTGCAAAAGAGGGCGCTATTGTCCTCACAGTTGCTTGCTCATTTGTATCGAAGTTGATTTGTACATTCATTGCCATTAGCACTTTGAACACATGGTAATATGTACATTCATATATGCACCTGCTCATAAGTGCATATCTTTGGTTGTCATTAAATAAAAAAAAGCTAAGTTATTTTTAAGGTACAATTTTAGCAAATTAGTTTCAATGCAAATTGCTTATAAAGTCCTTAAAACAGAAAAAAGGTGGCAATTTAGCATAGCGGTATTCAGTGCAATCAATTTGAGGCAAAACATTTTGATATTTCTGTTAAATTTTTCTTAGAGTATATTTCATTCTCATTGTTTACTCTTTAGTCCTTCAACGACTACTTCAACAATGAGCACAGTCGTCTCTTGGCAGTCTGGCGTAACGTGGTCGGCTTCCGGCGTGGATTCAGCGAGATGAAGACAGCTACCGAACGGTAAGATTCATTTAAAAACTCATCTTATGAGCAGTATTTATTTCTGGTAATGAAACCAAGGATTCCTCAAAAGTGCCCTAGGCACCGTAGCTCGCAAGCCTGAAGAAACCTGTGGAGAGAAGACAATGAGAAGAAGTTACTGTTTTAGAGGTGGGAGGAAAAGCCCAGAAGAATATTCTAGGGAAACCCACGGAATCAGGTAGGGACTGAAAACCCAATCCACATATTGGCCCAGGCGGGATACGAACCCCGGTCACAGCGGTGGAAGGCAAGGAAAGTACCGCTACACCAACCTGACCTTCATCAAGTTACTTCGCATACAATTTCTGTATCTTAAAAATGAGTACAAAGAATGCAGCTTTTGTTTCCTATTACATGTAAGTGGTTTATTTTAGAAATCAGACAAGTTTTTTGCAAAAGAACCCAGGGAACAAGGTGTGTAACTTCAAGATTTGTAATGCTTTTCATCCAGGGACATGGCCCAGGTCCGTGCCGAGATGACCCGTATGTCTCGCAACCTCCACTCTGCTTGCTTGAACCTCAACGCCAACATGCGTACCACCGAGACGAGCTCAGTGGTCCAACTGGAGAAGGAGCAATCAGAGAGATTGCAGCAGGAGCAGCAGCTACGGGATAAGGTCAAGGAACTATTGGACCTACAGGCTAGGTTTGATATGGAGAAGGTGGAGCTCAATGCAAGGTAAGGAGGGATTGGTAGAACCTGGAGCAAGTGTAGCTCGGCATAACTTAAGTAACAAATTCATTAGATTTTACTACACAGTTTTATTCCTGTTTTAGAATCTGCAAAAATGATTAGATTTGATAAATTGTATACTAGGAGGTGCTATTTTAAAACACAAGTACAGATGCACATTGCACTGTAGCTTGCAAGCCTGAAGAAGCTGTGGAGAGAAGACACTGAAGAAAAAACAATATTTTTGGAAAACCCACAGAATCAGGCAGAGACCGAAAACCCAAACCACATTTAGATCTGGTTTTGATTTAAAGCTAGTTTTATACAAAGGTGAACACCAAGGAAAGTACTACTACCCATTCCTATTGCCTGCGAACATGGATTTATTTGGATATTTTCACCATTTGTCAATTCAGGATCAATGAGCTTACAGTCACCAATGAGAAATACAAGATCCTTCTGGCTGAAAAGGACAACCAGCTCCGCAACGTCGCTGCCAGTGCAACCAGCGTCAGTCGCGTGACCATCTCTTCCTCCCAGACCCACTCATTAGAGTCCAGCCGCACCGAAGCATCCCAGCAGCAGCAAGCAGACGTTGTAGATGAAGGCGAGTCGTTGCAGTTACTACGTGAGGAATGCGAGGCGCTGCACACAGCGCTGCGTGATATCGCTCAGGTGGTGATCCAAGACGCTGATGTCTCAGGGCCCGGTGATGGTGATGTGAACGGCGTCTTGGAGGATCAACAGGAGACGGGATTCATGTCTGATGTGACACTGCCATCACCGTATGCTAGGTCCACTCCACTAAGGTGAGATCATTGCTTCAAAGTTGATTTTCCTCTATACCACTTCATGATTATTTGTATAACGCGTTGGTTTTTAATGCAGCTTCAGATTTTACCATTGTGCTTCTAGATACAAGAACTTGATTCATAAGATGGAATTTTCGTTGGGGTGATGTATTATTTAATATAACGTTTTGCCCTTCACCAAAGTATAAACACTGTATAGTGTATTACCTCCCGAGTGAAAGTAAAAAAAAAACCAGCCCTGGTGATTTTTTTCCAACTTTAACTGGGGAGGTAACACACTGAGTATACAGTGTTTATACGTTGGAGAAGGGCAAAACCTAATATTAAAGAACTAGATTCAAACACAACCTTATTGACAAATCCTTTCAATTTTCAAAATCCAGTTGAACTCTTATCACTAGAAATCTTGGTACCTTTCAAATACTGCACCTGCTGTCCATTTTAGACCGAGAATTCAGACCATTTTTTCTTTCCATAAATGCACATGTATAGACCAACATTTTTTCTCCCAAAAATGTATTATTTGGGCAAGTGAATAATTGTAGGTTGTCTAACAGATTTTACACACGAGAAATTGAGGAGGAAAGAAGTCTGAAATTTCTCAAGAAACTGTGCTTGAGAGAAATAAGTTGAAAAATGTGTGTAATCTCAGGCTTCTTCTAAAACATTTTATGTTTTGTGTTGTGTCATCTTCACTGACATTGTTTGACTATTATGACATCTCTTTTTGCAGACGTTCTCAATCACCAGGTCGTCCTTACCAGCTCCATCGTTCACCATCCCCTCGCCGTACCGCCTCACCCTCCAGACGTACCCTGTCACCATCTCGCTCCCGGTCACCGGCCTTCGCTGAGTCCACCTACTCAGCGGTACAAGCTGCCCTGCAGAAGAGACAACTACAGGTCCAGGTCAGTCCTAAAACAAAGAATCATGGTTTTATTGGGAGGTATACAATTACCCTGACAAAGTTGCTTCATTCTTAAATTTGTGTGAAGTTAGACAAGGCTCAAGTTCGTCAGGGAGTCTCTAGACACTGTGCCACTAGAATCCAACAACACCAACGTTGGCAAGTTTTACATACTTTATAAAATCTTGCTGGTTCTTGGCAAGAACATCAAGAATCAACACCTTCTTGCTATTAGATGTTTCTAAACTCAGCAGTGTTTTGTTTGAATTAGGGTAAGCAGTTCTACTCCCGATCTGCATCGTTTCCATTGGTTGTCTAACAACTGGCTCCACTTGTGGCTTGAGCATGCTTCTCCAATTATGTCATTGCGCTGTTTTATCTATGAATTAAGATATTTCCATTTGAAAGGATTGATTTTCAGTCATTTTCAGCAGAGAGGTGTTGGTAATATTTTTGCCAAATAAACTTGTTAAGCTGACCTTCTTTTGTAGGAGCTGAAAGTCAAGCTGAACTCCACCAAGGAGCAAATCACCACCTTGAAGAAACAAGTTGATGGTGGAGAGACAGACAACAGACATCTAGAACGCACCATCCAAGGATTGAAGGATGACGTGGAGACGGCTAAACGCCAGACAGATGATATCAGGAGGGATCGGGATAGACTCAGGAACTCACTAGAAGCAACAGGAAGGTATGAGAGGAAGATTCTAACTAGGAATTTCAATTTAAAGACATGTAAATTAACGGTCATAAATAATTTAAAGTAAAGGGCCAACATTTTATTTATCTTTTACTTAAACTCCTTGAGCTGTTTTCCTCAGGAAAGGTTAAAAATAAATTGTTGAGTACAGACTGTGAAGACAGTTGTGAAGACAGTGTCTGAAAATTTTGGATCTTGGAAGCAAAATCACGGTTTCTAAGATTAAAAGTTCCAATAATATCATTCAGATGTTCAGCAACACTTGTTGGTGAATACCTCACCTGTGAGCTCTTTGTCAAAATAGTAGAGGCGCTTTTTGATTTGTGCACATGTAGTGGCAAGTATGCCCAAATTAGTTTTGTTTTATTTTCTTGGTTTGAACACCAGGCGTATGGCAGCAATGCAGGTCCCTCCTAACTCTTCTCTTTGAAAACAGGTATTATTTTGTTATATTTTGACCTTTTTGGCAGTGAGAAGTCAGCTCTGGAGAATCTTCGTCGGTCCCTGAATGAGCAAATAGAAGCTCTGAACACTGAGAATGAGAGGATACAATCAGCCAATGCTGAGCTGCAACGTCAACGAGACGGCTTGGAAGATGAGAGAGATGACAGAGAGAAGGATATGGGGAGGCAGAAGAAAGAAATTGAAAGAAGGTGAGTGATGGGAATTGGTGGAGAAAATATGGGAAGCTGTAAGATAAAGATTGAAAGAATGTGCATCTTATAATTTAATGGGAAAAGATATGGGAAGAGAGATGAAAGAAATTGTAAGAGGGTCAGTGGTGGGAATTGGTGGTAAAAAAATATAGGAAGCTGTAAGAAAAAGATTGAGAGAATGTGCATCTTATAATTGATGGGAAACGATATGGGAAGACAGAAGGCAGAAATTGAAAGTAGAGGAGTGGTGGGAATTGGTGGTGAAAATATGGGAAGCTGTAAGAAAAAGATTGAAAGAATGTGCATCTTATAATTGATGGGAAACGATATGGGAAGACAGAAGGCAGAAATTGAAAGTAGAGGAGTGGTGGGAATTGGTGGTGAAAATATGGGAAGCTGTAAGAAAAAGATTGAAAGAATGTGCATCTTGTAATTTGATAGAAAAAGATTTGGGAAGACAGAAAGAAATTGTAAGAAGGTGAGTGGTGGGAATTGGTGGAAAAGATACGGGAAGCTGTAAGAAAAAGATTGAAAGAATGTGCATTTTATAATTGATGGGAAAGATATAGGAAGACAGAAATTAAAAGAAAGGGTGTCTTAAAAGAATTGACAGTGAAGAAAATCCAAAAGGCTGGATGGAGAAATACATGGCAGGTTGGCCTACAAGTCAAAAGAGAATCAAAGTGTACTGGAAGATGAAGAAAGAGTTATAATATTGCTCATATTGTTTGGTTTCAGCCACAAGCTTCTTGAGCAGATGGAAGGCAAGAACTCCACACTGAAGGAGGAGATTGTCAGCTTGAAGGAAGCACTGAATAAAGCCACGCTGGAGAAGGAAGTACTGGACCAGGAAAAGGCAGAAATCGGTGAGTATAACTTATTGATGATAATCATTACAACAAGTGTGGTAATTTTCCAACAATCCGTCCAGTTATTACAATAAAACATGTCTTCTTTTTGTAGAAATTGTAAATAGTTTATGAAAGTTGCAAAGTTAGACAACATTGAGTGTTCCATTTGTGAGATTCAAAGAAAACATTCATGGATTTCAGTTCAAATCTACTGAGATTTTATATAAAATATGTTTAATATGAGATTTTATTTATTAAATAAAACACGGTTGATTATTTGTATTCGCTGTTCAAATGAGTGTTTTTATATCAACATTCTGTATCAACCTTATCAGTTACTGCACATGTTTGAAAAAGCCTCTGCAGTGCCACTGTAATGACAAAACTGAAAGTAAACTAGCTACAAATGAATCATCTTTTCTCCCTTTGCTCCTCACAGGTGCCACCTTATCAAGGGCCGAGCTACAGAAAGCTGAGCTGGAGATGGACTTGAACAAAGTCAGGACTGACGAGGCTAGTCTAAGGGATGCTCTGCTCAAGATGCAAGCGTTGAATGAGGGACTGGGACAGGACAAGATTGAACTCAATAAGATCATCATGCAGGTAAGACAGTGATTGTGATTGGTCAGTTCTGTTGGGTCAGGTGAGACAGTGAACGTGATTGGTCAGTTCTGTTGGGTCAGGTAAGACAGTGAATGTGATTGGTCAGTTCTATTGGGTCAGGTGCGACAGTGATTGTGATTGGTCAGTTCTATTGGGTCATGTAAGACAGTGAACGTGATTGGACAGTTCTATTGGGTCAAGTACAACAGTGATTTTGATTGGTCAGTTCTGTTGGGTCAGGTAAGACAGTGAATGTGATTGGTCAGTTCTATTGGGTCAGGTGTGACAGTGAATGTGATTGGTCAGTTCTATTGGATTTGTGCATGCCAAAGCCCTCAAGTGGAAACAAATATGATAGTGACAATGAACCCTCTGCATTTAAACGTCTTGAGTGCTGTAGTATGATTTCTTATCTTCTGCCATATTTCTCAAATTTGTGAGACTAAAATTTATGTCTCAAGTTCTGTACTTTTGTTTTGATACATTGTCATGTGACTATAAAGTTTTGATGCCCTTTTATTTCTCTCCAGCTTGAAGGTGACAAGCACGCCCTAGCATCTGAGAAAGGTCTCCTCGAACATGAGAAATCCACCATCCGTGATGAGTTGGCTCGCATAGAGAGCGAAAAGATGGATACGGAGACAGAGAAGATGGGTCTGGATCAGAGTCTGAGTCTGGCAGAACACACCAAGGCACAGCTAGAAGATGAACTCATGGCTATCAATAGAGACAAAGCTGAAATACACGATAGCTATTCACAGGTGGGTGTGGTCAGGGCAGGTGGGTGTGGTCAGAGCAGGTGGGTGTGGTCGGGGCAGGTGGGTGTGTGTCAAGATGGGTCTGGATCAGAGTCTGAGTCTGGCGGAACACACCAAGGCACAGCTAGAAGATGAACTCATGGCTATCAATAGAGACAAAGCTGAAATACACGATAGCTATTCACAGGTGGGTGTGGTCAGGGCAGGTGGGTGTGGTCAGAGCAGGTGGGTGTGTTCGGGGCAGGTGGGTGTGGGTCAAGATGGGTCTGGATCAGAGTCTGAGTCTGGCGGAACACACCAAGGCACAGCTAGAAGATGAACTCATGGCTATCAATAGAGACAAAGCTGAAATACACGATAGCTATTCACAGGTGGGTGTGGTCAGGGCAGGTGGGTGTGGTCGGGGCAGGTGGGTGTGGTCAGAGTCTGAGTCTGGCGGAACACACCAAGGCACAGTTAGAAGATGAACTCATGGCTATCAATAGAGACAAAGCTGAAATACACGATAGCTATTCACAGGTGGGTGTGGTCAGGGCTGGTGGGTGTGGTCGGGGCAGGTGGGTGTGGTCTGAGTCTGGCGGAACACACCAAGGCACAGTTAGAAGATGAACTCATGGCTATCAATAGAGACAAAGCTGAAATTCAAGATAGCTATTCACAGGTGGGTGTGGTCAGGGCAGGTGGGTGTGGTTGGGCTGGTGGATGTGGGGGGGGGGGGATAAGTAGATGTGGTAAGGCCAAGGCACAGCTACAGAATGAATGCATGGCAGTCGATAGGGATATGGCTGAACTACAGGATAGCTACTCAAAGGTGGGTGTGGTCAGGGTAGGTGGGTGTGGTCAGTGTAGGTGGGTTTAGTCAGAGTAGGTGTTTAAAAGAGGTGTCTTACATAGCTGTTTCTGTTTGTCTTGGCGTAGGTGAGTCGTCAGAAGGCAGCCTTGGCTGAGGAGCTCCTGAAATCTCAGCGTAGCTTGGACCAACAAGTTGACAACGTCTCACGGATTGCTAAGGAGAAGGAGGAGTTGACTAAAGACAAGGCTAGCCTGGTGGTGCAGCTGACTGCCGCTGAGAGAGAGAACAGGGCACAGAGCGAGGTTAGTAGATGAAATCAAGTCAATCAAGGCAACGAGTCAATCTCAAGTCAGTCACAAGCAAATCATAAGTCAGTCACAAGTGACATCTGAAGTTGATCACAAATCAATCACATGTCGATCGTAAGTCAATCACAAATCAATCACATGTTGATCGTAAGTCAATCACAAATTAATCACATGTTGATCGTAAGTCAATCACAAATCAATCACATGTCGATCGATCGTAAGTAAATCACAAATCAATCACATGTCGATCGTAAGTCAATCACAAATCAATCACATGTCGATCGTAAGTCAATCACATGTTGATCTTAAGTCAATCACAAGGCAAGCACAAATAAATTGCATGTCAATTGCCAGTCGATTATAAGTTTATCACTAGTCAATTACAAGTTAAATCACAAAGAATGAAATGTGGCAAAGATGTGCCTTTATCACAAACCACGTGAATTGCTTGTGAGATTGGATTCCTTGTAATTGTCTTTAGGGATCCCAGAAATCTTACCAGATTTTTGAATTTAGAAATTTAAGGATAGGGTGCAGTGAACCATCTCATTTTTTAAGAAAAACCTTCTATCGTATTTTGGGAGTAAGTTTATGTTGTAATTTCAGGTGATAGCTGCTTTGAATAGCGACAAAGACAGCCTAGAGACTGCCTTGTATGAGGTGCAGCAGACTGCAGCTAAGCTGGAGAACAGGAAGGAGCAACTTGAAGCTGAGGTCCAGGAACTGCAGCTAGCTAAAGAGGCAATCACAGGTACATCTTATCATTTTCTAATCCTACATTCCTGAACTGACTTGTTGTTCATGTTGATGTCTTCCTGTTTAACCAATTTTAGTTGGATATTGGCTTTTATGCCCGTTACTGACGTAGTTGAATAGGCACTGTTTCCTCAGTATATTCTGAGAGCTGGTGAGAAATTAAAAAAAACATACTCAGGTGGGAGTCTAACCCAGGACCTCTTGCTTTCTTAGTGCAGATATCTAAACTACTTTACCGATGCACTTACCACAGTCAGCTGGCAGGTTTGAACCTGATGTAGGTGTGGGTACTGCCATGATTGTCTCGTATGATGGAGCTTTGCATCAATCCAGCGATCCTTTTAAAATCCTTTCCTGGATTTTAAAGAATCATGGAAGGTCATCGTGGGTGAAGCAGATGAACCCTTAATGTCAAACACCCAAGTGATACATGTGGCCTTACTTGCTCTGTGTTTCTTTGTTTATAGTTGACTTGGCTCGTGTTCGTAAGGAGATGGAGATTGAGGTCACCAAGCGAGACAAGGACCTGGATCTACTGAAGCAGAAACAATCGCAGGGGGAGAGGGACTCCCAGCTGGCTATCAAGCAACGGGAACAGATGCATGAAGAGGAGATGGAAAGACTCAACAGGGAAAAGGTAGGAATGGGAAAATGTAGATGGAAAGACTGAACAGGGAAAAGGTAGGAATGGGAAAACTGTAGATGGAAAGACTGAACAGGGAAAACATAGGAGTGGGAAAACTGTAGATGGAAAGACTCAACAGGGAAAACATAGGAGTGGGAAAACTGTAGATGGAAAGACTCAACAGGGAAAAGGTAGGAATGGGAAAACTGTAGATGGAAAGACTGAACAGGGAAAACATAGGAGTGGGAAAACTGTAGATGGAAAGACTCAACAGGGAAAAGGTAGGAATGGGAAAACTGTAGATGGAAAGACTGAACAGGGAAAAGGTAGGAATGGGAAAACTGTAGATGGAAAGACTGAACAGGGAAAACATAGGAGTGGGAAAACTGTAGATGGAAAGACTCAACAGGGAAAAGGTAGGAATGGGAAAACTGTAGATGGAAAGACTGAACAGGGAAAAGGTAGGAATGGGAAAACTGTAGATGGAAAGACTGAACAGGGAAAGGTAGGAATGGGAAAACTGTAGATGGAAAGACTCAACAGGGAAAAGGTAGGAATGGGGAAAACTGCAGATGGAAAGACTCAACAGGGAAAAGATAGGAATGAGAAAACTGTAGAAGGAAAGATTGAACAGGGAAAAGGTAGGAATGGGGAAAACTGTAGATGGAAAGACTGAACAGGGAAAAGGTAGGAATGGGAAAACTGTAGATGGAAAGACTCAACAGGGAAAAGGTAGGAATAGTCTCATTCTGTAGTCTATTTCCAAGATTAGATATTTTGTTCCCCCTATGCGAGCATCAGCTTGAATATAGCACATGAGGTATGCTGGAATTCCCAAAAGTTTGAGTCCCAAAATTACGTAATAACGTCTATCAATGGCAAATATTTTTATCCAGTTAATTTACATGTTGTCTATTTTTGGTTCAATAACTGTGATTGTCTTGCTTTCTCAGGAGACCATCCGATTGCAGTTGGAAGGTGAACGAGAGGAGATCGTCCACAAAGCCAACCAGGAACGGGAGGAATTGGTTGGCAAGTATGAGCAGGAGAAGGAGGCAATGGAGGAGGAGATCGCAATGATGCAGCGGGATAGAGATGAGAGTCTGCTATTGGCTGAGAATGATAAACAACAGGTAATGAATATTCATGTAAAAGGCTGACTATTGGCTGAAATAATAAACAACAGATAATGAATATTCATGTCTTACAAAGAATTTTTTTTTTTTAATAGATTGAGAACGTGAAATCAATTTTTATGAAGAGTATAAAGAAGGATCTTTCAGTTATGAATATGAATTTAATGAAACCATGCAGATTGAAAAGAGAGAGGATACCGTTGGCTGGAATTAAGAAATTTAATGAGTTAGAAATATTCATGAGATCACTTTGATAAAATCGATGACCAGTAATGGATTTATATGTTAAACATGGATTTCTGTCAAAAGCAGTTTTGTGTTTTCATTAAACTCTTAATGTCTTACTTATTTTGGTTAATGATCTCAGTTTCCATAGGATATTTCTGCAGATGTTTTGTTTTATCTACTTGTTTCTTTTTCCTTTCAGGCCTTGTCGTTTGCCCAACAAGAGAAGAATCAATTGATGGAGAAACTCAACAACTCTCAGCGTGAACTGGCCAACGCTTCTATGGGGATGGATCGCCTCAAACGGGAAGCGTTCACTAAATCTGAACAAGACAAGGTCAGCAAATATATTCTCTCTGTGTATTTGATCTCTTCGTTTTATGCGTTGGCTTCTTATAGCCTGTGTGCTCAAATTATATTCAGTGTGCCTCGTTCAACTGTTTCAGTTAGTATCAATCTTTCTCAATTGCATGTATCATTTGCTTCATAATACTCTATAACAATGATAAACACGATTGTACCGCCAATATTACAATTTAAAATTGGATTCACAAGATCACATTCACGTTGTTACTTTCTCCTCCAATGATATGTCATCCTACTGCCGATTGTAACTTGTTTCATGGATTTTTCCAAATTTTCTATACTGTAGCATTAATGAATTTCATTGAGGGCAGAAATAAATGCATAAAACTATTAAAATTCATAAATTATTTCATTCAATTAATAATGTTAAATATACTGAGTAGTTTATCATGACATCCATTGTTGTCTTCTCATAGGATGCCCTGAACGCCTCCATCACAGAAGCTAAAGATCTGAGAGGAATATTTGAAGAAGCCACGTGAGTTCCCTGAACATTATCAGTAACTTTTCACGAATCAGATAATTCAAAACAATAAACCTCATAAAAGATAAATATTGTCAAACAGCTAAAGTTTCGGAAGAATTCTCAATTTTGTTGAAGTATTGTTGAGTTGTTCACTCGGTAGTGCTAACTCGTTCATATTTTTCTATGGGTGCAACTTCCATTGGAAATTTCAATGAGTACAAGTTCATGAATTTCCTTTCCAATAAAACTTCTCAGCATGTCTATCTGTCTTAAGTACAACACCTACTCAAGTACTGGCAATACAACATTGTCTATTTTATGATTTTCCTATAATCTAAAAACCACAAGGGAAACTGACTGGGTGCATTATAATAATGTAAAAATTGAACAAAGAAACTGACTGGAGCAGGGTTTGAACCTGGGACCTCCGGAATACCGTACCAATGCTGTACCAACTGAGCTATCCAGCCCTATGTTGGCGATTCCCCCCAGATAACTCAGTTGGTAGAGCACTGGAATGGTATACCAGTGGTGGCAGATTCAGACCCCGCTCCAGTCAATTTCTTTGGTTCAACTCTGTAAAATGACTTAAGTTTCCTGATTGAATTGCAGTGAGGCACACGAGAGGCAGAACCGTGAACTGACGTCCAACATCAAAGACCTGCAGAAAGCCAAGGAAGCATTGATGCGAGAGGTCAATGAACTCAAGACACAACTCAAGATGGTTGAGGAGAGTCGAGACGGAGTGAGACGTGAGCTGATTGAGGCTCATCGTAAGATAAGAGAAGGTAAGTAGGCTGCTGGCAGAAAATGTTATTGTTTAAGCCAGGGGTGAGATATTTTTCAAGATTTTTCCAGATTTCAGGATTTTTTTGTCAGAATTTTCCTAAGTTTAGGATTTTTGTCTGGACTTTTTTCTGATTTCTGGATTTTCAGAGAATCCTTTTTATATCTTAAAATCTTCCAAAGTGATTTGTCAGTAAAAATTCTTCAGTACAATTTTTTTTTGAATGTCTGTTTCATGTTTAAGGTGATGAAACGAGGGAGGTGATGCGCAAGGAGAATCTTGACATGAAACGGCAGTGGAATGATGAGGTCCGCGAGAAGGAATCAGTCTTGAAGGTCAGCGAGGAGCTCAGGGACAAAGTGAAGAAGACCGAAGCTGAGAAGACGTCACTGAATCGCAGCGTAGAAGACAAGGTGCAACGCGTCAATGGTAAGAGGAATGCTGGGATTGAATGTGGGAATACTCAATCAACACAAGTCAACACAAGTCCATCACTAGTGAAATTGCAAGTTAGTCAGAAGTCAATCACAAGGCAATCACTTGTCACATTACGAGTCAATCACGAGTCAGATCACGAGTCAGTCACGAGTCAGATCATAAGTCAGTCACAAATCAAATCGCAAGTCAGTCACAAGAAACTTAAACACATGGAATGCTCAGTCGCAAGTCAAGTGACAAGTTATTCACATGTCATTCCTTTGTCAGTGTTTATCTCCTGTTACTTGTGGCATGACTTGTGATTGAATTACAACTGTATGTTTTACTTTTCAAAGAGACTTTTACAGGGGTGTGAAATCTCCGCTATTTAGCGGATTTCCGCTTTTTTGTTCAGCGTGCCACATTTTGTTTTCCGCTTTTTTTCTTCCGATGGTCCAGATTTCCCCCCGCTTTTTCCCCCGCGCGTAAGCTTTGATTTTATTTCCGTTTATTTTATTTTCCGCCGAACGCACGCGATCCGCTCTCTACAACATATACGTAGCTCTGAGATGGGGTGCGTGCAAGCGAGTATTCAATGTACATGTACATGTACGTGTGTACTATACGATGCCATGTGCATGCATTTTTCAGCTCGAAGCCGCGTGTATACACAACGTGTAAACAGCATGCGGGGAACCAACAGTCATTGCGCTGTGATTGGCTGCAGATAAATATGAATATTCACACATGCGCCATGAAGCGCGTTGGGACTCTTTGCGGCCGTTCCTGTGTCTATGCATGTAGTGACACGCGATGATCTCCACAATAACTCGCTGTAAACATCGTCTTGTTGCAAATATAAAGCCTTGAAATAAGACTAGTAAATTGTCGCCGTGCCGCGCCGCGGCCGGTAGAGGGCATCATGCGGGGCAAAGTTCATGTGTGCATTTCATTGCATGCGATGCACGCATCGGCCTGCTGCGTATTCCGCTGCATGCTGATATGTACGTTAGTGTGGCGTTTCAAATGTTTCGAACGTATTTTGACATTAATTCCGCAAGATGTCAGTGCAACACAAATGTGTTATTATCCCAAGAGGTTCGGAGTTTGATTCGGACATTGACAAGACCGATCCTCAGGTTACGAATCCGTGGAAATGGATTTGGATGGAACACATGGTTAATGGGCAGAAATTAGGCGACTCGATCAGAACCCGGGACACGCGATGACGATGTGTATCAATCATCTGCAGTAAGGAGTTAAAATATGGAAAACGTGGTTGAATTTCCCAGTTTTCATATACAAGTTGGCCATTTAGGCAGTTTCAAGCCAATGTGAAGGAAAAGTTAACTTAAAAACATGCATAAATTGCAAAACATTTTCGACCAATAGTTGGCCCAGGCATTGCCAGGGGGCTTTAAAATGCACCACAGAGCATCTACATTTCAAAAAAATTTCGGGGCCCTTGGGCGGGCCCCGTCCCCCAAGCCGTAAGTGCTTCGCGCTCGCGGGTTCGGTTTTTTACAGGTTCAGCTATTTTCAGCTATTTTTTTGGGACTCCACTCACACCCCTGCTTTTATCAAGGGCCGTCTCAAAATTCAGAAACTTGGGAAGGGTCCAACTGCAAACACAGCCTTATGTAACAAATTATGTAACTTTACACTAATTGATAATCACAAATGCGAAAATCTTTTGACTGATTTCAATTTTCAGTATTGGAGGAAGCCAAAGCTACAATCCAGAAAGAAGCTGGTGAATTGAGGTCCAGCTTGAGAGAGGTGGAAAAGTCTCGTCTAGAAGCTCGACGAGAACTACAAGAACTCAGACGACAGGTAAAATAAGGAGTTCCTTATTTCCACAAGAAAATCCCTCAGTTGGAAGAAGTAATAAGTGCCATTTTTGTTGAGGATGTTTCTCAATTAAGAATTTCCCTTTTTTGTCTGGTTTTGTATCTTTCCTTGTAGTTATCTGCCACATTGTTGTACCAAAGATTATAAATAAGTTTCCAAATAAATCAAGTAGTATTCTATTTTAGTTCATGTTGATGTTTTCAAAGTTTCAAATAATTGACCTATCGCTGTTTGCGAGTTAGCCACGCCCCTTAGACAACCCTATGGGGTTTTTGTACACTAAGTTTTGTTTGTCTCAGATGTTGCGCGTTCCGCGTCCATTTGTATATCATGTAATTGGACATTTTCCAAGCTGCGTTGATGCGATTCTAATGTGATTTTACTACGATAAGTCAATTGTTCTGAAGATGCAATTTACCGTAGTTAAATCTGTATGTTATCTCACTCTCAATACACTAAATCAATGAATTTAATCCTTCCTTGAATTTCACAAGTTGAGGATGATGACTGATGTATCGGTATTTTCCTCAGATCAAGACTCTTGAGACTGAGCGAGCCAAGAGAGCTAAGGAGATTGAGGACCTGATGGCTCGTCTCTCAGCGGCAGACGCCCGGGAAGACGACAGCCGTAAGGACATCTACTCCCTCAAACAGAAGATTGTCGAGACCGAGTCGGCCCGCGAAACTATCCGCAAAGACGCCTCCAACCTGCAGCGACGCTACAGTGAGTTGGAGGAGGAGCTCCGTCTACGAGAGAAGGATTACCAGATGGCCCTGGAGGATGCCAGGAACACGGAGAGGAAGCTATCAGATAAACTGAGAGTGACGGAGACGTCGTTGGAGTATGCTAATGGAGAGATGGGTGAATTGAAGCTGAAGCTGAGCGCTGCTGAGGGACGGATTAATGGGCTGGAGGCTCAACTGGCACAAGTTGAAGGTCAGTCCTTAACAGATCTTCTAAGACAATATGTTTACAAAAAGTAATAACAATCGCGATGACTGTTTGAGTGGCAAAAACTGTGTTAATGATGTGAACGAAGTCATCACAAGTCAATGATTAAACAATAACATGTCATCCAATCTCAATTCAAGTGTTAAGCTATACAACATTCCTTTGTCGTTCACCCCCTGATACTTGAGAACTGACTTGTGATTTTGCATCAAATACAATTCAGGAAAAATTAGGGTTTAACGGGAGCAATTCTGAGGCATGCAATTTTTCCTCAGATCACCTGATTTTGTTCTTCATTTGAAACTTTATGCCATTAAAAATTAAAAAACAACTGTACAAAGCAGGCATGCAACTTTCCCTTGGGTGCGCGCTGATTTCCTCTTTTTTTTACTTCTCATGAATGCCACTACAAATTGAAAAACACTGTACAGAGTCTCGTGTGGTTTGAAATTTCCTCGTTTTTTCCTAAATCCCCAGTTGCATGCCTGTGAAAGTCTGGTTAAGATTGGAGTTCCCTCTTTTTTTTTGGTTACTTCTTAGTTGCATGCCTGAATTCTAGGCCATTATTTAACTTACCAGAAAATAATACACTACTTCACTGATTTTGGAAATTTGAAAACTGTTATTTGTGGTACTGTTTCAATTCCGTAGGAGCTAAGCGTGATGTTGAATTCAAGCTAGGCAGTCTCCACTCTGCCCTCCGTCGTACCCTGGGTATCGGGACGGGTGCTGCACCATCAGGCAGCCCAGGATCGACACTCAGAGCTCGTAGTCCTAGCCCTATGAGAAGCCGCAGGACTCGATCACCTGGCAAAGGTAATTCACATATGTAGAATCTTGATTGATATTCTTTGTTGGTTTCATCATTTTTAGGGATTTTATATTTTGGGTTTCGGGAAGAGTGAGGGGAGGAATGTCTGAAGTTTTTTTGTGTAAAAGATTTTTTTTTTCCCCAACAGAATAATTTTGTTGAAGTAAAATGTTCAAGATTCTTGACTGTGGTTTGTTCTTTGTGGATATCAATTTTTTCAATTTTTTTTTTTTTTTTGCAGAAATTATTCCAATTTTTTTTTTTCAGTTTTGTGTTTAATATTAAATCCTTCCCTGTATCTTAATTTCTTAATGCTTCCGAGCAGTAAGCTTCAATCTAACAGCAGGTAGGTGGTTGCAAAAAATAAATCAACTTCACGTTTTGTTTGTCAACGCACGCTGCTTTTTCATATTATTTCATTTTTTTATTTGCGAACTGGGCCTCGTGGATAAGAAATAAATAAGAGAGGTTTGCAGTGTGTTCATATCAAGTCAACAAGGAGGGACGCTCCATTCATGCACATTTTTCCTTTATATGAAATTGGTTATGGTTTGAAACACTTTGTCTTTCATTGTATGACATGACCGGGTCAGGCCCTTCAATCAGTGATCATTGCTTTAATATCAAACGATTGACGACATTCCTTTAATATTACTCACCCGCTCAACTTCTTAATCATTTGCAATAACAACTCAAGATTTGACACACATTCTCAAGTTAACGTTTCATCTTTTGAAAACCCAGGTTTTAATTGAGATTGTAAAGTTCAACCACTCATCGATCACATTTCTTGTTTTTCTAGATTCTAAAGTTTCTGCATTCATCGATAAAAAACTATTACATTATCTTTACTTTGACATCATTGACATATTTTGGTATGGCTTTACATATATTCACCACCTTACCATAAATAACATTTTACACAAAGGTTTGTACAGCAAAACCAAACACTGGCCAAATCAGCTTGATTGTTGAACATGTTTGCAGTGAAATTTCTTCACAGGAATAAGTCACAATGAATTCTGCAGGGATGGGATTTTTTCCAGATTTTTCCTGGTTTGTGGATTTTAAAAAAGCCTAAATTATGAGAAGTTTTTACCTTTAAATTTTTTGTTTTGGTTAAAAGGTTTATATGAAGCAATTGCGGTGGACAGTTTTAAGAAGTGCCTGTTTAGGCAAATACATGTATATACCATAGACAGACCCTGTGTTTTTGGTCCCAGCCCAAAAAAAATGTGTGGATTTTTAAAATTTTTCCCACTCTCACGCCTAATTATGCCGTGGCAGCACTGAGGTGACTTTGAATCTGTTCTTATTAAAAAAATTTGCAGTGAGGAGACTGTTTTTTAGTTGAATGTTTTGATCTTGTTTCTGTCTTGCAGGTTTTGACAACACCTTCACCACAACCACGGACGGTCGTGGCAGCCCCATCCCACGGACTGGCTCTCCAGATCGGTCCCGCAGCCCTGAACGTAGCATGTCACCAACTCGTCTCGAGCAGCTGGTGGCTGACATTGACCCTGAGACCGTCCGCATTGCTCTACGAGACTTCTCCCAACAGCTGAAAGAGACAGAACGACAGAGGGTGAGTCAAACAAATATTAGAAATCAGGTGGCCAATTTCGTTGAGCTGAACAGCACAAAAATCTGCTGCACGCGTCATACACACTTGTACACATGCCAGACTTCTGTGCACGCAAGTCAGACATTAATCACGGCTGTGAGTGGTCAAAATAATCGTCTAATGGATTGAAATTGAAAGCATCATGGGGTAGAGCTTAATAGATTGTCAATTTAGTACATAAAAAGACATTTAAATGGTCGAGAGCAACTGAATACGTAGGATATTTAAGGATCCACTGTTGCAGTTGTGCGTCAGTCCTTTCTCCAAGTCAGTGGAAACATGCATGAAGTTTGCCTGTTTGAACCAAAATCTATTTGGGTCAACCTGAGTCAATACACTAGCTGTTGGTTCAGTGCAGCTCTGCAAGGAAAGTCTCAAACTTACGTAAGATTGTTTTCAATGAGGTCAAAGAATTCCCAATTAAAACAGATTGTGTTCTGAGTATAATTTTCATAAATAATGAAAGGTTTGCGGAAACACCATGTGCGAATAATTTCTCAACTAAGAGAATGGTTCTGAAAAGAACCAGAGGTATAAACTCGACGTTCCGGTCAGTATGCTCTGACTGTCTTCAGTATGCTCTGACCGTCTTTCATAGTGTTCCAACTTTGAACTAATACTTGTTAATTATATTCATTCAATTTGATGCTCTACAATGCTCTACCAAATTGCTTTAATTAAATGATGAATAGAAATGATTCAACTTGCCTCTTCTTTCCAATGCAAGGATGATGCACACGCCAAGATCAAGAGTCTTCGTCAGGAGATGGTTGAGATGGATGAAGACAGGAGCCGCATCGAGCAACGTCTACAACAACTACAGAAATCACTGGGTGAACTGGAGGAAGGAAAGAGAGGAGCTGATGGGAGACTGAGTAGCGCACAGACGGCGCTGATGCTGCAGGAGGAGACGATCAGAAGACATGAACGAGAACGGAAAGGTGAGAGGAGTATGGGGGGATTGGGGAGGGCTGGGGAGGCAAGGGGGATGGGAGACTGAGGAGCGCACAGACGGCGCTGATGCTGCAGGAGGAGACGATCAGAAGACATGAACGAGAACGGAAAGGTGAGAGGAGTATGGGGGATAGGGGAGGGCTGGGGAGGCAAGGGGGATGGGAGACTGAGGAGCGCACAGACGGCGCTGATGCTGCAGGAGGAGACGATCAGAAGACATGAACGAGAACGGAAAGGTGAGAGGAGTATGGGGGATAGGGGAGGGCTGGGGAGGCAAGGGGGATGGGAGACTGAGGAGCGCACAGACGGCGCTGATGCTGCAGGAGGAGACGATCAGAAGACATGAACGAGAACGGAAAGGTGAGAGGAGTATGGGGGATAGGGGAGGGCTGGGGAGGCAAGGGGGATGGGAGACTGAGGAGCGCACAGACGGCGCTGATGCTGCAGGAGGAGACGATCAGAAGACATGAACGAGAACGGAAAGGTGAGAGGAGTATGGGGGATAGGGGAGGGCTGGGGAGGCAAGGGGGATGGGAGACTGAGGAGCGCACAGACGGCGCTGATGCTGCAGGAGGAGACGATCAGAAGACATGAACGAGAACGGAAAGGTGAGAGGAGTATGGGGGGATAAGGGAGGGCTGGGGAGGCAAGGGGGATGGGAGACTGAGTAGCGCACAGACGGCGCTGATGCTGCAGGAGGAGACGATCAGAAGACATGAACGAGAACGGAAAGGTAAGATGGCTATGGGGAGATTCAGGGAGGGAAGGAAGGGTGATAGTTAGCTGAGTAGAGCTCAGAACACCCTCAAGAACAACACAAACTTGCAGGCGTAAAGATAGAAGTGATCATTTGAAAGGTTTGTACCCTCCAAACAATCCTGGAATGATGACATGTGTTCCAAACGGGCATTGCAAAGATGGGCTGAACCGAATTATTCCTGAGATCTAAATTACTTTCATGCTAAAAGAGGAGCGATTACACAGGAAAGTCGTCCAAAGATTGACTGCAGCAAGAGTCTTGTCAATGGAAAATCACTCTGTCTGAAACCAAAATTTATTTGGGTCAATGTGAATTGCTCCAAATACCTTGGTTGTTCCGTGCGGCTCTAGAATGCGAGCCTAAAACAGGTGTAGGTCTTGTATCTTGCTGCTAAATACAAATGTTGCTTCTTTTCTGAAAACTGAAACATTTTATTGAATCTGAAAGGAGGAAATTTTTGTTTGTTGATTCATCCAGGCATGCAGGAGAAGTTCCACACCATGGAGCGATCTCTCCAATCCTCGGAGAACGAGAAACGAGCCTGTCAAGACAAGATCGCCAAGATGAAACAGAACGAGCAACGTCTTGAGGCAGACAAACGCCAACTACGCGAGACTCTAGAAGGCTCGGAGAACAGAGGCACGCAGTTGGAGTTGAAACGTCGCGCCTTGGAGGGTGATTTACAGCGACTACAGCTGTCCATGAATGATCGTATCACTGAGAACCAGGTAGGAATCAATTCACAAAGATCACTCCTAGGACATGCTCTTGGAAATAACTAGCTGAAGACTTTGCCATAAATATACACATTTAAGAGTTTATATTTTCTGCAATTGGAAATAAGGAGATTGAAGGAGGTCACAGTTTAGAGATGTGTCCACAAATTGCATTTTCTTCTTTACATGTACCTCCACTCCTAACAGTTGTCATTTAGCAATCTCTTTAGTGAAGCTATGAATATGTAAATTCAAGGATCCTTAGCTCGTCCATAAATAAATAATTTGAAACATAAATTAGTCCAGGCTACTACAACTATTGCCAAGACTGTGTACAATGTGAGCTTATACAGTGAAACGCTACTATAACGAACACCACTATAACAAACATTGGTTATAACGAACTTCCCCACGTGCTCCTGAAATAGTGAATTCTATTATAATGCACAATCACTATAACGAACAACCACTATAGCGAACACTTTCTGTGGACCCCATCGTGTTCGTTATAGCGGCGTTTCACTGGATGTAGTTACTGCCCTGGATTGATAAGGTTTTTTTTTTCTGTCTTTGACTCAGGTTTGTCAGGAACGAATCGACTCCTTGATGAAGCAGATACAGATACTAGAGAGCAAAAACAGCTCCTTGCAGCTGACTGTCGACAGGATGTCCAATGCACTGGCCAAGAGTGAAGAAGAGGAGGGTGACCTGAAAGGAAAGGTATGGACAGCCTCATGTACATAAAATAAGTAAGAACCGATTATTGAAACTGTCAAATGCACTGGCCAAGAGTGAAGAAGAGGAGGGTGACCTCAAAGGAAAGGTATGGACAGCCTCATGTACATAAAATAAGTAAGAACCGATTATTGAAACTGTCAAATGCACTGGCCAAGAGTGAAGAAGAGGAGGGTGACCTCAAAGGAAAGGTATGGACAGCCTAATGAACATAAAATAAGTCAGTATAGATTGATGAAACTGTCCAATGCACTGGCCAAGAGTGAAGAAGAGGAGGGTGACCTCAAAGGAAAGGTATGGACAGCCTCATGCAAATAAAATAAGCAAGAACAGATTGTTGAAACTGTCAAATGCACTTTCTTAGATACCCTCAAAGGAAAGGTATGGAGAGCCTCAGGTGCACAATTAGCTCGGTAAAACCTCTGTCTTCCTCGTGAACAAGGTATGGAGGGAAAATATGGCACAAAATTAAGATGTTGTACAGAAGTTAACATCTAGATTTCTTCCTCTTTTTCCTCTGTTAATTACCTGTTATCGTCCGTATTTTCAGCAAGATATTAAGAGATAAACTGTTAGAATATTTTGTTTGTTTTGTTGTCCATAGCTGCAATCCCTGTCCATGACATTGAATGACAGCAGTGTGGAGAGCAACCAGCTGCAGGAGCAGATACAGCATCTACAGCAGACATTGTCACAGAGTGAACATGACAGACGTGTACTACAGGAGAGATTGGATACAGCTAGGTATGGAGTGCCCGTTACTTCAAAATTCACATTCTGATTATTAAGTGTTGCACATTTGTAACTTCTAATCCAGCTGGCTGTCCCTAGCATGTTCATTTTGTCATTGCCAATCATTCCAGTATGAATGAACAGGTACGTGTTAAAATGTAGACAGGCAACCGGACCTCATACGGGGACAGAGGAATGTTCTTCCTTTTGTAAAGTCTGCTGTGCCTCATTCTCAAGACAACTTGCCGTTTCCTGACTTTACATCTGAGACAGTGTTCTGACTAGTTGCAAAGTTACATTTTGCAGATATTATTTGCACCAAAAATACATTAGGCAGTGCAGTAAGCTTTGTCATGTCTTTGGCAGCCTAAGACATTCGTAAGATCTGTTCTCCGTTTCTCTCCATCCTCAGGCACGCCGGGTCTGAAGCCAAGAAGCAGAACCATCAGTTGATGGAGAGAGTCCAACAACTTCAGAATGAGATGTCTGATGTGGAGCTGCGACGGATGGAACTGGAAGGACAGGTCCGCAGCTTACAAGAGGTAAAGAGACAGAGTAGTGTGCATCATACTGTCACAGTAATATGTATCCTCACGTCAGTGCAACCAAGTCGTAACCCCATTCTGCAAAAAGTCGTTTCTTGCACAAATATGCTCCGCGCAACAAGGTCGTATCTCAACGTCCATTGACTTTGTGTGTGCATCCAGGTTATTTTAAGTGAGATACAACCTTTTGACATTCTGCAACTCGCGTTTCACATACAGCCCATTTTAGGAGATACGACCTTGTTGCACGGACACAACAACATTTTTATATATTGTGTACTGCTGCTGTGGTAGTCAGATGACGTCCCACAGCTGCACCCAGTTGTTCTTCAGCCACCTGGCCTTGTCGTGGGTGGGTTGCCGTAGGTAATGGAGTTGTCTCGTGGTGTGGAGTGGTCCGAGTCCAGCCCGTTTGGGGTCAGCGCGTATTGTGCCCAGTAGGTTTGTGCAGTGCCGTCCTTGTCGGGGTTTGCAGGCTTGTGAGCCAGTAACGGCAAAGTCTAAGGCCCTCTGAGCGGGTGTGTCACTGTCCGTACATAGCACAGTAACCCTGGGACTACATAATGGGAGCCAGGTTGGCACGAGGGGACGTTGTCCCACCTTACGTCCATAAAAAAACAAACACCTGTAAAACAGCGTAAAGCTCGGTTCATGCTTCACACAAAATTCAGTGTGAATCGAATTTGTTGTGACAGAGAACTTCACAACGAAGTTTCAGTTGATGACGCCATTAAATTTGTTTTACTTTCGCATGAAGTATGAACCATCATTTTGTATCACAGCTATATGTGTCTGTCACAACGTTATACTGTGGTATGTCATGTCCAGTGTAGCTTGTTGCACAGCATCTGGTCGTGTCCATTAAAAGTAAATCACAGGTTCATGCTTAAACATTATGAAGTAATTTATCGTGCAACATCTTACAATTATATCTTCAAAAGCTGATGTTTTGTTTATTTTGTTCATTTACAGCTTCTCAAGCAGCGTCGGGAATCTGAGGATACCGCTCTGTCACAAATACAGCGCCTCCAAGCCCAGAAACAAACCTCCCAAGAACACATCTCTATGCTGCAGAAGGCGTACGGTAACCTGGAGACAGAGAAGAGAGAACTAGAACGTAGCACTGGACGTCTGGAGAAGGATAAGAACGCGCTCAAGAAGACACTGGATAAGGTGGTGGATATTTTTTTTTTTTTTCAATGTGGCCTTCATAAGCTTAACAACAGTCAGCGGAGTTAGGATTAAAAACTGTTACAGTGTGATGTATTATCGATGTAGTAAAACTGTCTTGGCATTTTCTTAGCCCAAACTACCTACGCAAAAATTGCTTAAACGTCCTGACATTGTTGCAGTCGAGTGCAACGCAAGTCCTCACAAGTCTTCCCAAGTCCTCACAGGTCTTCCCAAGTCCTCACATGTCTTCCCAATTCCTTGCAAGTCTTCCCAAGTCCTAACACGTCCTCGCAAGTCTTCCCAAGTCCTCACAAGTCTTCCCAAGTCCTCACAAGTCTTCGCAAGTCCTTACAGGTCTTCGCATGTCCTCACAAGCCTTCGCAAGTCCTCACAAGTCTTCCCAAGTCCACACAAGTCTTCCCAAGTCCTAACAAGTCCTCACAAGTCTTCCCAAGTCCTAACAAGTCCTCACATGTCTTCCCAAGTCCTCACAAGTGCACCACAAGTCATCCAGTCCCAAGTCAGGTCATAAGCTGTGCAAAATATGATCAAATAACAAAAGCATTTCTGTGTTATTGTTCATCTCCTATTATGTGTGACTGGACTTGTACACGACTTGTAGGTAACCTGTACTAGACTTGTCTAGATTAGTCCTCCAAAGTCACCCACATCACAGGAAACCAATTACACCTTCTTCAAAAACATTCACGAGGCATCAAACCCCATCTAAAGTAATAGTGGCTGTGCTCTCCCTTCCTTCAATGTCCTCCCAAACTTCCCCGCTGTTTATGAACCAAGTTTCCAGAGTTGATGATCCAATCTTTTGTTCCTTTGGACAGGTTGAGCGGGAGAAGATGCGAGTGGACGAGGTGGCGATGCGAGTCTCATCTGAGAAGGGAGCGTTGGATAACTCACTGAGTACCTATGAGCAAGAGAACACGGAGTTACAACGTCAGGTGCAGGCTATGCAGGGATCGCTGGCTGAGACGGAACAACAACATGCTCAAAGGTCAGTAGGAGGACAATCTTAAAAAATTTTAAAGATTGGTTTTTGTCCTTCAAGGTAATTTTGAAATGAAATTAAAGGGCAAAACCAAACATTAAAATTTACATCTGTCAATCAATAAAGATCATTCTTTGAATTGTTCAAGCTAAGTTGTTTGGGCTAGTTAGGAAGAAAATTGAACCATTTTTGAATCTAATCATTGGTGACCAAAAAGGTTTCAAATTATCAACTAATTGAACACTCAACAGTTCAAGCTATGCAAGTTGGCTGAACATGTGTTTCAGGGACATAGATTGCCTATCCTGCTGAGTAGCTTAAACTGTAAGATTCTTGAATGACACTTCAGAGGTATCAGCTTTGAGTCCTGTTTGGTCGTTTTTAATTCTGCGTTGATGAAGAACATGTTCAGAAACAAATCTCAAACTCTCCAACAAATTTACTTATGTTATTGTGTCCTTGTAGGTTGATTGAGCTGACAACACGTCATCGTCAGGAGACAGACATGGAGACTGAGCGACTACGCACCGCTCAGCTACAAGCAGAGAGAATGCTGGAGGCTAGAGAGAGGGCTCATAGACAGAGGGTCAAGGCCCTAGAGGAACAGGTTGGTAGGGGTCATAGGTCACTCAGGGGTCATTCTAGGTTATTGACAAGATGCTGTAGGCATCAAGTCACCCTTTGTCACTTAATCATCATTGAAAGGTCACCTTTGATAACTAGTGAGTGGTTGTTTTGGAATTGCTTTCTAAGTTGTCAGTCATCGAGACATCATATAAAGTGCATTAACTTATCTTGTCTGCTTTTTTTTTCTTCAGAACATGACGTTGAAGGATCAGCTGAACATGGAGCAGAAGAAACGACAGCAGTACCTGACTAGGAGCAGCAAGACCTCAGATGAGATACAAGACCTCAGGAACATACTCAGTAAGCACTTCTGATAATTCACAACTATAAAGAATTACGGTCATTGACTACACTTGGTTGCATAAAAAAATAATTGCTACCAGGGAACTCAAGTCTATCCTGACTCAGACGTCTAGTATCCTGACTCACGGCCTGTATTGTATCATTGACTTATGCATATTTTCCAATCCTCCTAGGTGATTCCTTACACACAGTCTCCCGCGACACCACCCTGGATCCCGTCCTCCTGGAGCATGAGACACGTAAGCTGGATGAGTCCATGGGCTACAGCTCTGGGTATGGACCACCGTCATCCCTCACCGGCAAGCATCGTAGTACAAGGAGCTCATCACCAGTCCGTCTGAGTGCTCAGGCTACATCAACTCCTGCACCCGGCAAAGGTATGTAGCTCAAATTGTACAGTTAGTCTACCGATCCTTTCAGTTTTGCCCACCGCACACGTCGAAAACAACACCCAACGGCCGGTTCATACCTCAAGTGACGTGAATGCAAATACAAAGTGGATTTGACAGCATGAAACATTTGCTGCCATATTGGCCAGAGTTGAAATGTCAACGACACGCAAGTACACTATGCGGTCACTCAGTACATTGTTGTTTTCACGAAGTAACACTCCTCTTTATTTCACCAGTTCAAAGGCTCTTATTAAATGTTCTGTTATCCAACAAGAATACAGACTAATTACATTCCTGTCAAATGTTTTAGAATGTTTTTATCCATTAGTTTTACCATCAGTTTATTACCGTAATTTTCGGAATATAAGCCGCGGCTTATACGTTGAATTTGCCCATGAAAATGTTTACTGCGGCTTATACACAGGGCGGCTTATACGCCGAGCCTTGAAGAATAAAAATAAGATTCACATGTATGTGTATTTAATGTACTGGTACAAGAAGAGATGTGTTGCTGAAATGAATTATAAATTAAGAAAGTCATTAACAAACCGAAACCACGTCTCACGTAAAGGTACCGAGCGGTAAAAAGTACGGTGATGAAAGTTGTCTTCGACACTTGCAACCAGCCGTACGTGATACTGGTACAGTGCAGCAGCGATATGCAACATGCTTTCCCCCCAGCGGACCACACCATTTGTGGTAATAAAGGGGTGTTCTTTCTTGGGAACAATAATTACCAATATTTCCGCTGTTTAAAAAAAAAGAAAAAAGACGACTAAAATATTTATGGCGTTCGAAACATTTTTTTATTACATAATCAGTTGTTCAACGTCACAATATATTTTGTTTTCTTGAAATGTATTCAAGAAACGATGTAAAACTCAAAAGAGGGACTAAATCACCCCTTACAAAATTAATGGATTCGTCTATTAAAATGTCCGCTTCGTTTTGACTATTTCCGAAGAAAGTTACGATCGAAACTTGAATTTTTATCGCAGCTACTCGTCAGTAATAGCAAAAATTTGATAAGTTTTGAGGTAAAAACGGACCTGTTTATTCTTTAGGACAAAACAAATCAGCATCTGTTGCCACAAAGCAAGATTTGTAGCGCTCCAGTCTGACCAGTCAGACAACACACGGTGGGTTTCATACTCTCTCACGTGCTGTGGGAAAATGTTGTCATTCACCGGCGTGCGTGGCGCAGGCTGCCGGGCTATGACGGGGCAGCCGGCAGCAGTTTCCGGTGTTTATTTCTCATCAATTCCCATATTTGTTTGTAAAAGTATCGATTGTAAATGATTTGATATAACTTTTGTGGTCCTTTAATAGCTTCTGTAGTGTAAATGGAACTGGTTCAGAGCTTTTTGACTAGAATTTGGAGGCCTTACAAAATTGAAACCGCAGTGGTCGGTGCGGCTTATACGCCGGTGCGGCTTATACGCCGACTTCAAATCTTAATTTGCAGATTTTTGCGTGCTGCGGCTTATACGCCGCGCGGCTTATATTCCGAAAATTACGGTAGTTAAATAAATGTTGAAGGTACACTGTACTGTGTGGTAAAGACATGAGGAACATGTTTTGGTGGCTATATACAACGGTTTACAAATTTGGGTGAAAGATGAACCATGCTTCAATATTTTGTGGTTTTGTTGGGAATTTTTGTCAGAATCCAAGATCAAGTCATCTCCGAGGGCCCATGATCGGACTGCTTCCGTTGGTCTCAGCCCTGTTGCCCGTCGCTCACTCAGAAAGTAAGACAATGTAAGCAACTTTCTCCATCGCTGGTCTTGAGTTGACACCTGCGAGCGATTCTCAGTATCTAAGATGTCTGACAAGGTGCTGCTTTTTATCTCAGTGTTTGTGGCATCTTGTACCTGTTGTGTTATTTCTTATGGTTTCATGGAGTTTGATTAAAAAATATTTGGATGATTAAGTAGAAATTACAAGCTTTTTTTTTTTTTAATTCTGAGATTGATACTCGGCTCAGATTTTGACATTTTTCTGTAGCACAGTAACTTGTGAAATTGAAACCAAATTTACAGTTTAAAGTTCTGTTTGTAGTTCTTATTTTGTGGAGGATAACTGATGTCTTAGATACTGGGAATTGTTCGTTTGGTGCTAAAATTGTGGAAAGTATGACGACAGTGTATAAATGATCTAGGATGTAACAGTCAAACTTTATGGACTTAAAAAAAAGGATAATTTGGTAAGATCACACTAAGGTTTTTTCAAGGAAAAGGACTGCTGCACAGTTTGAAAAAGGACAAATGCACAGTTTGAAAGCGAATTGATTTTTGAAGAATTGTGTAATAAAAAGTTTGCCATACGGAAATGAAACGAATTGAAGCATATTGCTCCCTACAGTATTATGCAAATGCGAAATGGTTCCACATTGTGCAGTGATGTTGCCTTTGCTATGCTAAGAATGCAGTGTGTTTCATGTCATGCTTACGTAACATGTGGCTTTTTAATTGAATTCTTAACAATTGTAAAATCACAATTCCAGTCCCCAGAGAAGTAAGGATGCCGAGACCAAAAAAAGGTTTTTTTAAACTAGAAATTGTTCAAGGAAGCTCAGGTTTTGACCCAACAGTAATTTACCACTAGAGCTTATTGGATCAATTTGAATATTTTGGAACTGTCTAAGAAAATATCTTTTTATCAATTTAGAAGCGTAAACTTATAATTAATAAAAAATGTCACACTTAATAAGCAATTTTTTCGAAAGCACCAGTAGACGTAGTGTAGTTTTAGATTTCACCCAAATCAAACAAGCGATCAAAGAAATTTTTAATAAGCCGTAAATTTTTTAGACTTTAAAATTGCGTCAAAATTGACAAAATATTTTAATCTGATTTATTGTTTCAAAAGTGTATATATATTGGAGAGATTTTTTGTATGCTAGTAGTTGCACAGTGTACACAGTTCTCGGTCAAGAGTGTGGATTTTAATTCTTGTGTTTATTCTTTGCATTCTAAAAATTCCATTTTAATCAGAAAATGTTACTCTCCCTTTTGTTTCAAGTTGATGTTGATGTTTTTAAGAGAAATCCGTGAACAATGTGCACTGCAGTTTTTTATTCAAAACTTGCTCAGATTCCGTCTAGTTTGGAAGATATTTTTTTAAGTGGGAATTTTAACATAAATTGATTGATGTGTATTTTTTTACTGTGTGCTTTGGAAGGTTTCCTTACAGCTGACTAAAATGAAGGTTTAAAATCTTTTCTTTCTAAAATCAAACTTCAAAGTGCCAACTATAAAATCTGTGGACATTCCAGCACAATTCTCTGGACTGTGATTGTAGTGTTACTAGTCTTCTTCAGGGCATTCCCTATACTTGAATATATGGTTTTACTTTTCCCCACTAGTCCTTGTATTTGAGATATGTATTTAAACAGAAGTCAGTTAATTCCTCATAGCATGCCTTATGTCACGTATGGTCTCTCAAGTCATCCACTGAAAGCCAGGGTCCATCATTTGCAGCTATCCAAAAAGTAACTGATGTAATTATTGTTGAAAAACATACTTGGTTGAAAGATAGTAAGCATGGTAGGGGGACTAAACTCCCTGTGACATTATTCTTTCTGGCAAGCTATCATTTTGAAGAAATCAACGAAAGAAGGCCTTTCCAAAAGAAGCACCATTGCAAAAATTCCGTTTGTAGTTGGGGGTTTTTTATTCGGCGAAGCGCGCGCAATCAGTGCACTACACAGCGTAGCTGCAATCGGCTCAGTGAGAACATGTCTCTGACGCTGGATTCCGAGGCCCAGTTAAAAACATGATTCAGCAACTTTTGATTTGGAATCTAGATCCTAGAAAGCTGAGCTTAAACTTCATCAGGTTAGTTGTTCAGCTCCCTTCTTTAGATTTTGAGCACTTTTGTTGCTTCAAACGAACAAAATGCACAAATTACAAATGATGGACTATACCTTTAAGCAAGAATTGTCAGCTAAATTGTACCTCTGGCACATGCAAGAACAGAACTACGACACTTTGTGAAGATTGAAAACACTCTTTTGAAAACACATTTTGTCTGGTTCCTTGACTACAGCAGGCTGCAAATCAATATGACATGCTACTAGTCTGGACAAAAGTATGCAGTTTGTGTCTTAGTTGCTGGACTGCATAAGAACCAAATTTGAGAGCATTTTTTCAAACTTCCTATTAAGACAGCAGTTAGGTATACCTACTTGCTAAATGAGTATTTCACTTCTGTTTAACTATTGTAGCTCCTTTGAGTGTTCCCCAGCTTAGATTTACACGTACATGTACTTATCAGAGAATGTATTTAAACATTAGGGGTACCAGAACAATTTGTTGATTTATTGTATTTTAATGTGTGTGAATGCATGAATGAATGAATGTACATTTTTATTATCTATTTTAATTTGGCCGATTGCCCCAATCGTGACTGCTTTATTGTTTGTGTGTGCTTTTATTGGACGTAGATTTTGTGAAATCCAAAAATAATGTCTGTATTGGAAGATTTACGGATGAAATTAAAACAAAAATGGAAAATAAAAGGACAAATGGATCCATGTTTTCATTCTGATATTTTTTTGGGTCAAAACTACTTGTTTTGGAACAGGCAACAAACTTAATATTGAGAGTTAAAGTTTATCAAACAAGTAAAGCCGTGTCCGCACTGGACTTTTTTTGGGAAGGTTTTACCGAGACGATGGTGAAATGAGAAATGGTCAAATGTGACCACTGTCCGCACTTGGACTTTCGACACGGAAAAATTTACCCAGACCGCGTGGGAGAAGTAACTTGATGATACACCGCAGCGTGTTTCTACAAAATTTTCGGCCACTGCACGTGCAGGTTCGAGCGGTCTCTGTATGCATAACAGGGCGCCTCGTGAAATGGAAAAGTCCAGATTTTACCTTGCGATAATATTCCAATTTCCTCCCATTCCACGCTGATCCACTCAATATTTGTATACTAGCTTACATACATATATGCAGTTTATACGTAAACTCATTATCAATCTGACATTGTTCAGTTTACTGTTGTACATATGTGCAAACAGTGATAGATTAGTGTATAAATGAGGTTCACTCAGCAGCAGATTGATAGAGCTTCAGATAAGCGATGTACATGTACATGTACATATCCTCGGACTTTGTGCACATCAATAAGGGAATAAATGTGTGCTCCGGAGGTTTTTATCACTCTGTTTAAGACCACTTAGAGTCTGGATGCTGATAATTACCCGAGTGCAGTCTTAAACAGAGTGATCAATACCGACGGAGCACATATTTATTCCCATTCATTAATACCTCTTCGGTAAAAAAAAATCATATAATTCGTTCAAAACATCCCAATTTTGTTCAACAAATTCACTTTATGCTTTTTGAAACATCCCTCTTGCAAAATAATGGAGTGTTCAGCTGGCGAGTAAGATGTAAACAACCCTTTTATGGAGATTGACGCGCGCGTATCATGTTCTGCGCGATGTCGCGCGGAACGCACCTGGCGTGTTGCGTTTTGAATTTAGAACTATAAAATTCTGACTCCCTGGTAGTGTTGCGCATGCCTACGTGAGGATTGTGAACGTTCAACCAATGAAACGATAAGAGGCACTGGATTTTTAGGAGTCCACATTTTATTGTGACACTGGAAAAGTGTTTAAGACCAGCTAGCCATGTCTTTATCATCCGTTTAAGACCGGCCACGTGACGGGCTCTCGACCAATAGGAATGCGTAAACTGTCTTTAGGTATTTATGATTATAACGCCTCACCCACAGATTCTGTGTCTTGATTGGCCGAGAGCGAGTCACATATGTTACTTTCTAATTTTGCTATCTTTCTGTGCACGGCCAAAAGTACTATGCGCATAGCAACCAAAGTACTATACCATTAGCAACAAAGTACTATTTCCACGGCGCGGTATTTGTGTGCAAATGCATGCTGGTGTGCGCGTTGCGCGTTGTGCGTAGCGCGTATTATTCCAAAGAGAGCGCGCCGCAGACTTGGGTTCAAACATTTCGTGAAGGGTTAGTTTTTAAGAGAGAAATACATTTTCCACCAATTTTGTATTGAAATTGAAGTTTATTTCAACTGTGTTCAGATTTAAATGATGTAAAATATTAAAATCAAGCAGAATCTGTAGGTGAAGTGTTATAAAACAAATATTGAATGCTTTATCTCGTGGTGAAGTAAAACTAGCCTCCCTCGGTGATCCATGGACCATTCTATTTTCCCACGGCTTCGCCTCGGAAAAATAGAATAGTCCATGGATCACCTCGGGAGGCTAGTTTTACTACACCACTCGAAGCATTCAATATTTGTTATAATATCTAATCTCTGAGCAGTGCCCATTTTATTATCACATTGAACTACACTGAGTTCAACCACTGCCTCAGATCAGACCTGAAAACTCCTGGGGCATATACGTGTTTTTCAGGTTTTGTGTGTATACTCTCGAATGCACACTGTACCTATTGTGCTGGCTGGGTAGATAGTTCAGCACTGATGCGCTTGAGCATTTCTGAGGCTATCGGCTAGGCATGCCAGGTAAGTACTGTAAGGCCAAAAAAAAAAAGTCTCCGGTTTCTGGTATGGAGCTTGCCCCAAAAGTGGTGCGGCGACGCGGCTTCTTTTTTTTTTTTTACCTGTTTTTTTTTTTTTTTTGGCTTCAAATGTCGGCTGATGACTGCAAATGGTGCCCGACTAAACTTAGTGCAAATATATGGGAGTCCAGAGAGGCCACATAAAGCTTATTCTCGATCAAAACCCCATCTAAAAACACGTTAAAATTGTGCAGCAGCAGGATTCCAGTCAAACCAGTGAGTTTGGCGGTTTTGAGACATCATCTTGTATTGAAAAAAAAACTTGTTCATTTTGCCGACGCGCATGGCTGCGGCGACGCGCGCTCATACCAGAAACCGGAGACTTTTTTTTTTGGCCTAAAGTAGCCTTTTTTGTTTGGTTAAATTGTGGAAATCTTTTTTTAATTTCTCTACTGTGCAATGTGCATTCATGTATTGTGCTTTAGTATTTGAATAAGTGGGGGGGGGGGGGGGCTAATATGTGCCTACATTTCCCACACTGATCAATCCTTACAAAAACTGAAATAACCGTCTTAAAGTAAATCGGCCATGTTCACATTCAGACTGCTTGCCACATCTGCGCTAACAAAACTGGAAGTTACTCTCAGTCTCATACAAGCTTACATTTATGTACTGTGCAGTAGTGATCGAATACTGCTCTATGACAGCTCACGTATGACAGCTCACGTTGTCAGAGCAGTATCGATACCTTTACAGTACTTTTACCCTTTGCATGTTGTGTATTTTGCATTGAATGTGTGCATTATAAATGATCGAATATGTTGTTTTTTGCACACTTTAAGCAGACTGAAGTTTCCAAACAAACTTGAGAGGTTGTCACCATGTCAACAAGCTCAGTTGCATCATGGGTAACGGCAGAGGTGGACTCCAACGAGAATATCGTAAGTGTCGACCTGCAACATTCAAAAAAGTTTTGTGAATCACTATTGTTTTCTACTTTTATGCCAATAAACAAAAACATTTTAAGCGTCCTGCCTGTTTGCAAAAAAAAGGAAGCGGGAGGCCCTGTTTTTTTTCTTAAAATGGCCGCTCGACTGGGCTATATTTTCAAAATTGCTGCCATTTTTTTTTATTTGCTGCCATTGCACTCAGGAAATGACATAGGCCTACCATCTTGAAATGGGCTAGATGCAAGAGACAAAAAGGCGAAAATGATGTCACTGTTTAAAATTTATCATTTTTTTTCGGTTAAAAAAGAAAAGAAAAAAGGAGGCGGTCTCAAAAAAAGAAAGATGCGAAACATGTTTTTGTTTTTTTTTGGCGTTAGCCTATTGTAAGATTTTTGGCACTACATAGTACAAGCCGGTGCTGTATCGGAGCTGAGCAGTTTTAAGATGGATTTCGTATGCATGAGAGTAGGTGTGAAAAGGGTTTCTGAAACAAGGCTCAACTTTTTTTGTTTTATTATAGACCATGTGACCTGTGACGTCATGCCGACAGGCAATCGCCTGGCAACCCAAACATTTAAACATCGTTCACATATGTTACTTGGCCCACCTGGTTTATGTCAACGCTTTTAAACTATTCATATTTCAAGAGATATACATGCAGTGCCGATGAGAACAGGTTGCCGAAAGTGGGCATCCCTTGACCACAATTTGTACACAAATGTCACATGGTCTGAACTCTGGGCTTTACTTTATTATTTGAAAAGGTTATCTGAGACTTTCCATTTTTCAAAACAGGGCACGCAGAATACATCCAAGACTCCTGTTTAAACAAGACAGTGTTTAATTGATCAATTCACAGTTTTATGATGTCATGGCAAAGTCAGCAAGTAGTAAGAGTAAGTTTACGGTTGCATCATGTGACAAGGAATCTCTTTTGTAATTTTGTGAGGTTCTAAAAAAAACTATAAAACCCACAATTTCATGTTTCATGGTACAATTGCAATCTAGAACAAAGATGACAATATGTGGCACCACCAACATAGGGCTGGATAGCTCAGTTGGTAGAGCTCTGGAGCGGTAATCCGGAGGTCGCAGGTTCAAACCCCCTCCAGTGAATTTCTTTGTTCAACTTTTAAAATATTTAGTCTGATTAAGCTGTCTTTATCGTAACACAGGAATGTTGTGGATATAAGAAGAACCCACTAAAGACTGCTGTCTGCTACGTCGTTGCTGTATTCTCCTTGGGATTTCTCTTCCTCGTCTTCTACTGGAAAGAAGACTGGCGGCTCAAGTGCATGTGTGCACCTTGTCATCTGAAAGAGGCAGATTTTGTCCTCATCAAGGTACAACCAAGAAATCTGTAGCAAAAAAAATTGTAAAATCTGTCGCTATATTTTTATTATGAAATTTACTCATGAAAAATGGTGTCTAAGGCATTTTGAGATGTGTAAGTGCTTACTAATAAAGTTTCAAAGGTTATATGGACTGGAGAAACTGTCAAAAGAATGTTTTTATTGTATTTATCAACCAAATCCAACAGGGAGATCATCGCCAAAAAATTCAACATGTGTCAGTTTGTGTACATCTGACACAGTAGCCATTTTGGGCTTGTCTGTATGTGTTTCCAGCAGTAAATAAGCCATCTAATTATGAACTGAAGCTGCATTATCAAACTGGTGGGTCCAATTTATACACATAAAGTACATGTCAATTCACTTAATCAATGGGAGCACCTGTGTTTAAGTCAACAGTGGTCGGCCAACCATCGTTGGAAATTGATTCAAAAATTCAACTTTTCTTGAAAATGACAGCACACCAGGTGCCATGATTTCACAGGATGCTTGAGACTATTATTCACTTATACTGTCAAGTAAGGGATTTCATATTAATTAGGTAGGTTTGTTTTGTGATGTTTGCATACATTAATTGCACAAACACCACAAAAATGACACAAAAATTGCAAAGTAGCCAGGACGATGACTAGAGCAGGCTAGTGGAAACGTTGAGTCCAAAGACATGTTCTTTTTTAACTTAAAGCAGGACTGTTCTTAGGCCAAAAAAAAAAATCTCCGGTTTCTGGTATGGAGCTTGCCCCAAAAAGTGGTGCGGCGAGGTGGCTTTTTTTTTTTTTTTTACCTGTTTTTTGGGGTTTTTTTGGCTTCAAATGTCGGCTGATGACTGCAAATGGTGCCCGACTAAACTTATTGCAAATATATGGGAGTCCAGAGAGGCCACATAAATCTTATTCTCGATCATAACCCCTTCTAAAAACACGTTAAAATTGTGCAGCAGCAGAATTCCAGTCAAACCAGTGAGTTTGGCGGTTTGAAACATCATCTTGTATTGAAAAAAAACCTTTTCATTTTGCCGACGCGGATGGCTACGGCGACGCGCGCGCATACCAGATTAAACCGGAGACTTTTTTTTTTTGGCCTTATCAGAACAAAAGCTACTTAGCGAAGTTGATAATAAGCAGGACAAGTTCTTTTCAGAACTAAATATCTTCTAAACAGTAGTTATTACCACATGGTTTTACCGAAGCAAAACAATATCCAGGATTAGTTGTCGCTTTTATATAATCTACTTTTTATTTGATTTCATCAAACTGCTATCTATCCCCTTAACTTGTGTTGAGAGGCAAACATGGTTCATTCTGGACAATATGACTCCTGTACTGCACTTACTCACATTTGATTATCTGACTTTCATGTTGTACAAATTCCAGACTTCACACAGGTCAGTTTTCAGTCAAACTTGTTGAGTTCCAATCTTTGTTTAACAGGACATTTACCGGCGATATCATGTTTGTGACATTCGACGTAACCTCATCAAAGATAACGAGTAAGTTCACTGATAAGACACAGTAAAGCAATGCTACCAAGCTCAGACGACTTTGTTATTGACTTAACAACTGTGCAATGAAATACTTGAATTATGACAAGCCAGAGTTTGTAAGTTTTGTTTGCAAATCAATTTTAACAAGATGTTTCGGTTCCGTGTACTGTAACATTCAAGGGTAGATGTAATTATGTTGATGAAAATATGGTGACATTTAACAGTTGTTGACTGATGTGATGTGGGATATGACGTTTTGAACACCCGAGGGACGCATAGCGCCCGAGGCGAAGCCGAGGGTGCTATGCGTCCCCGAGGGTGTTCAAAACGTCATATCCCACATCACATCAGTCAACAACTGTTTTGTCATACCTCTGTCTTAATGATGTGTTTTACTTGTTTTACTAAGGGAAATTAAGGGTGGCAAACTGAAGGAATTTTTGAAAATTTTCTTTCAACATATATAGATGTAGGGGCATTAAAACAAGCTTAAGTTCAGGGAAATTTGGGGTAAAGGTTTTACAAGTTTAATAAAAAAAAATCTTATCCCCTGGCATATTTTATAGTGGTAGGGACAATGAATAAAAACCTGGTTTGTAGTGACAATGATGCAGACCCTTAAAAGAAAGAAATTTTTATCAAGCAGACTGTCCAGTTCTTTCACAGGAAGTGTCTCGAAACGAGTGTCCCTGCCCGTTTCTTCGCAGAATTCTCGTACAACGCGGACTGCGTAGTTGGGTACAACGTTTGGTGTTCGATGAGTCTTGTTCAAAAGCTAAATCTTTTATTTGTTGTTTGGAGCGGCTCAAAAACCTTTTTTGGGGCGGAGAATCTGTGCCTCCGGGCTCAGCTGACATGTTGAGGCTGATGAGGATCGTATACGAAAAAACTAACTGTGTCAGCTCTGCATTTCCGAAGTTCTGAAGGCCTAGCCACCGTTACTAGAGTCAGTCAAAACGTAAACACAATCTTAATGCCGCTCGTCGCTGGCCGCCAAATTAGAGTAAATATCGTCTGCAAATGCACTGCTCCCTCACTGCTATACATTATATTGTGGAATGTGAAAGTACTGCGGGGTACCAGTGAGTACAAATATAGTCTGGTTTAATCGCGGTCCGCGCATAATGGTTTGGACTGTGGGGCGGGGACTAGTCTACATGCATGTGATATCACAATGTGATATACAACGGGAGTGTGCCATGCATATTTATCGCCCGGTCAGGTGATCGTCCTGGGCCAATGAAAATACAGTATAAAGACAGAGGTATGACAAAATTTATTATCATAAGATTATTGTAAATCCTAGCAATATTCGTATTTTTTATTTAGTGGCTGCAGTCGTGAAACGCTTCGCACCATTCTTAAGAAGGATGTCGTTGATGCAGACGGAAATCTAAGATTTTTCAAATTTCAAAAGATTTTCTTTATCTTGGATCTTGCTCAGCATGAGATATTTCGTCTCAGGTAAATGACAAAAAGATCATTAATATGAAAATAATTCAGCTGACAAGATGTTGATATATCCTACGTGTCATTTAACACAATTAATGTTTGCAGTCATACGTTTTTTCAACTAAATCAATCACAATGTGCTATCATTACTTAAGTGATGATTTACAGAGTTTATGCACACCACCAGTTTCGATAATTATTTGATTCCTGCAAACCCACTTGCTTCTCAGTTTTGAAACTATAGTAAATCCCCTAACATTTCATGCAGGAAAAGATTGAAATTGAACTTTGTTTTAAAAAATGAAGTAATTTTTCTTTCAACCACTAGGGGACTTGAGAGTAACACGCCATGCAATGCTTTCTTGGAACAATATGCTAATGGATTGTCAGAATCTCAATCCGAACAAAGGTAAAACTCTTTCTGTTATGAAATGCAAATTGATATTTTGTACTTTTCTTATCCTGAAAAAATAAGCAAAAAAACCTTGTAACTTACTAAGTGGAGGATGGAATTGGATGCTTTTTTTCATGAGGTGAAGTTGCAAATACCATAAGATATATTTCCAGGAAAAAAGCTAAAAAACAAAACAAAACTGAAGACTTCTTTAAAGAAACGTTGTTTAATTAGACTTAATTAGTGTCTCACAGCTGTAGGGCAGAGGAGCTGTAGGGCAGAGGAAATGTCCACACATGACCACAAAACTCTCAATGGAACTAACTTTCGGTTTTTTTGTCACATAGACAAGTGATTTATGGCAAGAATGACATCTATGTTCGAGTGCGTTCCATCCCAGTATTACTTGTTCAAGAGGTATGTAATATTCTCATATCGCAATTCGTTCCTCTCTTGTGTAACATTATGAACACTCTTCATCTTTCACAAGGGTTTACTGGATTTGGCCAGACTGTAACTCACCACCAGCTCCAATTGTTTTTGACCCCTGACAGGCTGACACCCATGTCAGACTCGTTCTAGAGTCTTGCTAAACCATATTTTTGGGAACTACTCAGGTTGACCCCAATAAATAATGGTTGACTCAAATAGATTTTGGATTCAGACAGGCAGCCTTTGTGTATTAATTTTCTATATTCAGAAATACCTAATTGCTTACTCATTCTTATTGGTTGAGAGCCCGTCACATGGCCGGTCATAAACGGATGATAAAGACTGGCTGGCTGGTCTTAAAACAGTTTTCCAGTGAAATTTTGACCCTATGAAATCCGGTCCCTTTTAGTCGTCAAACGTTTTTAATTCTCGGTTAGGCATGTGCAATACTACCAATGAGTCCATATTTCATAGTCCTAAATTCACACTGCACTGGTTATATAGCACCACATAGCGCAGTACATGCAATGCGCGCTCTAATCTCCATATAAGGAGTTGTTTGTGAGAGGCACAGACCATAACATATAGCTAGAGGGGTGTTTTTAAAAAACAGGAAGTTAACCTGTTGAACAAAATCATTGGAAAATATTTATTTTTTTACTTGTTTTGACTGTTTGAAGGATTGACTTCGGTTATTAATCCAGTCTTAAGATAGTGCTTTAAACCGGCCCAGCACATATTTATTCCGTTATTCTCGAGTCATTCTCAACGACTGCAATAGTTGATATTTTGGCGAAATTGCTCCTGTTTCAAACATTGAACTTAAATTCATGTACTCAATTCAAATCTTCACTATAAGTTGGTTCAATGCACCTCTGAAATGACAATTGGAAATGTGTTAATCTTTCCATTGCTGACGCTGACATGCTTGCCAATTCAAAATCAATCAAGGTTTTAAAATCTAAATCTGTGAAATGATTTCTTTTTCTTCTGAGTGTTTATACCCAGGGATAATTTTGGAAGATAAAAACCCCCAGAAATCTTTGTGTTTTTTCTGCAGGTGTTGAATCCGTTCTACATCTTTCAAATCTTCAGCGTCTCTGTCTGGTTTGCTGATGAGTATATCTACTATTCAGCATGTATTCTCATCATGTCGGCTATATCTATTGCTATATCTCTGTATACGACTAGAAAGGTAGGTGTGTGATGCTGGTGCTTGTTATTACGAGGTTCAGATTGTAAATTAGAGTTTCTCAAGAAATACTTGATGAAGATGAAACTTTGTCCTTCAGCATTTTATCTTTCAGCTTTTATCCTTCAGCATGTAATCTGTCAAATTGGAGCAATTTAAAGCCTTTTTAAATTGCTTCGGAAATAAAACTGAGATGTACCGTTTATCAATCAACTGCAAAAAAAAAAGAATGTCAAGGACGAAAATGCAAATTAAAATATGAAGCATTTAGAAAGGTTTTTGTATCTGTCCAGTTTCTAGATGTTTCCTGGAAATGGGTAGTGATGTTCTTCATGAAAATTCCTGTTTCATTTTGTCATCAAAGTGTTAATTTTTGTTTTTAATAACAGCAAAATTTGACACTACGCAGCATGGTGCAGTCAGACACTGTGGTTAAAGTCTTGCGTCCTAACAGTAAGTACAGTTAAACATATTCTTAAAAACTATGGAGCTCATAAGAAGATGAATAAAACATTGGTTTCCTATCAAAATCACCTATGCTTTTAACAATATGATCAACTGGTTATTGACTGATACACGTAAACCAACATTTATTGACAAAAATTGCATAACATAATGAAAAAAAAATGTTGCAGGTGATCGGAGAGGAATTGATTTTTTTCTCTTGATTTTCAGAGGCCATTGAGGTATCTGAGAAGGTCTTAGTTCCTGGGGATGTCATCATTATTCCTCATCATGGCTGCATGATGACATGTGATGCTGTCCTCATCAGTGGAAACTGCATCGTCAATGAGAGCTCACTCACAGGTACCAAGACATTGCACTTCTTTAAAGCTCACAAAATGTGTCATTTGTGTTCTTGGGCAAGACACTTTACTACAATAAGCAGGCATGGTAGTTCCTCTGGTAATAAGATTTCTATTGGGGAGGATAAGGCCCAGCCAGCATTGATGCTCCTTGAAACTTGTTATTACACAGACGGTGTCATTTGTGTTCTTGGGCAAGACACTTTACCGCAATATCCAGGCATGATTCTCCTTTTATTTTGTATTTCCTCCCCTTTCAGCAAACTGTGGACACTACATTTTTGGGGTCTGCAGGACACTGAAATCATTGTTGGCCCACTGGTCAGGGGTAATAATAGTTTAATGACTTCTAGTAAACACAGGTGATTGAATTATGACTTGTTAATTTGTAACCAGGGGAGAGTGTACCAGTGACAAAGACCCCCCTCCCACATCAAGGCGACTGCATGACTGAGTACTGTCCCATTGAACACAAACGCCACAGCCTATTCTGTGGTACAAAGGTGATACAGACCAGACAAGGGGACACGGATGAAGTCAGAGCGGTGGTTGTACAGACAGGTAATATCTTGGCTTTTTGTTGCTTCAATCTCGGACATAATTCATACAGCTTGGTGCAAGTTCTGATGAGGCCCATTATTAGTCGACTAATTGTTTATTTGTGACGCAACTTACACCTGGGCACTAATAGCAACATGCGAACGCCTACAGTCAAACGCTGGTCAAAATGTCATCACAAAATGCCTTGATCCTGGCTTCCTGCGCTGTGCATAATTATGGTGCAGGCAGCTATTGATAACCAGCGATGGAACCGTTAAGTGCCCGGTGGTACGATTCAAAATAGTCAACTAGAGTAGTCCAACTATCCTTCGTTAGAGTGAAGTTAGGGTGAAATAACAAGTTGGACATTCTCATTTTTAAACCATACACCGCTTGCACAGGGCGCCATCACTGATGGTAGGTGTTGTTATTTATATTCAGGGGCAGTCTCTATACTTATGTATATCACGGAGGAACAAAGTCATGTCCTCTATCATGGCACTGTATGCACAAGGTCTATTTTATGTCGAAATAAAAATAGACGTGTTCAGCCAAATTTTGTACATTATGTACATGTTCTACATAACACCCGAGGACCGACACACAACGAGAGAACAGTCCTTTCAGTCCTCAGTAGTTGGGTCTTTTGTTCAAAACGGTCGTCTGTAGTACGTTTGTGTGCTTAGTCTATGGGAGAGTGTTATATTATAGGGACAAAGGGAAACACAAAGCATTGTCCTCGAGAGTATAGTAAAAAACGACTGTATTTGCATTTTCGGTAAGTGAAGAAATTTGACACTGCAAGTGACGCATTCGTTTTCCTCTGACTACTCATTTTTTCTTCTCTTTTTGGCTTTTCTCGGTTATTTTGATTCAGGTTATTCCACAGCGAAAGGTTCTCTAGTTCAGGCTATCATGTACCCTAAACCCATGGAGTTCAGACTGTATCGAGACGCCCTACGCTTCGTTGGTCTGCTGGCTGTTATAGGTGAGTTTGCATTATTAGCCATGTCTGTTCCAAAACTCAGTATCTAAAACGTTACTGGAATATTATAAGATGGAATTTGTGTGTCGGGGTGATATAAATCAAATTAGGTTTTGCCCTCCACTGACGTTTAAACACTGTATACTCGGTGGTCGAGTGGTAAAACATCTGCACTGAGGTCGTGGGTTCGAGTCCCACCCAAGTGATTTTCAGGTCGGTGAAGGGCAAAACCTAATTTCATACTGGAATAGTTTAGATCGTCTTTCACGTCTTTCTGAAAAAATTAAGAGCTCAGTTCTTCGACTCATATTCATAAATGAAGGTGTTTTTGTGAACCGTTGGTCTAATTGTCCCACGCTTGTCTTGTCTGTCCATGGTCTGTCTCAGGTTGTGTTTTGTTTGCCATATGTCCATATCACAGTTTTAATGTTTGTCTGAACATTGGTTAGGGTACAAAAGCACTTAGCTTTTGTACATTTAGTTACTTACTTTATTAATCATTGTGTACATACATCATCTATTGCTCAGAATACATGTAGCTGATTCAATTACTCAAAACTCAAAACTTTCACAGATGATCTTTTGCTCAAATTGGTTTTAGTGATCAGAAATTGCCTCAGATCACACCACAGAAATTGCTATTCTTTAACTGCATGTCTCCCCAACTATATCCCCCATTTACATTTAACTCCCCACATTTTCATCCCCAACACTACGCCCTACCCGATCTATGATCGGGTAAACCAGCTTGTATCATATAATTGTACTCCTTATATTATTTAAACATGTTTGTATGTTTGTACATATTTGTATAAAAGAATGGCATCATTCAAATAAATGTTACAGAATTGCAATTGGAATACTTCCTGCAATGATGTCATCATGCACTCGTATTACAGTTTCAGTAAACTGCAGGTTTATTTGAATTGGGAAATATTTTTTTATAATTTACAGCATTCGTTGGACTTGTTTACGCCATAATCGTGATGTTTCTAAAAGGAGTAAGTATTGTTTTGTTTTTATGTTTAAATTATTTTACCAAGAACTGTACAGTTTGGAAACAGATCAAGGTTTCAATGACGATTTTGAAGTGAAAATGCTCAGTTAATAAGCCAATGTGGTTGGTATCAATCTTCTGACTTTCGGTTAAAAAAATTATGCTTAATTAAGAATTTGTGCTCATATATTTTGAGTGTACAATCAAAAAAGCAGTAATTCTGGCTTTTTATACAGTAAGGTTAAACCTTTTTGAAGTTTTGTCACTGTTGCACCAATCTTTGATATCGTGTGATTTTGCCTACAATCATTGGAAACTTCATCATGCATTTATTTTCAATTTCATTCCTCGTGGGCAGTCCTTTTGGTTAATATACACTGATCATTATATCTTTCTCATTTGTTGGCTGTCATATTTTTGGATTTGCACATAAAAGAGTAAGTATAATCCCATATTTTCTTAAAGAGGTTGTGGAATGCTCGAAGACATTTCCGTCATTTTTCGGGTATATGTAGCCTTAGGTGTGATGACATAAAAACGACTATTGTTTCTGTCATGAAATGAGTACAAAAGGTACTTTTGAGAGCTGTTTTTCAGGTCCAGTTTCAACCCGAACGTGCAACTGTATAAAAGTCGTCGTTGCGGGCAGCAAACAAAACACAGTAAATCGTGACGTAATAAACAGGACTCGTGTGTGCTACTGTGCATCGGGAGTCCTGTTTATTACGTCACGATTTACTGTGTTTTGTTTGCTGCCTGCAACGACGACTTTTACACAGTCGGGTCGAAACTGGACCTGAAAAACAGCTCTCAAAAGTACATTTTGTACTCATTTCATGACAGAAACAATAGTCGTTTTTATTTCATCTCACCTTAGGCTACATATACCCGAAAAGTGACGGAAATGTCTTTAAATTTGATGTTATTGGTCACATTATGGCATTGAAAACGAGCACATGAATGTGCATGCTTGTGATAAATGTAAATTGCTCATCAGTCCTATCTTGTAATTACATGTGCACACTGGATTAGAATAACATGGTTTATTTTGGTGTACTGTGTGTGGTTATATATTTGGCATGTGTATGATTTGTTCAAGCTCAGTTTGTTTTGATTCACCCATAATTGCGTTAACAGAAATGTCAGTTGTACCAAAATCAGCTATATTATAATGGTATAAAGGATAATTTGCATTTATCCTAAAAGTAACCTACCAAATTATTAGCCAAAAGCTAACTTGGATTAAACCATTGCTATGACGTCACACTATTGTTAAAACTGTGGATTCGGATCTACGAATCTCTTACACTGGTCACAAAGTGTGGATTCGGAACAAAGAATCTTTCGTAAAGTGTGGATTCGGAATTACGAATCCACACTTTGAACAAGTCGGACAATTGTTCCCCATAATGAGCCTGAATAAGACCGTCTGTGTGAAAATTTGTTTTCCGAAAATTACCAATGCATCTTCACTGTCACATTCGCCGCCGTCACTGCAAAAACTACTTTTAGTCAGAAAGAAATCGTCGTCTGAATTATCCATTTTGTCGTAAGGAGCCTATACACACAAAATGGCTTGGTTGTACGGGTGTGGCGATACACATGCTAAACATGCCAGGGACACATGTTGCAACCTGACGCCACTTCCGCGCTTGTGTACGAAGTCTATGGAGAGTCATTTCAAGTATTTCCTAACAAAATTTGAAACATTTCTCAGTCCCAGATTCATGTATTATCATCATTTTGCAACGAATGACCTTCATTGAGATGATATATGAAGAAAAAAGTGGCGTCAGGTTGCAGCATTCTTTCCAATACTTCTGTTGACGCAATGGTTTAAGTCGCAGAATACACTCGCAAGTGTGGATTCTTAATTTACGAATTCACTCGGCGCTTCGCGCCTCGTGAATTCTTAAATTACGAATCCACACTTTCTCGTGTATTCTCCTTAACTTAAAGATTGTACTGGTACTAAACACCCTGTGAAATTATCCCGTCTGGCTTATTACTATCCGGAAGAAATATAATATCAATAGTATTATCAGTCAATTGATAGATTTTTTTTAATATTGAGTGCATTTAAGTAGCTCACCTGGATCGACTCGGGTAAAGGCAGACTTGTGCGCCACGACAGCCGGTCTAATCGAATGCTAAACTGCGGGCCAACACGATCCTCACGTAATGTTCATAGCCGTGGCCGTATAGCCACTGACGAAATGCCCGTTTCGGGCTTGGGTCTTAGTTTGAAAATTACTGCTTTTCAGACGATTGCAAAATTCAAAAAAGTTGGGCTGGAATTATAGTCTCTAAAGTCACAATGAACTCATTAAATAAGTACCTTTAGACTTCAAATAAGGTTGATTTTTTGGTCCACTTGAGATTTTCGCTTTCCGGCCGCCATATTTGTCAGTTTCTAGGGAATGAACAAGGCATGCATGTAAGGTATTTCCACCACTGACTCTGCTCCGCGAGCAGAGTCTATGGTGGCTGACCAGGGTGAGCCCCGAGAATGACGTCAGAGCTAATCAAACGGCACGGGGCTAACCCTAGTTGATCCAAGTGAGCTATTCAAACCCACCCAAGAGTGCTATAACCGAAATTATGTTTTGTGATCGGAAGGTTAAGCATTCCCCCCCCCCCCCCACGTTTTTACAAAAAGTGTAATATTCACTGAGCTGTGCCCACCTCAACAGGTTAGGTTTTGAACATTTTTCTTAGTTTCGAGTGCTAATATTGGAAACGAACAAAAAGCATGTAGAGCAAATGATTCTATATGCCTTTAAGTTTCGCTGATTTTAGTTTAATAGCAGGTGTTTCCCTCGAAAGCTTGCCTTGCATGCTTGTCTGCACTTCCCCCATATACTATCTTTGTTTGACATGCAGGGTCACTTGGCAATCAACTCAAATACAACTCTTGATTCATCGTCATTTTGATTCCCGTTGTAGGCGACAGTTTCACGGATCATTATCCGAGCCTTAGACACTATCACCATTGCCGTACCCCCGGCCCTACCGGCAGCCCTGACGATTGGTATGGTCTACGCTCAGATACGACTCAAAGCACAGCAGATATTCTGCATCAGTCCGCAGAGAATCAACCTGAGTGGAACCATTGATATATTCTGCTTTGATAAGGTAAGGAGTAGAATAATGGAGTCATTCTATAAATTTGGGGTCCACTTTTTCAAAACACTTAAAAAAGGATTTTTGGTTTAACTGTAAAGTTCCTGAATTTTTTTTTTTTTGCTTTTTAATTTTTAGACTGGTACTCTGACAGAAGAGGGCCTGGATTTACTGGGAGTCCAAACGGCTGAGAATGGAAGGTGCCAATTAAATTTAAAAGATGAATCGAAATTATGAAATTGAAAATTTTTGTCTTTGCTTGAAAAATGAGTGTGTAGCAGACCACCCGGCAACCTATTCAACCACTACCTAAAAAGTTTTAAAAAAAATTCTTAAGTGTTCAGTGAAAGACATAGTACAACTTCATATGGTACATGTTAGTGCATTCTGTCGACCTCTTTTCAGATTTCTTCCAATGACTACATCAGTGTCCAGCCTTCCTATTGGTCCATTCACGTCTACCATGGCAACATGCCACTCATTGGCTGTCGTCAACGACGAGTTGTCAGGTGACCCCATCGACCTGAAGATGTTCCAGGCCACAGAATGGGTACAATATCAGTTTGATGTTTAATTCATATACTTCAGATTTTATCCGTTTTCACTTGTGTAGATCGGATGCATGAAACGACTTTAAGTCAGTCACTGCAACTTATAGCCATTCTAAATCATCGAGTAGAATTTTGTGCGCTCCTAGACCAGCTTAATTGAGTCTAGCTCATCTTGTTATCTGAAGTTTAAAGCTTAAAAAAACTTATTTGATGATACTTTTTCAGACCTTCAAGGAACCGGACAGAACTTCAGGAGAAAAGTTCATCAAAGTAGAGCCGCCTAAGGACGTAATACAGATGGATGATTCGTACAAAGAAAAGGTAACTTCTGACATTATCTGCTTACATCGATCCTACATTCTTGTGATGGGTTTCATAATTCTATTTATCAATTATGGTTGATTACCACAGCATCAACATCACAAGTTGTTCATGTTAAACATAATGCCAGTAAAAAAAAAATAAGTTTTCTTGTTGATCAGTTAAGCTGATCAAAATTCTTTTTAAATACATCAAACTCTCGCTACGATTGAGGTAATTCTATTCCTTTTTTTCTACAAAAACGCCCCTAGATTCCCAGCAAGTTTTTAATTTTTTTGGGCTCGGTTTTGTTTGTTGTTGCCAGGGTGATTACGGTATCTCCCTGTTACATCTGTTTCCGTTTTCCTCTGCCCTGCAACGGATGAGTGTCATTGCACAGACCGAGGGCGATGATCGCGTGGTTGCCTATGTCAAGGGCTCACCAGAGATTATCTCGTCGTTATCAAAACCAGAAACGGGTAAGAATGTCAAAAAGAACATTTACTGTCGTGAATTTACTCCACAGTTAAATATTGCCAGTATTAGAATATCAACCTCAAAATCCTGTTTGTGTCTTTGAAGAAATCTGCAGATTTTTTTTCTTGCAGTTCCTGATAATTTTCAGCAGGTACTCAGTAACTACACCCAAGATGGCCTCCGAGTCTTAGCTTTGGCCTGGAAACCTATCCAATCTGAAGAAACTCTGGATAATCTTAAGAATATGCAAAGGTATTTAAACGTCTTAAGGCTGGTACGTACTTAATGCGAAAGTGAAAGCAAAGTAATTTTATGACATCAGTAATTGAAGTTACATTGTTTTGCTGTTACCCTAACAACTTCGCTTCGCGTTGAAATTCGCATGAAATTTGAACCGGCCTGCAGTGTAGCAAACTGCAATCCGTTTTTGTATAGTAATCGTTGAAAATTGCATTGTATTATTGTGATATGAATCAAGGAAAATCAGTTGCTAGAGTTAATATTAAATATTTCAGACAGAAATTGTAGTGATTACAGCTTGGCAATTGCCCTCGTGGGCTTCATACAACTACAAATAAGATAGATTTTGTGTGTTGTATTGACTTTTGAAATATGGGAATATATATGTGCTTGGCCGGTCTTAAACAAGTATGTCTATGCTGATAATGGCCTCAGCCAAAGACTCAAAAAGTCAAAAAGTTATAACAATAAAGTCAAAAATTCACAAAATTCCAAAGATTTTGTGCGAGAGTTTGACTTTATGTTTTGTGCAACACCCCTCTGGCCATGTCCATGGTATGTGCCTCGCGCGCATAGTGCTAACAATCGCCTTATATGGAAATTGGTGCATACTGCGCAATGTGGCGCAGAAAGCAGCCGTGTTTTACTGGCAGTTTAAACCACCCACTTCATGGGCTCTCAACCAATAGGGATTGATAAACTGTCTCAGGTATTTATGGACATCAAATAATTTTGTTAAAGCTTAGAAATTGCTTATGCAGAAAAGCACAAAATAAATTCAGTAATGTGTCAAAAAGCTTCTCAAGGAGAAAAATGTCCCGGTGTTGGAATTGAGAGGACATTTTTTGATGGGTTTAATTGTTCTACAGGAAGAATGTGGAGGAGGAGTTGGAATTCTTGGGTCTGATGATCTTGGAGAATAAACTGAAGCCAGAGACCAGACCTGTCATTGAAGAGTTGAATCGAGCCAACATACGAACAATCATGATCACAGGTAAAAGTCACAGCAAATCTTGTCACACCATCCATGCCAGACATTGTGTCACTCTTAACATGTTCAAATTGACCCTGATCATAAAGGTAATAGAATTTTTTATAGAATCATGTGCTTTTTGTGCTTTTTTGTTGTTGGAAGTACAAAATTGCACACAATCTTAAAGAAAGGTGCATCTAACCTGTTTAATAAATTACAGCTCAGTTGACAATGTTAATTTTGAAAAAAACAACAGAGCAAACATGGCAAGTTTTTTGAGGCTCACAACTGATTCTATGTTCGATGCTTGAGAAAAAGTGTGGCAGTGGACACACTATTTAATTAAAATGACCTTTGTTGGTTTCTTCTTCCGAATGCTACCATTTCAGGCCTAATAATTTCACAGGATATTTGGTAGCATCCCTATTTTTGCTTTTCACATTTGCACAGCTTGCCTGTTCTCAAAATGTTTGAGCTTGTTGACCTTATAATTTGTCTGTTTCCTAGGCGATAATTTACTAACTGCTATCAACGTCGCCTGTAAGTCGGGCATGTGCGGTCCGGACGATACGGTCATCCATATCCAAGCTGAAACGCCTGAATGCTGCGACGATTCAACACCGATACTGACTTACAAGGCAGTTGACAAAGATCATACCCCCACTGGCGATCAAATCAAGACCAAGAATCATTTCAGAAACAACGAAAAAGAGGCTCTGGAAATGAAGGTCCGAAATTAAAACTTTTGTGACTTCTGAAATTGGCTGATTTCCAATTTTGTAAATCATTTCGAGGGTGCATAGTTTACCTGGATAGTGATTAAATTGATATGTATAAATCATTTTAATTGGTTCCTTCCTCATTCAGTCATAATAAAGTACCCATTGCTGGCAATAATGCCTTTCTTCCAAAACATTGTCAAAACTTCTTGCAATGACCTAACAAAAAAATAAACATTGTAAGTTGAAAACTGTGAGTTTTTATTGCCTTGAATTGCCCTTGTTTAATGCTGTCAATTTCTTCCAGACAATCAAAGATGAAGTCAGTCCGATGCTAGCAGCCTGCAGGACCCACTATGCTATAGATGGAGCTACCTATGATGCCATCCAGCAACATCATCAAGATCAACTGCAAAACGTAAGGCAATGAACAATTATTACTTGTGCCCATTGCCCAATGAGGAGCATATAGACCATTGATGACTGCTAATTGGCCCGGCTTAGGAGAGCTTCCTTTCGGGTGTACCCCAAGACTCTAATCTAATGCATGGTGTCTCTTTTCCATTTATTCTTTGACTTCTCATCTTCACTATTTTCCTTGTTGATTCCAGGTCATCGTCAAGGGAACGATCTTTGCTCGCTTCTCGCCCAATCAGAAGATGTCTTTGGTAGAGGAGTTGCAGCATCTGGATTACTTCGTTGGGATGTGTGGAGACGGAGCTAATGATTGCGGAGCGCTCAAGACCGCTCATGCTGGTATCTCGCTGTCGGAGGCTGAGGCATCCGTTGCCTCACCGTTCACGTCTAAGATCCCAAACATCTCATGTGTGCCACTTCTTATTAGGTGAGGAAGGTTGAGGGTGTGGTCATTGGAGAGTGTGGTCATTGGAGGGTGTGGTCATTGGAGGGTGTGGTCATTGGAGGGTGTGGTCATTGGAGGGTGTGGTCGTTGGAGGGTGTGGTCATTGGAGGGTGTGGTCATTGGAGGGTGTGGTCATTGGAGGGTGTGGTCATTGGAGGGTGTGGTCATTGGAGGGTGTGGTCATTGGAGAGTGTGGTCATTGGAGAGTGTGGTCATTGGAGGGTGTGGTCATTGGAGAGTGTGGTCAGTGGTGTGGTCAGTGGTGTGGTCAGTGGTGTGGTCATTGGAGCATGTGGTAATTGGAGGGTGTGGTAATTGGAGGGTGTGGTCATTGGAGGGTGTGGTCATTGGAAGTTGTGGTCTTAATTTTGGAGGGCGTGGTCAGTCTTTGGTTAAGCCCTTGTGTACAAAGATTTCACCATGTCAAGGTTTCAAAGTTAACTTGCCATGAAGTGACTCAAAACTCAAATACTACAATTTTCCCCACCAATTACAATCAGGAATTCCCTCCATACCAGCACGTGCTTATGAGATGCTGTCTGAGCTACTTCATTCTACTTTGCCTCAATTTTGTTTTTCTCCGATCAGGGAGGGGCGAGCAGCTCTAGTGACATCATTTGAGATGTTCAAAATTCCTCGCCATGTACGGCTTGATTCAATTCATGTCAGTCATGATCTTGTACTCAGTAAGTTTCAAGCCAGTTAGAGGGAAGTCAACAGGTGGTTCAAGATTTCATGAATTAACCCCGACATTCATCTTTGATTATTCCCCTCAAATGGCGTTCTTACAGCGCGCCCTCAATTGTTAAACACACAAGGCTATTGTCTGAATTTACTTATCAGGAATGGGAGGGCAGCACTAGCGACGTCGTTTGCCTTGTTCCAATATCTCGCTGTCTACGCCATGACCATGTTTGTTACTGTCACCATTCTCTACTCAGTAAGTTTCAATAGTCGGCTTGTCTTGATGACGAGTTATCGCTTGTGAATTTGTTCAGTTCATGCGCTCATCGTGAGCCGCCTGCATTTCATGTTTGCTTCCACGCTGTCCACTAAATGCTTCACAGTATAAAGACAACTTCTATTCATATGGATTCCAAGCATACCTTTACTCAAAATTCATAAATATCTAATGACAGTTTACCCATTCCAGTTGGCCGGGGGCCCGTCACATTGCATGGGTGGTTTTAAACGGCTGATAAAACACCGGCTGGTTTGAAACACTTTATTCCTGCACCGCTGTGTTCTGCGCCACATCGGGCAGTACGTACTGCGCACGCGCCAATCTCCATAAGAGGATATTTTTAGCACTACGCATGTGAGGCACATACCATAACATAGCTAGAGGGGTGTTTCACAACACATGAGGTAAAATGGTTAAACAAAATCGTTGGACACTTTTTTACTATAAGGTATTTATGAGTGGGAATAAATATGTGCTTGGCCGGTATCAAACAAGAAGGTTTAATGTTGTCGGATATGTTCAGCTCAGGCCATTATCTGCGACCAGGCTTCTAGCCAGTTTTATACATACTTGTTTCAAATGGGCCAAGCACATGTTTATTCCCTTAGTAAATGCTTTTGCTGTTTGCTTAAACTTTCTAGCATTTGCTAGTTTTTATTAATATGACCCATTGTATTTGTGATTTACAATCACGTTACCATTGTTAGGTTTAAAACATTTTAACATTGAAATGGAATGAAGGCTTTGCCTCCTTCAGAAATGGGGTGGGTAGGGCTAGTGGTTACTCTTGAACCAACATTTTCACGTTATCAAGGTGATATTAGAATTCATGATATGCAGGGGTGTACATTCACTGGTAGTACGGGGATTGGGTACCTGATTGAAAAACAAAATTGGGGACCCGGAACCCGGGTGCGAAGAATGCCAACCCCAAAGTGTATATCTCGGAAGTTGGTGTACAGATTGTTCATTTAAGGTGTGTGTGATAAATACTACCACATCGGTGTGTCAATGAGCATGATACAAGTGCGTACAGTGAACTCAATGCATGTAGCTTCATGGTGTAAATTGCATTTCGCAAGCATCATAAACATGAATCTGTTTTGTTTTTCCATGTAGCCTGGTTTTCATTTTGTAACTTCTCCACAAGCGTCATTCAAAACTATTCTTTTTCATTGTCTGAAGTTACTAAGTAATATGTCAAGTTGGTTATGGGTACCCGATCCCATAATCTGGAACCGGTTCCTAACGTCAGCAGTCGGGTACTCCCCGTTTCAGATGCACAGCCCTAATCACATGTTTGTACATTTTTGATGACCCATCCGTCTGTTTGGTATAATGCAGTTGACTGCTGATGAAAAAAACAAAATGTTCCTGGTCCACTAGAGTAGGGTTGTAACCCTCTCCTGTCTGCTTCACATTCAGGAAGTCATGGGTTCGAATCCCACCAAGGTAGCCAATCTCTGAAACCCCTCCTGCACTGCTCACTGGTTGTACTGGTTGTATTAAAGGCATGTAGGATCATTTGCATTTATCCCCAAAGTACCAAATTATTATTAAAAAAGCTTACTTGGATTAAAGATCGTACTGGTACTAAACACCCTGTGAAATCATTCCGTCTGGCTTGCATGCTGTCATGTGGAAGAAATCGAGAAAAGTAGGTGATTTCAAACGATTAATAAAATTTGACTGATTTTTCAGAAATAAAGAGTGGTATCGACGAAATCGCGTTACGTGATCAAAGGTTGTGCATGGTTTGTCACTGTTTTCTCAAAAAGTGTATCATCCACTGAGCTAACTTCAACAGGTTTAACCTTTGGACATCTTCTTAGGATTTTGAGTGGTGCTATATTATTGGAAACGAACAAAATGCATGAAAAGCAAATGAACCTACATGCCTTCAAATGATGTACATGTAGTATTCTTTCAAGGTTTGAAGTGGCTCCATCTTTATTCCTTTTCAGATTACATCCACACTGAGCGATCAACAGTTCGCTTACATAGACTTGGCATTGTGCACTTTAACTATACTATTGGGTAAGTTTGGAATAAATCCTTAGTATTCAATCTTAGTACGATGGTAAATACCTAGAAACATACCTCCAATTTAATGAACAAATCCTAGCTCATAATGACAATAGGAAGGTTCCAAGTAACCTGTGAAATTAACTTTAATTCCCCCTTAAACCGTTTTTAAAAAAGTGTGCCCGCTGGCTCACTTTTTAAAACCACACAAGCTTCCTGTGAATGAACTATCAAGACTCCAATAATTTCAACACCAAGTGATATTCTCACATTTGTCGTCATAGCAGTGAGTTGTCATGAAGCCCACACATGCTTCTTTGGAATAAACCTCTAACATGTACTTCATCAACCTCTCCCTTTTCTGCAGTAAACAATATGTTTTTCTTTTTTTCTTTGGGGTGCTTTTAGAATGAGTCTTGATGATCGAAGCCTAGGACAAAATATCCATGGAGATTTTCTTGAATAAACTTTTGACCCTACGACCTATCCCCATATGCCCTTCCTTTGATTCCTGCTTTTACATATTTCTCACTGTTTTTGTGTGTGTGGTGTCCTTGCAGTGAGTCGTGGTGAAGCGTATGAGAAGATCTCCGTCAAGCGACCGTTTACGAGACTCATGACATCACCGGTAATCTTCTCCCTGGTGTCCCAGATCATTGTTGTCATCTTGATCCAGACAGCCACGTTCTTGGTGCTCCAAGCAATGCCATGGTAAGATTCTGGATGCCGATAATTATTCGAGCCAAAGGCGAGGGTCATTATCAGCATCTAGACTCCAACCAGTCTTAAACTGAGTGTTTAATACCGGCCAAGCACATATTTATTCCCATTTATATACCTTTTTGGTAAAAAAAACCACAACTTTCTGGTACAAAAGTCAAAAATTAGAAATTTCCAACAATTTTATTCAACAGTTTTACTTCATATTTTTCAAAACAAGTACGTTTAAAACCGGGCTTGGGGTCTGGACGCGGATAATCATTCCCGTCCAGATACATGTACTTGTTTTAAACTGGCCAAGCAAATATTTGTTCCCTTTATAGTACAGTGTAAAAGGAAAAGTGGCTTAGGGTGGTATCCGCTCCGTTCACAAGTACCCCCTCACCGGCAGAGAAAGTACAGTTGGGGGTGACCGAACGACGCCATCTTGCCTGACTGCAATACTTTGCCGCAAAGCGCGGCAACTGCGTGTACAGTACAAATCCCCTGGTGTACGTGCGTCACACATAAGGAATGGTGCGCGCGTCAACCAGTGAAATGTATGTGTCCTGCCCATGGAACGTCATTGCTAGGTAAAAGGGCACCCTCTTTTGTTGGCGCATGGAGCCCATACAGGCCCACTTGTGTGTTGCCTGTTCTTATATTCAAAGTGAAATTTTTTTCTCATGCATGTATTTTGGCACTAATCAATTGATACTTTTGGTGTCTTGAAACCTTTGGATATACTACTGTACAGTAGATTTTCTGTCTGAAATTTTAGTTTTTGTGTAGTAGTGAAAAATCTCGAAAGGGAGAAATGTTGGGTACTATTTTTAATTGGCAGGTATGTTCCCCTGGTCCCCGTCCCAGATGGAAGGAACAGAAAATGTCAGGAGACGACGTCTCTATTCCTAATCTCCTGCTTTCAGTATATCATAATGGCAGTGGTGTACACTCCTAAACCACCGTTCCGTCGACCGATCTACAAACTACGTGAGTATAGACGACAGATCTGAGTTTGGACAAACCTGAATTTGTATGACTGCATATACTTGGACCGCTTAAAAAAACAGCAATCTTGGAGACACATGCTAATTTCAGAGGCATCATTGAACACTAAGGGAAAAGGGACCAGTAGACACAACAGCATCAATCAGCATCTTGCCTCCTCTGGTTTAGTTATTAATAACCCCCACATCGCCTCCCCCCCACCCACCCACCAAAAAAAATTAAAAGAAATAAAAATAAAAAAATAAAATAACCCCACCTTTTTTGGAGGCCATGCCCCCAGAATCCACTGGTGTGCATAATAATAATAATGTTGTGCTTAGATAGCACTTTTTACCAAAGGTCTCAGAGCGCTTGAAGCCTTCACAATTATTACCCCTGTTCATCAGGCCACCAGTTTCTGCAGCAGCTTGAGATCAGTGCATTCTGGTCTCTACCTTCACAGGTACCCATTTATACTCCTGGATCAAGATAGGCAATTGTAGTTAAGTGCCTTGCCCAAGAACACAAGCACCATGGTCCCCGTCAGGGTTCGAACCCACGTTCCACGGCACGTGAGTTGAACACCGTAACCATTGGACCACCGCTCCACTTGGACACACAGAAAAGCCTGGTTCAAACTTCTTTCATATTTTCAAGTGGAGTTTAGGCAATGGAAAATTTTACAGTGGACAATTTTACAACTACAACTTGTTAACAGCAATCTCAAAATGTTGGTGTTTTTGGTTGTTTTTCTTGTTTAGGTTTGTATTCAGCATACTTGATTATCACGTTTGTTGGTACAACGTTGCTGCTCTATGTGCCAACAGCGCATACTGTGAGAGTCATGGAGGTTTGTATAGAAAAAGAATTCTAGCTTACAAATTGAAAAAGTTAAAGTTGCAAAGTCCAAAAGACAACATTCATTGATGGAAAAACTTGCTCTGCTATGGACCAATCCAATCACAAGATCACTGTGCACTCAGGAAGGCCCCCCTCAATGGCGACAGCATTGTGCTAGCTATTGTTCAGATAATCCTTTATGGAGCAGTTGCTTTGTACAATAGCTTACACAATGGTTCCTCCATTGAAGGGGGCCTCGTAAGTGTACAGTGTCGTTAGTGGGCTTGGATTGGCCTATACTACATGTATAATAAATATGTGTGTGTTTATTCAATGATATTCATTCAGAGTTATTCCCCCGCCACCCCCCCCCCCCCCCCCCAAAATGAAAAAACGAAAATGCCTCGGACAGCTTTGCTCCCCAGTCAAAAACAATCAAAATAAACAAAAATTGGACTTTCACATCTCATTACAGATGGTAGTTCTGCCGGATTACGTCTTTAAGACGTGCATCCTTGCTCTTGCTTTTCTCAACTTTGCCTTCTCTTGCGTCATTGAGGTAAGACAATGAGACTAACCTCATCCTCAAGTTTTTCTTTTATAATTTGTTGGAGTAGCAACCAATGAGCCTGAGAACCAAACCATTGAACTCTCCTTCACTATATATAGTCTTAGCATATCGTAAGCTTATCAGTCAAATCGATTTTGATTCATTCATCAACTCCATTGAGAATTGATTCCAAGTTTACCCATCCGAGGAAAAAAGCTGTGCGGGAAAACCTCAGTAATATCACTCAGGAACTGTATTGCTTTAGTCACAAATGCAAGGTCAACCCTATACCGCCCTGAATCCTTCAAAATCCTCTTTGCCAAAGTGGTGGAATTTGGAGGATTGAAGTTACATGAGAAAAGTCCGTTACTGATTTCGTTACTTGATGCACTTTGTCAAGTCTTGGGCCGGACCTTGTGTTGTTTTTGCTCAGCCATGCATAAATATAGGCCTGGATTATGCTTGAAATCCTCCTTACTGCTCCAGGATGTCACTGGCCAAGCCTCAACATATTGACAGTCACTGCCGCAGGATTTTGCAGGATTCAGGCAGTGGTCACCCCTGCACGGACCATATTTAGGAAATAATGGAGGAATTTGCAGGATTGAGGCTATATATGCTATTTTCCATGAGGCCAATTGGAGGATTTTGCAGGATTGAGGCTACATCCTAGCAAAAATGCCGGGAAATGAGGGTTCAAGATTGTAATTCCTCTCTTATAATTGATCTGTTACCATATAAATTTGGCAATGAAGTTCCTGAGTCTATCCCTAAGGGAACAGGAATTAATTCTATTGGGGACTGATTCCTCAAAAATTGGTATCACGATTCCTATTCTAGATATGGGATTAATCCTATTTTATTCTGAGCAAGGCCCAAGCCTACCGTAAAGGAGATTATTGTAATTGTAGTCGGATTTTTATATGCCCATAGTTTTGTCCTTTTCTTCAACAAAATTGCTTCTCACCACCTCACATTAGTTAGTGATGTATAGTTTCCAAGTTAACCTACTTTTTGAATGATTTCAGTACATCCTAGTGCCCAGTCCTGCCTTTATTCGTTTCGTGTCCTGCGCCGCCTGGCGGAAATCTAGACCACCCAAGTACACACTGCTAGAGATGGACTACCACTGCCACGGAGACCAAGTCTGAGGGGTGAGAATGACCAGGGGTCACCTCTAGAGGGAGCTGGTCATTTACTAGGGTTACCATGCAGATATTATTGTCCTGTACGCAATCAGCAATTATTCAATATGATGTCTACAATCCTGGCCAAATCTCGCTGGGCGCCCAACCCCCGGCCCCCGTTCAATGTTGTCTCTCATTGCGCGGTGTGTGCTCCATCAGCTGGAGAGAACAACATTGACCGGGGGAACAGGGGAGTGGGTGACCGTGGCAGGCTCAGGAAGGTCCCAACCATTTTGGCCGGGATTGTAGATACTGGACTCATAATCATACCAAAATCAGCATTTGCCCTTGGATTTGTATAATCCTTGGACCCGAAATGGGACGATTGAACATGATGCAGTTTGTTATATCGGTGTACATATTATTTTTGCTCCTTTATACTTCAGAAAGTAGGTTCAAAATCATTGAAATGTGTCAGAGTAATTAATGTAAAGTACAGTGAAATATCGATAAGTCGAACTCTGACAACTCAAAACAACTGTTAAATCAAACAAAAAATCCATTGCCTTCAGTAGTATAACAATGATATCACCCTGCTTGATTAACTCGAAACTCTGCTTAAATCAAATTTTGAACCTGTTCCCTTGAGGTTTGACTTATCAAGATTTCACTGTAGTTTTAAATATAAGAACTGAGTACATCTGGGTATTTTGTTGAGGTATGATATATTCAGCATTTATGCACATTAGCGCTGATCTCCAGAACAGATTGGACATTTCTGGCACTGCCGTCTTAATGCACATAGCAGGCAGTATTTGAAAGTAGTAACTGCGCCATTTTTTCCGAAAAGTTTATTGTTTTCTTAGTAGCAATTAAATTTTCCATGTTATGTTTGGTTTCTAGTCACCAAAATGGAGAGCAGCTGATCGCTCAGAAGCTTTACAGATAATGTTGATTTCAATTTTGAATCAATCTATGATGAGTTTTTTTTGTTAAGGTCTTGACATAAAGAAAATTGTCGATTTTTGCAACCTGACGCAGCTTTTCATCAGTTGTGTACAAAGTCTATGGAGAGTCAAGACAATTATTTCCTAACAAAATTGGAAATGTTTCTCAGTCCCAGATTCATGTGTTATTATCATTTTTGCAATGACTGACCCTCATTGAGATGATATATAAAGAAAAAAGTGGCGTTAGGTTGCAACATTTTTTCCAGCATATTTTTGAAAACCTGGCATCTCAGTTTTGGCACCTAGATGTTAAGTTTAAGAAAATAAAAGTTGAAGAGAAATATCAGTGAACATAAATTATGCTGAAATCAGGTAACTATTGGTCATTTGCCAAAGTAAATAGAAAAACAAACCAGTTGCACAGATTGAATGTAAATATCGAAAACAAAGCTTTAGAATTAATAGCATTTCAGTATACCTTTTTAAGGATTGTGTAATGTATCCTTCTATTGTATGTAAAATGAAAGTGGAAGAAATCACAATTTTTATAACAGCATTTTTATGAAAGTACATGTATAACCATCTTTTAAAGCTTTTGTAACAACTGTAACAACTGATAATGTAGTAACCAACGGATAACGTATCACCAACCGATAATGTATCACAAATTGACCGATGTTGTACCACTAACCGATAATGTAGCAAAATTGACTGATAGTGTAGTAAAATTTGTATCCGATAATGTACCACGTGTCGACGGATAATGTAACTACAAAATAACTGTATCCGATAATGTATCACCACGGAACGGATACTGTATCAACCGATAATGTATCAAAAATCAACCAATAATGTATCAGTATATTTGGAAAAGGTGGAAATATTGCAAATTAATTAAAGTCTAATAAGTGTCTTTGCTATGATAAGTCCCCACTCGGGAAAGTTTATCATTAAGAATATTTTTTAACTGCATTCGCACATCCGCGCCGAAATGTGGACAAGTTCTTTTCTCCGGACACTTGGCCTCCGTATGGGCTCCGTGCTCCAACCCAAGAGGGCGCGTTTCACCACTTTTGAGAGCATCATGTATGGAAATCAATGGACGGGACACAGCATGTGCGAACTCAACCTCGTCCCCAGGGTGTCGAGCAGTACGCGCCCACAACTACCTGCTCTCTCACCCTGGTATTGGATCATTTGCATGTGCAAGATTTTTGCACAAGTATGCAAATGAGGAACAGTCTGGTGCCTGGATATGTGTTACACATTAGCGTTTATTTTTGTATGCGGTGTCTGGGGTAAAAACAGAGTCAATTCGTAGCAGCGCGAGCACGGCGTGAGTTACGAAAACACGATTTTTGAAATCAAACTGTTACGATCTTATCGAGACAACATGCAGTATCATATTTCATATTAATATGAGCAAATTGGAAAGGAAAGTGGTATTTTCGAGAAGGCGTGGACGAATGATCGCGAAAACACGTACTGCACGTTGTGAATATATAGCACCAAGTACACGATAAAAATCCATTACTAGCCAATTGCGGTATCCAATCAGGATACAGGAAGAAAGTTTCCTATCCAGGGTTTACTATTGGAAACACGGTTGGAAATAAAGTAAGCACTGGGGACGAGGTTGGTGCGAACTGAACTGTACTGGTTCGCGCGCAAAGTTCAACGCCACTTCCAGAATGTGCCAAGGCTATTAGCCGCAGCGTCTTCGCATGATTGTCAGGCAACGTCGGCGCGCGCATACGTTCAACTTAACTTGCGATGGTCTCCCAGACTATTCCCTCCCCCAATAACTTTGCATCATTCAAAATACGCAGTGGATGGACCGGGACCAGTCTAGGTCCTCCCCCAACTCTCCGTTTCTGGTCGTTGAAGGGGCACTTGTGCACGGAGCCCATAGCTCCATGGTAAAATAAAAAAAAATCTGAGGGGGGGGGGGGGGGCTGGAGACCACATAACACTGGGGCGCTGTTCATGATACAGATGTATCAGCGCATTTCAAGCTTTTTGTGCTTTTTCTCCCTTTCTCAGTACTATTTAATGCATTTCGGCGGTTGGAAAATTTGAAAAACACCTCCAAATCTGCCCTTTTTTCTCTAAATACAAAATAATGGGGGTGGGGTGATCCAATAGCCCGGACCCCTTTCCCCGGTCAAAAGGTGGGGCGCCGTACATAGGATATAAAACAAACATTTGTGTACACCTTTTCCCGTACTGATACATTATCGGTTGAATTTTGATACATTATCAGTTGATTTTTGGTACATTATCGGTTGATTTTTGGTACTTTATCGGTTGATACGGTATCCGTTCCGTGGTGATACATTATCGGATACAGTTATTTTGTAGTTACATTATCCGTCGACACGTGATACATTATCGGATACAAATTCTACTACACTATCAGTCAATTTTTGGTACATTGTCGGTTAGTGATACAGTATTAGTCAATTTGTGATACATTATCCGTTGGTTACTACATTATCAGTTGTAACAAACATCCTTGATAATTTTGATATAAAAATGATGTTTTTGCCAGTGGAATAAAATGCACTGAAATAGTTTGATTAAAATGTAGGGGAGCCGTGCTATTCAGAGGATATCTCGCATGAAAAAGTGATGGAAAGGTTAAATAAAAGTGGGATTTTACTAAATAAATGGCTTTCTTGCATTGCAAATATTACCCATGTCTGACAACTGTCTTTTGGACTATAATGTTTACCATTGAAAAGCATTCTAATTATGTCAGGTTAGGTATTTTTTAGTTAGTATTACCCCACTTTAACATGTTGAAATGTTGCCAAATATGAATTAGTAAAAAACATGATCTGAATGGGCCTTATTCACGAGTCGGCCACGAGTAAGGCTGCATTGTTTGGAGAAAAGTCAATTTTTGACCAAATTTCATCCAAATTGCATGCATTTTTTTTTCAATTATGGCCAAAAAATAAAATTACTTCAAACTTGCAGGAAAGATGGCTATGGGACACTAGAACACATTCCAATGTGATTTGTGGACATTGTTTTGAAAAAGCCAATTTTTTACCAAATTTCATTCAAAAGTAAGGCTAACCCCTTGCATTTTTTCAATATTGGGAAAAAATAAAATTGCTTTAAACTTGCAGGAAAGATGCCTAAGGGACCCTAGAACACATTCCAATGCGATTTGTGGACGGATGGACTTTTCAAAGGAATTTCTGCATTGTTTGGAGAAAAGCCAATTTTGACCAAATTTCATCTAAAAAGCAAGGGTAACCCCGTGCATTTTTTTTTCAGTTTTGGCCAAAAAATGAAATTGCTTCAACTTGCAGGAAAGATGCATAAGGGACCCTAGATCACATTCCAATGCGATTGGGGACGGATGGAATTTTCAAGGGGATTTCTGCATTGTTTTCAATTTTCACCGAATTCCATCAAAAAAGTAAGGCTAACCCCTTGCATTTTTTTCAATTTTGGCCAAAAAATAAAGTTGCTTCAAACTTTCAGGAAAGATGGCTATGGGACACTAGAACACATTCCAATGCGATTTGTGGACGGATGGACTTTTCAAAAGAATTTTTGCATTGTTTTCAATTTTCACCGAATTTCATCAAAAAGGTAAGGCTAACCCCTTGCATTTTTTTCAATTTTTGCCAAAAATGAAATTGCTTCAAACTTGCAGGAAAAATGCCTACGGGACACTTGAACACATTCCAATGCAATTTGTGGACGGATGGACTTTTCAAAAGGAATTTCTGCATTCTTTGGAGAAAAATCAATTTTTGACCAAATTTCATCAAAAAAGTAAGGCTAACCCCTTGCATTTTTTTTTCAATTTTGGCCAAAAAATGAAATTGCTTCAAACTTGCAGAAAAGATGCCTAAGGGACCCTAGAACACATTCCAATGTGATTTGTGGACGGATGGACTTTTCAAAGGAATTTCTGCGTTGTTTACTGAAAAGTCAATTTTTGACCAAATTTCATTAAAAAAGTAAGGCTAACCCCTTGCATTTTTTTCAATTTTGACCAAAAAATGAAATTGATTCAAATTTGCAGGAAAGATGCCTAAGGGACCCTAGAACACATTCCAATGCGATTTGTGGACGGATTGACTTTTCAAAGGAATTTCTTCGTTGTTTACTGAAAAGTCAATTTTTGACCAAATTTCATCAAAAAAGTAAGGCTAACCCCTTGCATTTTTTTTTCAATTTTGGCCAAAAAATGAAATTGCTTCAAACTTGAAGAAAAGATGCCTAAGGGACCCTAGAACACATTCCAATGCGATTTGTGGACGGATGGACTTTTCAAAGGAATTTCTGCGTTGTTTACTGAAAAGTCAATTTTTGACCAAATTTCATTAAAAAAGTAAGGCTAACCCCTTGCATTTTTTTCAATTTTGGCCAAAAAATGAAATTGCTTCAAATTTGCAGGAAAGATGGCTTCGGGACACTAGAACACATTCCAATGCGATTTGTGGACGGATGGACTTTTCAAAAGAATTTCTGCATTGTTTGGAGAAAAGTCAATTTTCGACCAAATTTCATTAAAAAAGTAACGCTAACCCCTTGCATTTTTTTCAATTTTGGCCAAAAATTGAAATTGCTTCAAACTTGCAGGGAAGATGCCTAAGGGACCCTAGAACACATTCCAATGCGATTTGTGGACGGATGGACTTTTCAAAGGAATTTCTGCGTTGTTTACTGAAAAGTCAATTTTTGACGAAATTTCATCAAAAAAGTAAGGCTAACCCCTTGCATTTTTTTTCAATTTTGGCCAAAAATGAAATTGCTTCAAACTTGCAGAAAAGATGCCTAAGGGACCCTAGAACACATTGCAATGCGGTGTTGAAGGATGGCCTTTTCAAAGGAATTTCTGCGTTGTTTACTGAAAAGTCAATTTTTGACAAAATTTTCATTAAAAAAGTAAGGCTAACCCCTTGCATTTTTTTCAATTTTCGCCAAAAAAATGTAATTGCTTCAAACTTGCAGGAAAGATGCCTAAGGGACCCTAGAACACATTACAATGCGATTTGTGGACGGATGGACTTTTCAAAAGTATGTCTGCATTGTTTGGAGAAAAGTCAATTTTTGACCAAATTTCAGTAAAAAAGTAAGGCTAACCCCTTGCATTTTTTTCAATTTTAGCCAAAAAATGAAATTTCTTCAAACTTGCAGGAAAGATGCCTACGGGACCCTAGAACACTTTCCAATGGGATTTGTGGACTTAAGGACTTTTCAAAGGAATTTCTGCGTTGTTTACTGAAAAGTCATTTTTTGACCAAATTTCATCAAAAAAGTAAGGCTAACCCCTTGCATTTTTTTCAATTTTGGCCAAAAAAATGAAATTGCTTCAAACTTGCAGGGAAGATGCCTAAGGGACCCTAGAACACATTTCAATGCGATTTGTGGACGGATGGACTTTTCAAAGGAATTTCTGCGTTGTTTACTGAAAAGTCAATTTTTGACGAAATTTCGACAAAAAAGTAAGGCTAACCCCTTGCATTTTTTTCAATTTTGGCCAAAAAATGAAATTGCTTCAAACCTGTAGAAAAGATGCCTTAGGGACCCTAGAACATATTTCAATGCGATTTGTGGACGGATGGACTTTTCAAAGGAATTTCTGCGGTGTTTACTGAAAAGTCAATTTTTGACGAAATTTCATCAAAAAAGTAAGGCTAACCCCTTGCATTTTTTTCAATTTTG